TTCTTCTTCTTCTTCTTCTTCTTCTTCTTCTTCTTCTTCTTCTTCTTCTTCTTCTTCTTCTTCTTCTTCTTCTTCTTCTTCTTCTTCTTCTTCTTTTTTAATAAAAAAAAGACCATTAAAAATCAACAAATCCTTTTTGCAGTTATATGAGGCAGCTGCATTTCCTTCAGTGACTGTGATAGACGACCAAAACGTCTTGTCTTCTCAAATCCATCGAGGCCTTCAAGTCTCAAAACAACAAAAATGGCCATCTCATTCATTAGCCTTAGGAAGGATATCAAGTCTTCTATGCGACACGTACGAGATACCAGTCTGGGGCATCATTCTGATTGGTGCGCTGTCGTTTATCCCACCTCTGACTCAACTGAGGAAGGTGCTGAAGCTCGCGCTGCCCCTCCATACCCACTCTTGCCACTGTCGCTTGCAAGACCCCGCGGTGCCTCAACTTGACAAAGAAACAAAGTCGAAATTGCACAACATGGCGGACCTCAACCCTCCCAAAACCGCCGTTCAGGACCAGGATATCAATCCTTGGTCAGTCGAGGGAGCTCAGGGCGAGAATGGTGAAGTTGCCGCCATCGACTACGACGCCATCTGCTCGTACGTGCTACCCCATCAGACCTGACCATGATGTGACTAACAGTTTGGAAACAGGAAGTGGAATACCTCAAAGATCGACCATGCACTTCTCGAGCGATTCGAACAGGTGACTGGCAAGAAGCCTCATCGCTGGTTACGACGCGGCCTCTTTTTCAGCCACCGCGACTTCGACAAGATCCTAACAAAGTACGAGCACGGCGAGCCCTTCTTCCTCTACACTGGTCGAGGACCTAGTACTGGCAGTCTTCACCTTGGTCACACGATTCCTCTCGAGTTCACAAAGTGGTTGCAGGATGTCTTTGACGTGCCATTGGTTTTCATGTTGACGGATGACGAGAAGGCTCTATTCAAGGACAGCTTGTCATTCGAGGACACCCACAAATACGCTCTGGAGAACGCCAAAGATATCATTGCCCTTGGCTTTGATGAAAAGAAGACCTTCATTTACAGTGATCTTGAGTACCTGGGCCATCACTTCCTCATGAACGCCTATGAGTTTTCCAAGCTGGTAACTTTCAACCAGGTCCGTGGAGCCTTTGGCTTCGACGGGAGGTGCGTCAAATCGTCCACGTATCTACCTACCACAGCACTAACTGGATACAGCGCCAACATCGGCAAGATCTTCTTTCCAGCAGTGCAATGTAGCGCTGCTTTCGCTACATCGTACCCCGAGATCTGGTCTGACGACCCTTCTCCCGTTCGTACCAAGGCACTGGGCAAGATCCAGTGCCTCATCCCCATGGGCATCGACCAAGACCCCTATTTCCGGCTCATCCGCGACAACGCCCACAGGATGAAGAACCCATCGCCGAAGCCTGCTTTGATCCATTCTAAGTTTCTCACCGCGCTACAGGGTGCCGGTGGCAAGATGTCGTCTTCAAACCCCAACTCAGCCATTTTCATGACCGATACAGCGAAGCAGATTAAGGTAAGGCTGCATGCCATACGATTGAGGTGCAGAAGCTAAATTTATCTACTATAGAACAAGATCAATAAGTTTGCTTTCAGTGGTGGCCGCGAGACGCTCGAAGAGCATCGTGAGAAGGGGGGAAACCCCGACGTAGATGTGGCCTACATCTACCTTACTTATTTCGAGGATGACGACGAGAAGCTACAAAAGATTTACGACGACTACAAGAGCGGCGCTCTTCTCACTGGAGAGTTGAAGAAGATGGCAATTGAGGCCCTGCAGTCTGTTGTAGAGACCTTTCAAGACCGAAGAAAGGCCGTCACCGACGAGGTCCTCAAGTCGTACATGAAGCCTCGAAGACTTCAGTGGGGTGGAAACCCAAACCCCAAGCCTAAAGAGTCCAAGCCAAAGGGGGAAAAGAAGAAAGAGAATGACGAGAAGGAGACCGAGTTGCCTGACCGTACTGCGGAGAAGTCGGCCTAGACATTGTGCCCAGGGCAGGTGATTCTCCGTTGTAGAAGAAAGCAAGATAGCATGGTTTATGAATAAAATTAGAGTTGCGTCTCTCTGTGTATGTACCAAGTTATTTCTTTTTGCTGTGAAAATTCTTGTTGATCATTTCTTCATGAAGGTATTCCCGGTGTAAGTCATCTACCGAACCCTGTTCATGAGATGCCTCCCCCGGACCCACCCACTCCGGGTTGGAAATTATCATTCGGCCTCGGCTCTTGAAAGTCTCGGAATCTCGACGTCAACGACAAGCGCTTCTTATTTGCCACTACTCTCCCGATTCGATTTGTAGTCTTTTGCCGACTTCACAACATCACTCTGCTACATTCCCATCGCCCGACAAAACTCTCTCGGAAAAGGCCACTATGACCTCTCTCATTTCGCGCACTATGCGCCCAGCCGCCCTACGCCGCATTGTCTCCATCCCCGTTAGACCACTCACCACAACAGTCTCACGGCGATCTGACAATGTCTCGTCCTCGGAGCTCAAGGTGGGCGAACTTCAGGGTGCCAAGTTCAGAGTCGAACCTCTACGCCGGGTGGGTGAGGATGACGCTACCAAGCGGGCTCGCCTCGTCTGTACGTTTTCAACTGTTAGTTGATCAAAAGGACTACTGCTCATTCCATTCAATAGACCAGTCGCGAAAACGAGGTACCTTGGAGTCTGATCTTCTTCTTTCCACCTTCGCAGCCGCCCATCTCCCCACGTTGTCCCCCGAACTTCTCGACCAGTATGACTTACTCCTCGACGAGAACGACTGGGATATTTACTACTGGGCGACGCAAAAGGAGCAACTGTCCACGACGAACCCTTCGTCCGCCCAGTCACCATCTACCACTGACATCGACGCAAAGCCTGAGAGCGATCAGATTACCCGGCATCCTCCTTCGGGCGAATGGGCGCAGACTGTGGGCAATTTCAAGCCCGCCTACAGACCCGTGCCTGCGCGCTGGAAGGACAGCGAGATCCTTGAGAAGTTGAGGGCCCATGTGAGAAGCCGGAGTGTTGACGGTGGCGAGGGTGGTGGTATGGGTTTCATGCCTCCCCTTGAGCCCCCTGAGGTCAAGAACTAGAATTTAAATGGGACGCTCAAGAAGAAGTTGTGGAGAATTGTATTCAATAAATATCACGCAAAGTCGTTGTACTATACGTCTAGCATCATGTATTATCACGGCCATGGGGCCTAGAGTTTTAAATCTCAAGATACGACCTCCATGTCGCTTGGAGGAGCACTGAATACACCTAGGGAACGAAATATGGAGTGTGTGAATTCGAGTGAATTTTCCACCCGCTGAACCACGCACGTGTGGTATCTCCTCTGCATACTGGCAACTGATAAAACACGTATAACCAACCCTTCCAGACTCCTCATGCCTCCAACCTGATTCGCAAACTCCGTGGGATATCGCCTCATGACCTCAGCCCCAGAACAAATGCAAAAAAGAAGAAAGAAACCACCAAACAAGAATAAAAAACGGCGCAACAATTACCTGAGGGCCATGACAAGAAAGCAACAGGAATGAAGAAGCGGGCTCAGAAGAAGAAGAAGGGGGCGCATAATCTTGTCTTGTCTTGTCTTGTCTCGTCTCGTCGTCAATGTCATAGGCTGAAGGAAAGGGGGGTCATGAATAAAAACAGAGGGTATCAAGCCCGTTCGTTCCAAATCCAAGGTTTCGCACCTTCACCCGCCTCCTTCAGGCAGAATGTTCCCTAGACTCCTCAGAACTTCAATAACCGGCATGTCCCTTGTTCCCGCACTCGCCTTCTCTCGCTCCTCACGTTGTCGAAGACGAAGGGCGCTCACACTGAGTACCTTGTCCGCTTCTTTGCCCGCGACCACAACCCGCTGCTCGAGCTTGTGAACATTATCGGCAAGTTCGTCAATCTGAAACTCGAGTGATGACTGGATACTGCGTAATCTTGATTCTGTCTGTGACCGAACAGCATCGAACGATGCTTTGTCATCTGCAAGGAAGCCTCTGATTTTGCCTTCATCTGAGTCTAAAAGATCAAAATCGGGCAGAATAATAGGTCCGATCTCATCTTCGGGGAAAAGAGGTGGTTGTTCCGGCGGAGGTTTTCGTATTGCTTGCCACGCTCTCTTCTCATCTTGTAATCTATGAACGAGGTTAGTCTGGAGTCCAGTCAGTTGCCCGAACAGATATACCTCTTAATGTTGATTTCAAGCTGAGCCAATTTCTCGTCCAACTCCATGTTTCTAGGATTGGGCTTCAGCACAACAGGAGCTTTAGGGGCATCGTCCTCTCGACTAAACCAGTCCGAGAATTCGGATCTGGCCGCAAAGTCTTTCAATAGTTGATCCTGAATGGCACGAGCTATTTATAGTCAGTATTCAAGCACGACATGCATTATCTGAAAATGGTACTCACCACCGAGAATGGCGTTAGAATTCGGTGTGCCATGAGGAGGCTTCCCTGACAGCGCGCGCTCGCCACACCATGTTAACAATTGTTTCATACGTCGAGGTTCTGTCAAGCCTTCGGCTTCAATGTGTTTATAGAAATCCGCGGGGTTGACCTCTCGATGAGGTATTGCTGTATGTCCACTCTCGATCAAAGAGCTCGCCCTTCTTCCACGATTACCAAGGCTGCTCCGCCTGTTGGAATTGCCCCCTTTCTTTCGCATCTCTTTGTTCCGGTTAATAATGGGTGTGTCGCTCATAGGCAGGGCGATCGTGGCAGACTGCGCAGGCAGTTCGCGTTGCGGCGACTTGTCCCAGTCCGGGGGCGGTCGAGTAGACTTTGCACGGGTCCCCCGTTTCTTGGATGCTCCATTGACACGGGGAGCTGGTGCCGGTTCAGGTACTACCTCTGGTTGGGGCCCGGGATCGGGTTCTCGTGCTGACGCTGACGCTGACGCTGCCGCTGCTTGAGGAACGACTTCATCCTGGGAATCCCCCGACCTTCGTGTGCTCCTCCTAGTCGATGGTCTTTTAGGGACATTAATTTGTCGCCCTTCCGACGCGTCAACACTCGCTTTTCGTCTACTACTCTTCCTTGTCGCAGGTTTCGTCGTAGCGTTCATTTCGTTCTCTGCAGGCGCCTCCTCCGCAATGGTTCCATTTGTTGTCGGCACCTTAGCAGCGCGTTGTTTCGGAGGTCGTCCCTTGGCATTTTTCTTCACCGGCTCCGCCTTTGGCTCTGGCTCTGATTCTGGTTTTGATTCATCTGACTTATCCGTCTTAGGTCGTTTCGATTTTCGAACAAATGCGAAATCATCGTCATGCTCATAATCTGTCGCCGCCGCTGCATTTTGGCGGTCAGCGGGTCGTCTCTTATGGATGCCATCGCCTTCGTCATCAATCGACTTACCAGCGAGACGCTTGCTCAATCGTCGTCCGTGCTCGTTGCTCATGCTAATTACTTGAAGCGGCCGCCGAGTCGTCACCAGAGTCGTCATGGGTGGCGCATTCGGGACCGTCGACGATGCGATTTTTATATTCTGGGGTCGTGATGCTGGGGAGTTGTCGGTGCGGTGCGGCACTGATGGAGGTGCTGAAACTGTCGCGCAGGGTCAAAGAGGCGCGTCGCGTCGCGATTCACGTGTACTGGCTGCTGAAAAACGCTGTTTAAAAGGCTCAGGTGCTATCGCAATGTAATTCGTGACGGCTTGATCAGTTTATGGCTTCATAGATGGTGATGGGTGGTTCGCGACGTGGGTGTGACTGTTTAATCGCATCGCCTTGTTTACATGAGAGATGATTTGGTTGTTCAACGCTAAACCCAATTGGACTGCTGCCAGACCCCACCTTGAAATCCTCTTACACAGAGGTTTACCATGAGCTAGTGGAGCAAATTCAAATAACGTCAATGCCGACTCGAACAGCTTGGTACGACGGCAATGAATTATCAAGCTGGCTCTACGTTCCAAATCTGGATGAATAAACATGTCAAAAATGACCGTGCCGCCACTAAAAGCATCTTCAATAAAAGTCTCCACAACTTAATTAGCTTCTAGAAACTAATTAAGTGATGCTCCTACCTACGCGTAAAGCAAATACTATCAAATCACCGGTGAAACGACATCATAGTATATACTTTTCGTGTTTCATAGTTCAACTATCGTTCATTTCAATCGTAGCTTGTGTTGCTTGCAGCTACGTATAAAATCACAAAACCAAAACACCAAAGAATTTGATCTCCAGGGAGCCGAATTCCCCAAAACGCCCTCCACCCAAGTTGGCAAAAAGGTCAACCTGGCCAAACACCTTTTTGAACTGCGCGTTCCGTGTACCTTGCTGGGAAATACTTTACGTACAAGTTAAAAGTTGTAACGGCGCTGCCTCTAGTAAGAAACGCTCAAGAGAGAGCGGCCTTCTCGCGCAAAACAAGAGCGTCGAGTGATCTCCAAGTGAAGCTCGACAAACTCCTGGTCTCAGACATCGCCTCCGTCTGGATGCTATGTTGCCTCCGATCAAATGTTGTACAGCTCAAATGTGAAATGAAGTTGTGAGCCGATAGGCTTCCGGTGGAATAAACCTAAACCTTGTATATGCATATAATAAATAATTACCTCGGTGAGGTCGAATGGTGTCGTGATTGAGGAAAGAAAGGGTCGTCAAGTCCATGCATTATGTGGTTCAATGGAGAAGCGTGGTTAAGTTGCTCAACCTTGACGAACTGTCCTAACTGGGGCTGTAACTCGTTCTATGAGAAACGCCGCTGGACACCCTGGCCTGCCATAACTTGCTGGTTTGGCATAGGTGCTGCCATGCCATAAGGGTTAATCTGAGGGTTGAAAGGCTCAACAACCTGGGACAAAAAAGCACCGTGTATTCCCTGCTGCTGAGTAACTGGGCAGTCCTTGTGGGCAAGAAGAAGCGTCTTCAAATTGACGACTTCTTCTCTGAGTTGTGTTATCTGCGCCGTCAAGGCGTCGTTCTCAGTACTGAACATTTCGACCTTGGTCTGTAAGTTGGCCAACCATTGCTTCTTTCTCTGGCGGCATTTAAGAGCAGCGACACTGTAGAACAATTAGTGGCAACGAATAATAAATGATACTGTCAAATACATACCGGTTGCGTTCAAGGAAGTTCTTGCGTTTCTCCTCGTCAGTCATCTTAGACTTGGAACCACCATCTTCATACTTCATCTTGGATTCGTCATCAGACATATCCATATCCATAGGCATGGAATTGTTGGCCTTGGACTTCTTATTAGCAGGAGCCTTTGCGGGAGGCTCATCCGCCTTCCTGCGGCCGTTCGTTGCGGGGGGGTTCTTTTTGCCCCGGCCACGGGTATTAGGTCGTGCCTGTTCACTCTCATCCGACATCATGCTTCCTTCGCTCATGCCACGAGCTGAGCCAATAGAGCCGCCGTTAATACTGGACATTTGAGGTGAAGTATTCATATTCTGAGGCGCGACAGGGGCAGGATGAGCGTGACCAGGTGCACCTGACGTCACAGCGAATTGGTTCGCGTTTTGAGCTCCGTTTCGACCCTGGGCCAGCATAAAAAGGCCGTTTGCAGCGTCGTTATCGTGAGGGTCGAAGGGCCCGGACGCGGGCTTCGCTTCGGACTTATTGTTTGAAGCACCGTTGGGCATTTCTTGGGGTTGGGAAGTGACAGAAGGCTGTTGGGGTTGCTGTGCTTGGGAAGTTTGCTGGGCTTGAGGACGTGGAGCAGCGCCGTTTTGATCACGTTTGGCCGCAGCACTCATCGCAGTGCGATGGAAATCGAGAGTGCTCGGTGTTGCTCCGCCGCTAGCAAGCTGAGCGAAGAGTGCTTGGGAGTTAGGACTGGGGGCAGGGAACATAGAACCACTGCCACCTGGTGTCAAACCCGTCCTCAAGGAGGATTCGTTAGGAGTAGGAAATCCGCCACGAAGATGATGTGTATCGCCAAAATAATCATTAGCCGGACCAGAAAGCATTGCCGGACTCAAAGGGCCGGTACGTAAAGAGCCTCCTCCCCAATTGAATGGTGTCGCGTTGCTACCAGGCAGAAGAGAGGACGGTGATGTCAATGCAGCAACTGAAGGTAACTTTGTTCCCCCTGGTGTCTCTGGAGCGCCCCCAAAGGACTGCTCGAATGGATTGGGCTCCAGACTGAGAGATCCGCCGGCCTGAACCGCGAAGTAGTCGGGGGTGTTGCCTTGTTGTTGACCAGGTCGAGGAGGAGGGGCAAGAGGTTTGGCTTGTTCGGCATTGGCAACCTCTAATTTCACGGGAGGATCGGCTGCCTTCGTGTCGGTCGTGGTTTCTGCGACAAGGCAAGATGTAAGCAAGCGTTACAGTCAATCAAAGGAAGGGGCCTTGGTTTGACGATGACGGAGGACAAGAGACGGAGAATGAAAGCGATGACGGAAGTGGACGGAGATGAGGATAGAGAGGGATGCTCGATGCCAATGACAAGCATACGTCATGCAACAGGATAGGGTAAGGCAGAAGACATGTAGGTGTAAAGTCGACGATGTGATAAACAAGAGGGGAAATTCAAGAACATACCAGGCCGAGCAGGAGAGCTGTTGGATTGCTTGGGGGACTTCGACTCACCTCCAGCAGAGGCTTCAGTTGTAGTCCCCATGATGACGATGATGTATTATATCTGGGGCTGGCGGCAAGGTTGAACAGTGCTGGCTGGATTGGAAGTGTGGGGTGGGTGGCAGCAGAGCAGCAAAGATGGAGGAAGACGAAAAAGTCAAATGAGGTCAGAGGCGAAGAAGAACAGAATAGCAGCGCGGCAGCCCGTCTGAGACTCTACTATAGGACGGCACGGTTTTAAGAGTTGGACCAGGGGCGATGGCCGCTTTTCGACAAGTCAATAGCGCAGACAGCGCACAGCATACGCTCTGAAACCTCTTCAACCAAGGGAATGCGTCCTAAAAGCTCGAGCGTGGATGTGAAAGGGATATTTGCTTATACTCGACACTCAACGTCAACGAGACAGAAGCGGGAGTGAAGAGGCGCGCGCGTGTCTCTTCTGTGGACAGAGACAGACGATGTACTAAGCGAAAGATTGGTTAAGAAAGGGGATAAGGATAAACAGGCGCGAAAGGCGTTCGTGGTGGAGTTGAGGCTCGTGCCTATCGAAGCAAAACACACACAAAAAAAAGGATACGATAGATTTGCGCCGTGTTTCGAGGAGCGACAAAGCGGGCGTTGCTTTGCTTGCGGGATTGCGTCGATGGACGAGGATTGTGAAAGGATTAGATTGAGAAAAGACGTCAGAGATGACGTTGTGGGCAGCGAGGAAAAGAAGGCGCAGAAAAAAAAGACGGCGGCGGCTGGGCTCCTGAAAGCAACTCAAGAAGGCCTGGGGGGCGAAAAAATAAGGGAAAGGACTTGAGTGAGGGGGACACTAGGCCGGCTGACAAAACCGACAGGCACTGGCCTCGCACCTGGATACTGGATACACCCTAGGCGTCCTAGCTTCCACACTGTAGGCACTGTATTTGATTGCATCGTTCGATCCTCCCCTCCAAAAATGTCCGGGGAACCAACCAGACGAGTGCGTTTTGGGCGAATCACTTTAGTTGAGTTGCAAGGGGGACAGGGGGGGCAACGTTTCACTGATTAGAAACGCAGCATTGAATCTGTAAACAGAAGTGCCATAGAAAGAACCCAGAATAAAAGAAAATCGATCGTGATGGCCGAGCATCATCCCACGAATCGGTGATTACAGCTTAATGTCGCCGAGCTCTCCCCGCGTCATGTGGTTAAGCCATAAGTTATAATGGTATTCTACAGGTAAATCGTCTTTGTTACTCCTCATGGCTTGGAAATGCCGGCGAAACAATCTTTCTAATAGACTCAATGGTGGAAGTCGTAATAAATTACATACTTTTTCCAAGGATGGGTCCAAATCATGAAATGAGATAACCAGCTTCCAACACTGTGCGAACGCAAGACGCGCTAGCATTTTCTCTGTCTCCACACCCCATTTCCAGCAGGAACCAGTAAAGCAAGTGGACACTTGGGACCGGAGCATCACCGTCATTCCCACCTCATTCAATCCAATTGGCGCATCCTTCTGTGATGACGCAAGGAGTGGCCTCGTCAAGCTCATCTTGACAACAGCAATAATTCCTTCACCACCCTCAATCTTGGAAATCTCGCGACTGGATCTGTTTTCAGTTCCCTGACTAAACCCGAATACTGTCTCAATCTTGATTGAGATTTTAGATTTGTTAGATTTAAACTGAGATTGGATACCAAGAGCCAAGCTTGAGGCCCCATGCTGCTGGTTGAAAAGCTCCGTGCTCTTGGAAATCTGTGTTCCAGTCTGGGGGCACGCTCCCGCCCCTTGTCTGGTCTTCATTCTGTAAACCAAGGTTCCAAAGTCACGTTTCTGTATCAGACTCTTTGCTCTTGGCTGGTACTGACCCCACGAGTCTCTCTCATTTCTGCAACATTCTACCTTTTGAGTACTTCAAAACCCCTCACGGCTTTCCTGGATTTATAAGTCGGAGGCGTCGTTGAGGGATCGACGTTGGTTGCAACACACCCCCTGAACTCTACAACACACACCTAACTCGCGAAGAGGACCTGGCGGACCTGTTGACGGGTTGTTGCGAGCCTCTTCTGATCAGACGGGCTCTTGTTCATGTCCTTGTCTATCTCAATCAGCACCCAGCTTACGAGACCACTGTCTTTCACCCGCTCTGAAGCCCCTTTCTTTGCCAGGGGCGAATTCGCAAGAAGGAACTTGGACATTCAGATTGACACACTGAAGCTTTCGCCAGGCGATGGTCCACCTTAGAAATCAAGGCTGCACGCTAATGGCATGACCCCCTGGACTGGGTTGGGTCCTCAGTCCACTCTGGCCATTCACAAGCAATATCGCATTGTGTTCGCGCACGACTGTGTGTTGTCCTGTGAAATCGTCTTTGTCCAGTGGTATTCTCGCATCACGTCAAACTCTGATGGCGTTCGAGGTTTTCGGGGAGATGCATGGTGTGCCTTCGGCATTTTTGTGAGGGGTACGTGAGCACTTGGCTGGTGATAGGCTTCAACGAGACAAGAGCAGGCGTGATAACAAATCCCATCATGCAAGACCTGGCGTACGGAGGGGAAGGAAGATACACTGTGTCACCCTGAAGTCAGACACGCTCGAGGACAAAACACTGTGTCAGGAACTCGTACAGCAGTTATTCAGGCGCCATATGACTTGTCCATGACGTCAGCTCTTCTGGCCATTCACAATTAAGACATGGGAGTTATCAGATACTCAACGGCTTCGCTCCTATCAGTGTTAGTTGAATTTACGCACGCATCAAAGTCAACAAATCTTTAAAGGCAAAACAACAGGCACTGGACATCTGCTTCGTCAACAAGCCGCAGCACTCGCTTACTTCTATAGACTTTCTCCACGGTCTTATTTGACAACAGGAGATATTTTTGTCTGTTCCCTACTCACCCGCAGTTAGACCAACATGTTGAACATATGAAGGAATGCTTCGTAAGCCTCCGTTGCCGTTCAGTTTCACTTGAACTTCCTCCCATCCTGTTCAAGATTGGTTGTTCTAAGACCTGGGTTTCGTTGAAGCCTGGCGCCCGGGTACTACCTTGCATTTCTCGACGTCCATTTCCAAGCTTTTCCACAGTCCCCAACACTAGAGCTCCAGTCGCCTCCATAAGCTAGCACTGGCGCCGATGCGCCTGCCGGGGTCAGAGAAACGCCGGATCAGAACAGCGTGTACTTGCTTCTCGTTCTCTAGTAGCCTGCGATACTTATGGAGGCAACGAACATACAGACTTGGTTTATCCATATACAATGGGAATACCCTCATGCCTTCCATGCAATTCATCGGCCCATGCAAGGGCCAGGGAAAGACCTGCAAGTGTTGAGCCATGACGCAAATGCAGCCTGGATGAGTTCACTCAAATGTGAATTGCAGATAGCCAAGACAGGCCCGTCACTTCGGAAACTTGAATTTGAGCCAGTAATTGATATCCATGTATCTCAAAATGGATCTGTAGCTCCAACCAGAATTCCGGTAAAGGTTGAGGTTGGAAACTCCAGGTACGCAGCAGAGCCGCTTCCACAACTCTAATTCGATGCCCCATGTCCTTAGCATGACGTTTAAGTGGACTCGGCCGAGCCAAGCGCCAACCATTTCAGTAACACAACAGCATCTCCTGCTTTGCCAACTCTCAAGGTCTTCGTCTTAGATCAATATAGCTTCGCGAATTGTCATTTCCCTAATAATTCTACAACTACGAGCTAGATGGCCATGGAACAAATGTTCCGTCGTCATGCTCTGCCCCGTCAGACCGTCAGGGTACTGAGTCTACTGACCGCCCTTAGAGTATTCCGTCTCACAAAGCGATCGACAATTTGGTGATAATCGAGATCCGGATGGACTGTTGAGATATGATCGAGATTGGGCCTTACATTCAATGTTGGAGGTTGTCTCCTATTTGCCAAGCCTCAACTGGCTCTGCAATACGTAGGTATGTTGCTTAACATACATACGTCCATATATAGTAACTTTGCTGTGATTCTGACGTATAGCGGCCGTCACGATAGATCCCAGCGGCGGGAATCTTCGATATAGATCTGCTGCCCTAGGGTGACTCGGGGTTTTTTTAATTACCTACCTTAGCTTGATCTAATACCTTGGACCTTGGACTAGATACCTACCTACCTATAGTACCTAAGGTATACTATGAGGTTGGTTACCCTATATGATGGCATTCCAATCTGAATTTGCGACCATAAGAGGCAGGAGACAAAATAGCTGCTATGTCATTGATTGGCTTCAATGGTTTAATTTCTCGCCCGTAGTTTGGTTGTGCTTTCCTAGGCATCTTCAGAAGAAGTGAGATGCGAAAGACATCCTCTTGCATACTATGTGGATTGCAATATAGCATAGAGTTCCGGGACACAGGTGTAAAGACCGATTAACATAGGGAACAGCGCTCACTACAACACTGGCCTACCAAATACAAAGCTAATTATTTAATTTGCATTTTAACTAGTAGGTACGGGTCGTCACAATGTATCTGCAGTTGGATCTGCATATTTAGTAACAGGCATAGAACATATTGCCGAGACGGTTATGACATGTTCTCTGTCCTTCTTGAAACATTAGTAGATCTTCAGCGGTAGGGCTGAGGGACGCCACGTCTTTATTCTCGTGTTATTTCCTACCACAATTCACAACAGCTGTCCATTAGTCAACTCAACCGTAACCATCAAATCGCTGAGTCCTCCAAATGACAACATCGTCAGGTCCTGCCACAGCTGGGCAGTATTCATACCCATGCCGAGCCCAAGACAACACATTCGTCATCAACATCCACATAACCATTAAACAACCGGAAAATAGACACTGGTGCCAGCGGATTTTCGAAGAATCCATGAAGCTAGAGGGATGCACTGACAGTCTCCTATTATCAGGGGCCCATGAGGCATCATTGCTGCCAACAACCCCGTAAAGCACGAGCTGCCACATAGTTTCGACCTGGTCATGAGAACACATCGCAGCAAGGTTGTATCTTCAGAGTAGACACAATATCGCGATCAGAAACGTTTATTCCCAGTCTCCATGGCAGCTTTGACTGATTCATTTCATCCGAGTAATGGACACCTAACACAACAAAGTATGTCCGACTTATAGCCCTTCCGCAGCATGATACAGACCGACAACTTGAAATCCTTTGTTGCACTCGAGAAAATGTGAAAATAAATTAGCTACCAGCATATGGGAATATCTCCCAATGGACCCAATCCCAATGCCTAAATGGATCTCTATGATCTGAAGATACCCGATCTCACAACATCTTAACCATTTCAAGCATGTCACGAAAACCTTCGCTGCGTGGTCAAGGTGACTAGTATTAACGATTGCGACCGCACGCCTAATTGGGCATTTTCGTGGGTGCATGGATTAATTACTTCCAACGGCCAACCTCTGACGAAATCGCTTCCCACATCACCCCTTTTTTACTACCTCGTTTCGTCCGTTAAATGCCGTTCACCAACTATACGCATTAAAATCGCAGAAGAGACTGTCTTCCAGGACAGGTCCATGCCATAAATGGTGTTTACCACCCGTCGTTGCCACCAGTGTTCTGGTTGCCGTAGCCATCACCACCTCCCACGGCATCAGCGTTGGACCATCCACCGTCCCCGTCACCGTCACCAGCAACGCCGAAGCCGTCAGCCTCATCGACAGGAGGGACCTTGCATCGAATTTTGGTGTGGCCGTACTCCTGACAGTTGGAGCATTGAACCTTGCTCCCTGGACACTGGTCAGTCACGATTACGACAATAGGCAGCGCAAGTAACTCACAATCCTTCGGCTCAGGACACTCCCTGCTGAAGTGTCCTTGCTTCTCACAGTTGCGGCAAGTCACAGTGGACATGTCTCGAGGCTGGTCACAGTCTTTCGAGATATGGCCCTCCTGACCACAGTTGCGGCAAGCGCGGCTGCCACCGCCTTGAGGACAATCTTTGGCAAAGTGACCCACTACAACAGTTAGAATAATCCCAGTGCAAACGTATCAGATAAACTCACTCTCGTTGCACTTGCGGCATTCGACATTGGCAGGGTTAGGGGGCTCCTCACAGTCAGCGGCCCGGTGACCAGATTTACTAGTGCTGTCAGTTCACAGTTCCAGATTCTTTGTTCAAAGCTTACCCGCAATTCTTGCAAGCATTCTTGTCCACACGTGGCTCAGGACCTAATGGATTAGTATCATGTTCAGTTGACGGACTACCAATAGGTTGACTCACAGTCTCTGACCCGATGGCCATCCGCACCGCAGTTGAAGCAGGAGATCTTGACCGCATCACTGCGTTCCGTCTTCTCCTGAGTACAAAACTTGGAGATATGTCCAAGCTCCTTGCAGTTCAGGCAAAGAGGAACACCTCGATCCACGACTTCGCCAGCGTCGTCCAGACGAGAGAGAAGCTCATCGCGGCTCTTGGGCCATCCTTCAAGCTCGCGAGGACGATCTGCCTGCTCGACAAAGCGATAAGAAATGGTGTATTTCTTGTCGATATGGCCCTGGAGATCCATGTTGGTGAAAACTTGGATGAGAGATCGCTCAGTAGGAATGAGCCAGAGACCAATGCCTTGGTCGATCAAAGCTTCCTGGAGCTGGCGATAGGTAATGTCGCCATCCACTGCCTTGATGTACTCCTCAACAGCCTCCTTGGCGTCGTCGACGTCTCGCTCAATGGCGGCCTGTTTGATTTTGTTCCAGGCGTCATCGGCGCTGACATCAGCGACGTGGTCGCGGTTAATCTTGCGAGGCTTTTCGCAATTCTTGCGCATGTGGCCTGAACATATGAGCCTAGAGCATCACGAAGAAATTGATGAAACTGACCTTCATCACCACAGTTTTCGCAGATCATGGGAGGCTTATCGGGACACTCCTTGATCATATGACCGGGCTGCTTACAGAAGCGGCAGGTCATCTCCTGAGGGTTGGGACACTCGGCACGGCGGTGACTGAACCTGTTAGATGATGTTGTTCCCCGGAAAGTTGGTTCTTACCCAGTCTCGCCACAGCCGAAACACTTCTCATTACCCGTGGGCTGTTCGCCTACAAAGCCATCGCCATTGTCAAAATCATCGTTACCGAAGCCGGCGTTGTCGGCGGATGTGTTTCTATGAAGGTCAATATATCGGGTTCCAGAAAAACACAATTGAGAGCACATACTCAGCTTGGCCACTGTTGGTCCAGTTCTCTTGCTCAAATGTGTTCGGATGGGCCGAACCACCCTGATCGTTGTTCCAGTCCGACATGATGGAAGTAGATCGTCAACTCGAGTCTAAACGCGATTGTTACTATATGTGAGCAGAGATGAAATGAATGTTTAGTAACAACAAATGCAGAAGGGAACGAAGTAATAAAGGCTCCCTAATTTCTGAGAGGGAGAAAATAACTTTGGAAACGGATGCCAACAGCAAGCAGCTGAAAACATGTCCCGAGATGAGAAGCAGAACGCGGAAAAGTAGCCGACGAGTACTGTGAAACGTGAAATAGCCACAAAGCCAAGCAGCAGAACTTCTCACGACGGTTCCGATGACAGGGAATTTTGATGGATGGAAACATATGAGATGAGATAGAAAGCTGAGCTTATACGTACCTTGAGGATTGAGTATTGTCTGACTACCAACGGAAGTGTCGACCAGCAAAGACAACAGCAAGTTGTTTCCCAGCACGAGGGCACTCAGAGTTGAAAAGAGGAGAAAGAAAACAGAGCCTTCTCTCAGAGATATCTCTCAAAGCCAAGCGCAAGGATCCTGTGCCTTCTTATGCGGATGAGAGATGTTGAGGAATGCAAATGCGGTTGAGGAAGGAAGAAGAAGAGAACCTAGTGGGAGGAGGGAAAAAAGAGCAGGATGGAAGAAGGCAGTGAATCACTGTTGCCTGGGGCAAGCACTTATCAAAAACACATGCGTTCGTTTATTCCATGATCCGATGAATCAAGAAGGAGAAATAAAATGTGCCGGCCACTGACAGCTGCAAGCACTGGCAATCACTTGGCTGCAGTAAAGGCACCGAAGCACCGGAATATTGCAGACCTTGATATAGACTATAGATAGGAGAGGAGCAGGAGGAAGAGCATGCGATGACAATAATATGAAAAATGGTCTCTTGTCAATATAATATTACCTATCTAGGTACCTAGTAGTTAGATCCTACTCAGCAATGCCTGCCACTTATATGGTTTATACCGAGTGAGAGTAAGAGAATATACCGGTGACGGAAAATACAAATCGACTGATACTACTAAGAGAAAGTTGAGCTACTCTTCTTCTTGCTGCTATAATATGAAATCAAAGGTTAGAAATCAAGACATTGTCACACCTAGATTGCGTAACACGAGATCAAATCAAGTTGTTTATTCAACCAATGACCCGTCACGAACGACTTAGGTATTATACGGGGTTGAAAAATATAACTGAGAACGCTTTGAGTACAAAAGATCAGGTGAGATTTGAGTTGTATCAAAATTGTTGTGCAACACCAGAAACTTGCCTTTTCTGCGAAACACCAGCCAGTCACTGTGAGCCTCACAATTACGAAGGGGGATAACCTCATAAGCACTCCAACGTTTAATACCCCAGAAAAAAGACTCTCCACAATTCCACATGAAATGGGAGGCTACGAAGGCCGCAGGCCACAAGCTGAGGGCCGGGATCGCGGCTCCCACGCCCGTGTCATCCGCTCACGAGATTGAGCCCAGGAGCAGAGTGACAACCTATGGCAATGGCGCATATCAAAACCAAACAGCAATCGTACTGTTCGGGATTGGTCCGACATCGCCCACCGCCCGTTCCCGACCCGTACTGTAATATCTACGGTAGGTGGTTCCGAGCCGTCATCTCCCCCCACCCTTGGCTCGGATTACCAATGATCATATGTCAGCTACCCATTGCTCAGGTACCTAGAATTGAAGTGTGGAAGAAAAGAAGAGCTCGAAACCAAACAGGGGCGAGAAAGGCCGAGTCGTATGGTTTGACAGGTAACTCGTAGCCATCAAAGACTACAAATTTCTTGCATCTCCGGGAAATGCAAACGGAAACACCAAACACCAATTCTTAGAGGTTACTTCGTTATCAACTTATCAGCTACAACTGATTGTGACTGCATGATTGCAAAGCCATCCCCAATATGATGGGCTTTTAATTCGGCAGAACTACTCGGCGTCTCCGCAGTCGGAATAAGGGCCCCTTCGAAGAAGCCAAAAGCCCCCCGCCGTGGAAAAGCAGAAAAATGACCCCGCAACCCTGATATCAGATGCAGTACCGTTCATCTGATAGTCAGGCCACACGGTACAGTCCCTCGTATACTAGGGCATATTGCACAGTTCATGCTGGCCGTGCACGGTACTGCCGTTCTTTGACTAATCCAGGACACCAGCGACCGCCGAGTCAAAAAGTCTGGGTCTAACATCACCTTAGAGATCTTAAAAACGTCCTGTCCCTCATCTCTCTCTACTCTCTTGTTCCCTCCTCCTTATTGCTTTTGCCTTTCTGCTGTGTATTCATTCGCCATGGCGCCCGCGACCCTCATGATCGATCCCAGTGACGACTTCGTCATGCCTGTCACAAAGTCTGTCCAATCTACCTCGCCACCCAAGCGAACCCTTCTTCTGGCGCCTCCTTCTCTTGCTTCCAATTCCGACGCCCTCACATCCGTCCTCGCCGATTATGATCGCTCCGTCACCGATCTCCAGATGCTTGACCGTCTCTCCTTAGGATTGGTCACACTACCTCCTTCCACCTACGATCTTGTCTTGGTCCTATCCGATGCCTCTTCTATGCTGGGCGAATCCCTCGCTTTGATGAACCGAACTGTCCTTGGTCCTGTCGCCGAGTCCCTCAAGCCTAGCGGTCGCCTACAGTCTCAAGATGGCAACAGCCTGGAGGAGTCCACTTTGTCAAAGGAAGCGGTTTTGGCCGGGTTGATATCATCGCGGGGTGGCTTTGAGAAACCCGACTACGGCGAGAATGACGGAGCCATTACTCTGAAGTTTGGCAAGAAGAAATCCCAGCCCGCTCCTCTCGCCGATGGCTCTGTTCCTCTAAATCTGAAGAGGAAGCCCGCTGAGGCGAAATCGAAACCAGTCGTCCCCGCCGGCGTCGGCTTCATCGATCTTGAGGACGACCTTGACGACGACGACCTAATTGATGAGGATACTCTCATGACTGAAGCGGATCTCGCGAGACCCATCAATATCCGTAGGTAACCCCTGCAAGTGCTTCCGTAGTCGAATACGATCCTGACAACATACTAGCTGCCGAATGTCAACCCAAGGCTGGCAAACGTCGTCGGGCCTGCAAGGACTGCACCTGTGGTTTGGCCGAACGTCTTGCTGCCGAAGACGCCGACAAACGCGCAACCGCCGACAAGAAACTTGAGAGCATTAAGCTGGCAACAGACGACCTGGCCGAGATCGACTTCACCGTGCAAGGTAAGGTCGGCTCATGCGGCAACTGTTCCCTTGGCGACGCTTTCCGTTGTGACGGATGCCCTTATATTGGCCTTCCTCCCTTCAAGCCAGGCGAAGAAGTTCGCCTGCTCAATAACGATGTGCAACTCTAAACTTTGACTTATACAATCTTTCTCTCTTCATGGACAACGACGGCGCAGCACTGCAGGCGTAAATACAAGCTTTACTTGATAGGTGGATTGTTTGCTTTGGAACATGGAACACGATACACAGGCTGCAAGTCACAAGGATCTCGGGGCAAGGTTTCACGGAGGGCTCTGATCTAGATACGGAGTTTGTCGGCGTAGGATTACCAACTTAGATGATGACAAAAATTGACTTGATTCGCGATAATGAATATAAGGAAAACGCCAGACCTCCCAATTGTGACACAACCAACCACTTTATGCAAAAGAACCAGGGCGCCAGCTAAATTATACAACCAGAAGAATCTTGTCCAGGTAGAAACGAGGCCCATCCATGACCGCTGGTTTTCCATTATTCGGCGTACTTGGTGACAAACTTTTCGCTACTGTCATGATTCGCTGGAAACCTAGCACTGTTGCTAGTTCCCGGTGTTGTTACATGCAAATCGTCTAGTTCGCTTTCATCAAAAGCCGCCGACTCAAGATCACCAGGCTGTGACTTGGCTCGATGGCCGTTGGGTCGGCTGGAAAGATCGTGATCAGCCAAAGCAGAATAGGCAGCGCCCCTGCGACGTTCACGCCAGATCCAGTATCCCCAGACGATGACACCAATGACGACGATGACCAGGACAATTTCGCCAGACTTGTAGTATGCTGCCCACTTAGCCTCATCCAGCTGCTTTTGGTGTTCCTCGTCAGCGGTCTTGGTACTGTTCTTAGCATCGCCAACACTGGTCTTTGGCCCCTTCTCGCCATCGATGCGACTGTCAGCAGGGTCGCCACCAACTCTGCTGATATCAACGCCCATGAAGCGGTCCAGCATATCTCGGCTTCGTCGTGGAAGGTCGAAAGGGACCATGTGGGAAGAGTTATAGACAAGAACATATGTTAAGTTCCGGGCCTCTTGCCAGAAACCAGCTGCCTCGTCCTCAAAAGTCCAGTCACGCCGAGGAGCCCAGTTACCGGGTGTTACTTCGAAACCCTTCCCACCGTTCCACTCCATCTTGCTAATCATGTTTTCGGTTCCAATGTGATTGCAAATGAGATCTTCGGCTCCGGAGAAGAGCATGATGGGGACTTCCTTAAGGAGAGCGGGCAAGAGATCAACCGAGGGTTTAGACTTCCTTGCGTTGAAGGCGCCTCCAACAGCACCGTTACACTCGGTCCAACCGACAGATTTCTTAATGCCATCGACGTGAAGGGCTTTCGTAACCTCGGGCTTTCTCAAGTAAGGAGTTAGGTGCACCAGATCCGGAGGCCAGTTCATGCCACAGCTGGGGTATGAATCTTTCAGTCGCACATCGTACATGTTAACGCATGCATTATCGCCGTCACCGTTCTTGGTTAGCCTGAGCATGTTTGACAAGATAGCTTCGCATTCGCCGTAATCCACATGACCAACATCCGAGGCCATCATTCTCTCACAATTGCGCAGATCGCCTTGCAGTTGCTTGTGCTCGTCGGAGTCCTTCTTGATCAGACCCTTCTGAATGGCATATGTAATGTAAGCGGGATACTGCTCGATTGGGTCGATCCAGCCATTGCCGATCAACAGCCCTTTCAGGCTCCATGCGGCTGTAGGATTCTTCATATTGCGATCGAGAATAGCCCTAGCGATGTAGGGGATATGCTGTCCGGCGTAAGACTCGCCTGCAATGTATATCTGCGTTGTTCTTAGCAAATTGAAATGCCCATAAGGAAGAGGTTGCTCACATCGTCGCGATCATACTGGGGAAAGAGAGCGAACCACTTCTCAAGGAATTTGACAAATTGATCCGCCATTTCCTTAAGTTCGTGTATATAGTTATTGGTGTCGACCGAGCTGAAGCCGGTGCCTACAGGGTTATCGACAAACAGCAGGTTGGCGAATTCGTTCCACGAGCCATTGTTGTAGACCAAATGGTCTTGATCCTTGAGCCGATAGGGGCCAATTTCCATCATGGAGCCATCTTCTGAACTGCAGCCTGGTCCACCATTGATCCAAATAACAGTCCGTTGTCTATCGGCGATGTGTTGGTTTTCAAAATGCCAAAAGAACAAGTTCCCATGCGTATCTGGGGTGACTTCGATATGACTAAAAAGCACGCGGATGCGTCAGTAAGCCTGGAGCACAGGGAGGAAACGGTTTGTCTAACCCAGCATGCATCTTGACATCGGGCCCATCAGTGGGCAAGCCCGGAAGATCGCGAACATAGTAGTCGGCAGCTGCAGCTTTTGTTGTGGTCGCATCGTTTACAGCGACGGCTAAAGCTGGTGCGAGGCAGAAGGAGACAAGGGCGGCCCATCGTCTCGGGGACGGAATCATGGATTTGAGAACCATGATGAAGTTGCGGACGAAGGACGCCGCGGGTAATGTTAAAAGAACACAGAAAGTAAGGGTGAGTACTTATATGACAATGGACTGTGAAGATTAAACAGACAAAGAATTGGAGGTCCTCCTTGTCGACGACATGGAAAGCAATCAGAGTTGCTGTTGGAATGAAGGTGCCTTGCTTGATAAAGGGACAATCCAATACTTGGGACCTAGTCCAGGAGAGATGAGGTGGCCCCTCGGGACCCCGGGACGGGTTCTAGTGGGGGCGATGCTGTAGCTTCCGTACTGTCGCTGGTCGCAGCTGTGGCTTGGCGCTTTAATTCTGGTTGCAGTGGATGAGGTAGGGAGGTAATTCCTCCAGACAAGGGTCCACTGGGCATTTGCCTCTAATTTGGGCTACCTATCCGTACTTTGGAGTCCATAGGTACCACGCATTTTCTTTTTCTTCTTCTTCTTCTTTTTATTTTACTCCGACGTAATCAATAATACATAGCCTTTACTTTCTTTATGTCGGTGCGTGTTGGCGGGCGTGTTCATGTTTGTCTTTTTAGTATCGTGACGCTGTTGACTTTGCTCCTACTGGTAGTCAATAAGAAACAGCTTCGTGAAGTCGGTCACAATAGCACCAACAAAGTGGCAAGGGCACCAGTAAACGGGATTCATTATCAATGTATCAACTACATGACCTCCAATGATCAATCACCACTGGCTTGCTCTGCTGTTTTTATTTTCCGACATTCTTTTACGTTTATGATCAAGTTCAAATCAATAAGAAGTATTGATATTCAATATTGGAAAGGCGAGAGGAATGAAATAAAAACCTTGGTGCATCTACTGACGATCACTATTGCTTCAGGCTACCTATGAACTAACTTCCAAGCTAGACAGTTCGATAAGGTAGGTATGGAGTTTCAAAACCCTCTCTAACTAAACCAATCAGAGTCTCCACCACATTCACTTTTGTAAAGTCTCATATTCAAGGTGCAACTGAATTTCTATCAATATCAGAAGACATCGATCAATAGCCCAGTCCTTCAGTATTTACCACCATTACTTGCCTAGTGTACGCGCCACTGACCTTTACTCAGCGTTGCCCCTCGCCAGAGAACAAAGAAGAAATGGCAGCCTCTGGGAAGACTTTTATTGTCGAGCATCTCGACCCAGAGCTAGGCCCTTGGTCCGAACTCGAATATCTGGCCATTGCACGCGAGACACAAGCGACTCATGGTTCTTTCATCCTCTCCAGTTTGCCTTCTACGTTCCAGGTTCCAACAGACCTGGCCAGTAACCCCGCCTTCACTGCTGAGCAGCGTGGTGTTGAGGAGCTCTACGCCGCCAACAAGTCGCGAGTTTGCCTGCTAGATCCATCAGCCGCCTTGGATCTCTCTCCTGAGGATGGTGAGAACTTTGATGCCTTCTTGTTTGGAGGTATCCTTGGTACGTAAAAAGCATGAGGAACGGCCGACGTACTGTTACTGACGTTTCATGTTTGTGTGATAGGCGATGATCCTCCTCGAGGTTTGTGACTCTCACAAAATATTTTTTTTTGAAATACATTTTAACCGGAGATCTTAGACCGTACTTCAGAGCTTCGAAAGAAGGGCTTTGAAGGTCGCAGACTTGGCCCCAAGCAGATGACAACAGATACGGCCGTCCGGGTTACTCGTATTGTTGTTCAAGACAAGGGTTCGTTATCCGCCTATTAGGCCCCTGCAGCTCGGAAGCTCATGATAACCACCAGTGCCACTTGATCAGGTGCCCTACCTGGACTTCCCTGAGCTCAAATTCAACGAACACGAGAGTACCGAGATGCCCTTCCGATATGTACAGGGTGAAGACGGCAAGCCTATCATGCCCAAGGTTTGTGAATCCGTTCAGCCATGCTCACCAGAACCTAACAGTCTACTCTAGGGCATGGTCGAGTTGATCCAAAAAGATGCCGATAAGGCCGTGGATGACCTCTTCTAAACAAATCAAAATAAACCATGTTATCCACTGTCTGAATCCAGTTGCTGGGTACAAGACGGACTATTCTTTGCCATCGCCAGGGGCTACCTAAACATCGCTTCAATAAGTGTGATTCTTCATAACAACGCAGTTGGACTGTCAACTAAAGTCTTATGTAATGAATTGTTAGCCAGATAACTATGTTTACATGCGGATGAAGATAGCAATAGAAACTCAATTTCTAGTCTATGAACCACGTACATTACTTTTGGACAGTCTTGAGCTTTGGTTCGCAGTTCACAATCACCTAATAATCCCAGGTTCTTCTAGCTCCTGCCTACTACCTACCTATTTAGTTCTCAAATACATAATAGCCCATCAGTTCTTTACTCGCTTCCAAAAGTGCCTATATGCAGCAAACGTCTTTATATGAGTGATGTCTTTACCCATAGCAGCCTATTTGGCAAAATGAACAAATGAAGAACAAATAAAGCACAAAACAATTTGGTGGAACTGCCAGGTTTTATGACAAGGGTTGATGTATGGCGTAGAGTTCCTTCTGAACCGTTCTCAGGCTCTGCTCGGTTCAAGCGAGTGAGATAGGTCTTCCTTCATGCCAAAAAATCGATGCAAATAAGCGGAGATGCAACAAACGCGATTGTTTTATAGTCACTTCAGGCTGCCAACCTGTATTGATGCGCCGACAAGTTACGAAGAAATTTAAAGTGGTTCAATACTAAACTGAGAGCATGATTCTATTCAGCGTTGCCAAATCCAGATCATTGCTCGATGTGCAAATTCCTCCATGGCGAAGGCTCTTCTCGCAAAGTGTGCCTCGAAACTCGTCAGACCCATTGCGCATTCTTTTCTGCGGATCCGACGAGTTCAGCTGCGCATCTCTGAAAGCTCTTCATGAAGAGCATCGCCACAATGAGAAGCTTGTAGAGTCGTTGGATGTTATGGTTTTGCCGCCAAGACGCATGGGAAGAGGTTTCAAAACACTGAGAGAAGGTACGTCAAATCTATGAGAAAACCACGACGTTTAACTTATATCGGTTTAGTACCTTGTAAGTTGCTGGCAGAAAATTTGAGATTGAATATTCACCAGCGCAAAACCTTCACAGGATGGGATGTAAGTTTACGTGCTTCCTCGTTGAGCACTTCCTGGGAACTCAGTGACTAAATGCAGTAGCTCCCTGAAGGAACAAATCTTGTGATAGCAGTGTCCTTCGGACTATTCGTCCCGCCCAGAATCTTAACTTCGGCCAAATACGGCGGACTCAACGTGCATCCTTCTCTGCTCCCTGAGTAAGTCTCATGCCGCATAGTTCCGCCAGAATCCTAAACAAAAAGTAGTCTTCGTGGGCCTGCTCCCATCCACCATGCGATTCTCAAAGGATATGACTACACGGGAATCTCATTACAAACACTAGACCACAGAATCTTCGATCATGGAACTATACTGTCTCAAACCTCCCGTCCCGGAATATCGATACCTCCAGGCTGCACCGTCCAAGAACTGACAAGCCTCCTGGCACCAATTGGAGCGCAAATGTTAATTCAAGGTCTACGAGATGGAGTCTATGTGCCGCCTCGCCAGAATACAGGATGGATAGCAGAAGAGCTGAGCGACGAGCAGCTCGTCCACGCGCCCAAGGTCACAAAGGCTGATGGACATATAAAATGGACTAAGTGGACAGGGGATGACATTGTGCGAAGGGTACGAGTTCTTGGGTCTGTATGGACTCATGCTGTCAACAAGAAGGGAGATAAAAAGCGTTTAATTTTCCAAGATGCTGAGACCATATCCTCAAAGGATATCGGGAATCATGGAGCAAAAGTCCGCCTCCTTGAGGACACTGGGGTTGTCTTGGAGACTCTGATTTGGGATCAAGGCGATGGCAGCTGTGCTATACGCACTCTGGACGACAGCGTAATTCGTGTGAAGAAGATTAAGGAGGAAGGGAAGTCACAGCGTGATGCAATGGCGGGACTGAGGGGTTACCTCGCTGATGACTAAATCTAGGCCTAGGCTTTGAGATCTATTATGTTTATCAACATTGAAGTCGGGCTTTTTGTCGTGTCATGAGGAAAGGTATGGTTCGTGCCATGGTAGCATAAGTCGTTCAGTTTTCTCCGCCTATCCACTTCGTATGACACTTAGAGGGTATGGTTCAACTCCTAGTTCCTTTCCAACCTCCATGTCAAGTCTCAACGACTCATGCAAGTCTTGTCCGAATCCATTCTGCCCATTTGCAGAGATCCTCCATATATTCTAGCAGCTTGCCCAAATCTGCCCGCGTAAGTTCTTTGTCCTTCATTCTACTATCGTCGCCACGAGGAATGACATTCTCCTCGACGACTTCCACAATTCCATCCTCGAGTACCTTTAAGGTAATATTGGCAGTGGAATTTCGGAATGGGAAGACAACTTGAAGGTGTGGAATCGGATGAACCCACAGGGTAACGTCAAGCTTGACCTCCGGCACAGCAGAGGGATGCTCGTCGGTCACAGAAGTTGATTTCATAAAATCCGCCAACTCATCTCTGGTAGTTAGATTGGATTTCGGCACCGGCGCTGCGGTGTTTCCTTGCTTGGGTAATCTCTCAACTTCGTTCGTCTGTGATCCAAAGCTGTTCTCTAGCAAAGTTGCGACAAAAGCATACTGTCGAAGCAGGGGGAGCATTTCGATAAGCTGCTGAGGATGAGAGAATGGAATTTCAGTCACCACTTGTGAATATATTTGCTTATAGATATACAATGTGTTCTGATGAGGCTTAATGATAGCTTTCTGATCTTTGTCGTAGATGCGGACATCACGGCTGCGAGAGATTGCCCGGAGCTCGCTAGGGTCCTGAGCACTTCCAGGGGGAATAGGGAAGAAAAGGCTGTCGAAAGTTGGGGAGTACCCAAACAATGGGTTTGCGTTAACGTTGGCGTATGAGTGCAACCGGAGCCAGTCGTTCTGGGGCAGGATGACAGGAGGGTCAAAGGTGGCAACGAACATAACCTGTGGCACCCTGGCTGTTGAGAGATCTGGCTGGAGCATCTCCATGCTAGCATCCTTGTTTTCTTCTGAGTGCGGAAGCACGACGTTATCGGGTTCCTGCCAGTCCAGATTGGGACGCTTAGGGTCCATCGAGGGCTCTGCCTTCACCACATCCTTGGAGATCCAGTCCTCAGAGACTCGAACAGGCATGTGACCCATGCCTCCTGTTGAAGCACACCCAATGAGAAGAGACCAGACCGGTTCATGAGAAGAAGTGAATGAAGCCATCTTAGTGTTGGTTGGCTGTACGAGGCGAAGGGCCTTCCAGTACTGGAGCGCGAGGCCCACTCGGTCTTTTGAATGCATAACGGGGTAGCCATGTCGCGTGCACATCGCCATGGTAGACAGTTCACTGTCCGGCTTGCCACCCATTCCGGGTTCATCACGAAGCCGAGCAACATCCCATTTGTGAAGCCTTTCTAAGCTCACATAAATACCAGCCAATGCCTCATGACAGTCGAGACCAGGGATGATGCTAAGTTTATCAAGGACGGCTAGTCGCTCGAGATTGACCGCGAACTTGTCAAGAGTTTTTGTCAATGGACTCTGGTTTGGAAGAAGTTGCAAGTCCCTCAAGAGAATCTCGCTTGCTCGGGTGACATGGTCGGTGACTGAGCGAGCAGATTCAGGGAAGGCCAGTGATATATTCTCGACAATATTATTGTGCAGGGTGATTTCCAGCTGAATGGCTGAGCCTGCTATCACAAGAGTTCTTTGTTTTCGGCCATCGGGTGCTGTATGATCCTCCGAAAGGCAGTCAAGTCCTATTCGCTGCGCCAGGCGCTCCAGTCCTGCCTCGCTCACAAGTCCCTTCTTCTGCTACACTGAATTAGTAACACGTCCAGTCACATAGGGAACAATATGATTACATCCAAGGTGGCTATGATCGTTTCCAGCCGCTTCAACTTATCATCCTCACTCGCCAGAGCACCCAAAGAGCCCAGGCCACCAACACCGACATTATCGAGACCCATATCGAGCCCACTAGGAATTCCAAGGGCGCCCATTGCGGCAGCTGTGGAAGGGCTATCGAAGTTGAGAGGAGCGTTGGAGGCGTGCGCCATCAAGGTTGATGCGGCCGGTGACTTCTTGAATTGTTGAGGGGATGATCGTGGCCCCCTGGGCGAAAAGACGACATGGGCAGGATTGGAGAAGGGAGTTGATACGGGAGGAGTCGCTGCGGCGAGTTGCGAGGGGGTCCGGCCCTGCTGTGAAGCATGCTTTGCGGCTGTTGGTGTCGCCATCGCGAAAGTGATGATGCCCTCTTGTGAGGGCGTGAATAGAGTTGTGTCTCTTATGTGAGGAGGATGTAAAATGCGGCGTGTCAATAGGCAAGCCACACTTTCAGCGATGACTCGGAGACGTGGCAAGGAATCTGGGGATTAACAACAGGTCGCTCTCGTTCGGGTCGAAATGTTTGGAGCTGTAGGTTGAAAGCAACAAAGATGGATCCAATAGTGAGAGCTCTGGCTGTACCTGAGTTGCAGTCCGGCCCCACCGAAGCCGAGCCGATAGTGGAGGAAAAGTCGAGCTACAAATTGAATATGAAATGTAGTGGATCATTTCCTTAACATTGAATTCTTCACTTCACCAACTCCGAGGACCACATCAACATGTCTGCTTCGAAAACCTACAGAGCAGCCCAATTATCCGTGAAAGCTGAGCGTCTGGCTACGACTCATCTCAAGAATGTAGAAATCGGGAAGCGCTCTATACGTCTCTACGTCTCGCCCGCGCCAGTCAATTTTGCTGAGAGACGCTCTGTCCTGAGAGCGCTTGAACAATATGGCCCAGTAGAGTTCTTCAAACTCATGCCGGTATGGCTGATTTCGAACTGTGCGGATACTAGCTGTTTTCGCTGACTATGTTAACTGTAGGGTCAAGGTTCTGCCTTCATATCACTGATGAAAGAAAGTGAAGCTGCCGCCAAAGCCGTCTGTTCAAGCCCAGTCAACATTACTGTTCCTTCATCCTGCAAGGAGCCAAGGTCTGCTGTGAAAGTGGACGGGCTAAAACCGCGTTTTGAAAAGCAGCCTTCGCAACCTTCCAACCCACAAGACACCAAATTTGTCATCGAAATAACGGAGTCTCCCGCATATAATCATAATGGCAGCTCAAGCTCGTTTCTCGCGAGAGTCTGGCCAGACTTTGTCACAGAAAATAGGACTCTTGCTTCAACAACTCTGCGACAGTCGCTCCCTAATAGTATCGCAGCCAAGGGCTTGAGCCATTGGGCCGTTGATTTCGGAAAAGAAACAACAATGGATTCCAGAAAGATTGACAGAGTGCAAACCCGCAATTGGATTCCAACGAAGATAAAAACACCGCCTAGAGAGCCAGTGCCGCGGGCAGTGGGAGAATGGGAGCGTCGGCATATGCAGCACCGCCGGCAATCAAAATCAAAGGCGGATGAGCAAGCGACGCGTACCACTTCTGAAGACCAAGACATTTGAATCTCAGCTTCATTGCCCAAGGCTTAGGCGGCACTTGCGCAACACATTTCTACGATTCTCCACCTTATTAACTCAGCCATGTTGACGGTTCGCTTCTTTCTCTGCATAGCGCAGATCTTGACCAGTTATCGCAATATGCAGCGCACGACAGGGAGAAAAGATTACACATGCATGCACAGGCAGCTAGACACAGAACGGGGTTCACCGAGTAGTCTTAACAAGCGATTTCTCCTCGTCGTATTAATGTCTAGTATTCACCCACCTGCTTTTCTGAACCACATTACAGTTCACGCCAAGATAAGTGTGACGCTGATTGGGAAAAGAAACAAGCAAAGCTTCCAAACAAGGATCTTGATATGATCTGACCCGGGTGGGTTAGTCTGGTCTGAAATGCAGGGTCAGAGGGCCAAGATTGATCTAATTGACACAAAAGAGACACCCGAATCAAGAAATTCGGGGCGGCCCACACCCCGGTAGATGAGCCACGATTCGGCCAAAGCCACCAACTCTACGTCACAACGTAGTAGAGACGGCTTCTTGCGACGAGGATGCTATACCACGATATAGCCTGTCTTGGCTTTGACCATGGCGGATTTCGGCACACACGAGACCTGGAACAGGGCTTGGTGATGACGTCTCACGCAACGACTCTGCACAATGTTGGTTCCTGGCATTGGCTCCACGAATCCATGACACGGGAACCCTCATACGACCTGAATGACTATATATCTTGGCCTGCTTCTCTCGGTTTCTTGCCTTTTATTTTCGTATTGTCTTACATCACTTCTAATCGGCAAGCGGATTCGTTTCCTTTTAATAACTGCATAATTTCCTACAATACTTGAGTGGAAGACGCTCAACACTACCACTACTTCCAAACCACACCATAGCCATCAAAATGGGTCTGGGACGATTCATCCACCATATCGGTGCCTTTTTTCTCTTGGCAGCAACAGTCATGCTCATTGTCGTGAGCATTACAGCTCCTGTTGTCAATGACATAGCCCTCCTCAAGGTCAACTTGAACGGCAACTCTCGAGGAGGAAATGGGGTAAATTTTGGAACTTTTGGGTATTGTGTCACAAGAAGCAGCGGGAGGTAAGTTCATATCACTTGAACACACCGTGTCTGATTTCGTCGTCTAATAACCCACAGCGATAGTTGTACAAGCGCTCGCATTGGCTACGACCCTTCCAATGCTGTCGCCGGCACCAACTTCTCCAATGCTGGCTCAGACACTGCAAAGGCCCTAACCTATGTCATGGTCCTGCATCCTATTGGTGCTGGACTTTGCTTCATTGCCTTCCTTCTGGCTCTCGGTGCCGGCATCTTTGGCTCCCTCATGTCTACGCTTGTTTCACTCCTGGCCTTCTTCGTTACTATCATTGCCCTGGCTTGTGACTTCGCTGGATTTTCCATTGTCAGACGACGTATCAACCGAGACACCTCTGCCAGTGCTCGCTGGTCTGTCGGTATCTGGCTCGTCCTCGCCGCAGCTATTCTCTGTCTTATTGGTACTACCACCGTCTTCGTCACCTGCTGTTCTGGCCGCCGTCGCCGCAACCGCGAGAACAAGAAGATGGCAGCCTACAACTCTTCTCCCACCCGCTACTAATTAATCAATTTACGTTTCGATAGTGCTTGTCATAATCAATCACTTACCGCCAATCAGAAGAAGGGGTGTAATAACGAGATTTGGAATATACCAATGCCCAGACATGGGTTTCCAAATACGAGATCATGAAGTGTGAAGATCAATGGAGACGATACCAGCCTAGGATGTGTCACGACGATGTTTTTTATTGCCTTTGTACTTATTTAACCCTAATATATATAACCGTATACCATCCTGATTGTCCTCCAGTCGAGACAGTGCTACCACTAATCAAGAAGACGGGAAACATTGACGCCATCCCACAACGGCAGAACAAATGTCTCAAGTCGTGGGCTCTGCAGTGCCAAATCATTGAACTGTCTCACAGCTAAAACGTTCTTCAATTGATCGCCTTTGAGCTCGTCGTCACCCAGCGCTTTGTCGTCTGCAACCAACCCTCGGCGCAGCACGTTATCTGAGACGATGAGAGCGCCTGGCCGAAGGATTCTGCTCGAGTTACCAGGCTTCGACAACTCGAGCAGTTGCTTCAAGTATCCGGGATAGCCAGTCTTATCTGCATCGATGAAAACAAGATCATAGGGCTGGGTGGGGTTGAGTTTGGGTAAACTATTCGACCATCAGTAATTTGGGGTGTAAAATGATACATATATGAATAACTCACGACTCGGAAGCAGGGCCGACGAGTATCTCAACATTATCGACTCCGTTTGCTGCGAAAGCCTTCTTGGATAATTCGGCGTACTCAGGCTCGAACTCCAAGCCAGTCACAAGTCCACTCGGTCCTACAGCGTCAGCCCAGACGAGGGCAGAGAAGCCAACATAGACACCGATTTCTAGAACTATTGAATGGTGATCAGTATTGGTTCTCCTGGCTGATGAGAAAAGCCTCAAGGAATCCAGTTCCATGTTAAGGTATCTTGACCTACCCCTTGTAGCACGAATAGATTTTGCAAGAAAGGTGTTATATTGAGACTGAAAAATAGAGCTCATATAGTAAGAATCCTCTCTGTTGGCAGAGATATCCGCATGGTAATCACTAATGTGCTTAGGTAACGGCGTCGAGTGTTGCTCTGCGTAGTCAGTAACTTTTTGGCCCAGCTGGGGTGAAGTATAAAGAGGAGTGCTGTTGTCTTTCATCTTGGCTTGATTGCGAGTAGAATGTTTTATGATGGCCTCGGATGTCAGAGGAAATAAAAGAAACCTGAAGGCGCTGTTTTATACATTGATCTTCGGTACTGTAGCTCGGAGATAAAAATGACCACGAAGGAGGGGGTTCTGCCAGATGTACAGAGCGCAGCAAGACCTGTTCAAACCACAGCCAGCCGGGAAATGAAGGCCGAGATAACAGGAGCACGACTTCATGGTTCAACAGCTTTTATATTATCTGGCTCATGATATTTAAATGTCATGTCTCCAATAAAGACTATATTTCAGATTCTATAATCCCTACGATCTATGAGATGGTCGAAATCGTGCCTTTCCTTAACGGGAATATGCCATAGTGGTAGAGGTCGCCGCCTCCAGGGCTTCCAGGAGATCCTCCCCCGCACTAGGTGGTAGTGGAGGTTGGTACATTGACGTCAGCTTGGAATGACAAAGCATCAGGTCGGCGGTATGTCTCTCGATCCGATCCTTACTCCGACTAAATTCCCGCTGGTAAACGAGCAGTCGGTGGGTGTTATTCTTATCATGATGTGAGAGAAGTGAAACAAAAGGAGGGGACGATCAATTGAAAGCTACTAGTCATCTATGAATTTAAAGATAATCTCAAAGGCCTTATTCCAAAGATCTTGCGGACATAGCACCAATTTTTGATAAACACCATCTTCCCGCTTCCAACGTATCCGTTTCAGTGGTGCTTCGTTCAGCGCACTTTCATACAAGACTAAACTTGAAGCTCACAGAAGCATCATGCTGGCAATACCTGCAAAGACGGCGATGCCAACAGAGACGCGGTTGTAGGTGGCTCCGGACTTGGGGACTGTTATGGGAACTGAGGGAGCATTGCCGTGCTTGCCTTCTTCGGGCTTGGCTCCTTCGGGTTGAGCAGGGGCTGGAGCCGGAGCCGGAGCCGGCTGAACCTCTCCAGGCTTCTGCTCAGGCTGTTGGGGAGCTGGAGCTGGAATAGGGGCAGGCTGAATCTCAGGCTTCTGCTCGGGGTAATGAGGAGCTGGGACGGGAGCGGGGACAAGTTTCACTTCATGGTGAGGAGCAGGAGCGGGAGCAGGAGCCTGATGATGGGGATGGCAGCCCTTGGGCTTGGAACAGATGTTCTCCTTCTTAGGCTCGTCGACCTTATGGTGCTGATGCTTGATCTTGTCACAGATGCTGGGCTGGCCATGATGATGGACCTTGTCACAGATGTCCTCCTTCTTGGGCTCCTCCTTGGGGTACTCATGCTTGGGTTTCTCATCAGGGTACTTCTTTTTCTCCTCTTTCTTCTCTTCAAGCTTCTTCTCCCCCTCAGGCTTCTTCTTGGGCTCCTCGATGACAATGACCTTGGGGCCCTCTTTATGAGGTTGTTCAATCTGAGGAGCTTCAGGCCGAGTAGCTTCAGGGGCCTTGGTCTCCTTAGGAACAATGACAGTCTTGTCTCCATGCGTGTATGTCTTTGCGTAATGATCCTTCTCCTTTTTATCCTCCTCCTCCTCCTCTTTGGCCTTGGTTTCTTCAGGAGCATGCTTGGTGGTTTTCGCTACCTGTTCAGCAACCTCCTCACCAGTGGCTCCATGGGCCTTGCAGTGCCAGCAGCCAGGCTGTGCCCAGTTGCCATTACATTCTTTGCAAGGCTTACGCGCACACTTGTCACCGACACATCCAGGACTGAGAGTAGGTGCGTGGGTGGTGTAAGAGGTGTGGAAGTGAACCTTTGGTTTATGGATATAGTCGAATTTCTCTCCGTCAAGTGTGTAGGGGCCCTTTTGGAGGTGACCTGAGTGATGGCGATGATATCCAGTAGTTCTGGTGACATGATCGTAGGTAGGATCAGGGGAGTATGAGGAGTGGGTGTGGCGGTGATGGCGGCTCCCTCTAGCCTGGGCAGCCTTGAGCTCAAGCTCGTCCTCTTTCTTCTGCAGCTTCTCCTCCAGCTTTTTGGCCTCTTCCTCGGCTTTCTCCTCCTCCTTCTTTAATTTCCCAACCTCAACTTGACCCTTGTTGCCAGCACGGTGACCCTCGTTCACCTCCACCTTAAAAACAGGGTCGGCAGCGTTCTTGTGCTCGTGCTTGGCAACATCAGCCTTGGACTCGCTCTGCCAGTCGAAACGATTGGCCTGAGCGAGGCCGTTGACGAGGACCATGAAGGCAAAAGCGTTGTATCTCATGCTTGATGTTGATGTGATGCAATGTTTTGAAACAAAAGGTCGACGAAAAGGGGAGCGGAGAACTTCCCTTGGAGTATGCTTTGATAACTAAGGAAGCTGAAGAACTCCCAGGAAGATGCAAGCAGCCGGGACCAGGTCCTTGATTTATACTTGGTACGCTGTCAATGATCTTTGCAAAGAGGGGAACTTGTGCTCATTTACTTGACTGCAAATATGACTCCGAGATACGACAGGAGAAGCCAATTGCCTGGGTAACGGGACGCCATCTCGCCATGGAATCACCTCTGGGCTTGCCTCCTCGTATGATCAAGACTCCATGAGGCGGTAAGCACTCGTTTATGCTTGAGGACAGTCCAATGACTTCATATTTATGAGCGTTCCCCGTCAACACGGAGGAGCCGATCGACATCCTGCCAGTGTAAGAGGCGGGTCAATCGAAGGGTAATAGATGAGGAGCGAACATCGAGTGTGGAACAAGGGTTGGCAAACTGTTGAGAAATATGCCGATGTCCAAATCCAATTGCTGTTTTGAAGCTACCGCTGAACGACCGAACACTCTGCTCACCAGCCGCGTTATAAATACTGCTCGCTATCAAGTTGCACAACCTCGACCTCTTCTTACTTTTCGCAATCCCCCAATTCTCTTTCTCGCCAAAGATAATCTTACCCTAACGCCCCTGGTACTAATACAGCAAATCGGTCCCACGGTAGTTATTTTGCTTCTGCCTCTGTTTCTGCTCCCTATTCGGTCTCCTATTCCTCCGGTGGACCTGAGAAAAGCCCAAATCGCATTCGGTGGCTCTGGGCTTGTGTTAGCATGTGACGCCCATGAGAAAGTATGTTGTGTAAACAAAACCAAGGGTACATGTCATAGGTGCAGAGACGCAAACAAATAGAGGGATGGCACGGCAACATACAAAGGGTAGCTTGGGGATGACGACTCCCAGGACAGCCAATAAGTTAATAGTAAAGTATGTCAAGTCGTAATGCGTATAGTGGGTGCTGACGAGGAATAGTGCAATCGGAACACCAAGAAGAAACTTCTTGGTGGGCGTGTACTGCGCGCCATTGTCAATTTGCTCCCACATATTGAGGTTGTCAAAAGCGCCACTGTTGAAATCGAAGGGAACGCCACGAACATGGTGGAACATGATGTAGGAGCCAAACATGTATGACATGTTGACAAGCGTCCATGAAGTCTCCTGCGAGACACCAGGGATGGCGTCAAATATGATTTTGGCGCACACGATCAGGACGAAATGAATGGTCCAGGCACCTAAGGGGCATTACACGTTAGCATGTGGCTCTCGGGAATTATTGTGCAAGTGAAGGTACAGATGCGCGGCAAAAGGGGCCAGGCATACCTTTAGCATTTGTCCAGTTGGCGTTGAGGTTAGGCAGAGAAGCTTGGTCGCTGATCTGCTCGAGAGTCTCGGGAGGCTCATGGTAAACCTGGAGGATACTGCTAGATCTCCTCCTTCGGGCCCCAGCTCCTCCCGCTGCGTTTCGTTCGGGCATGTTGAGATAGATGCTGCCTCGGCGCGGAGGCTTGTTCGCCGCGTCGTAGGAGACGGTGCGCTGGAGTAAGATTGGGGAAGACAGCTTGGCGGTATTGACGGGTCAATTTGCAAAAAGCGTAAGTCGAGTGGGAGGAGGGGAGAATCGGCGGAGAACAACACGGGTGCAAACACCCAGAGTTTGCGTTGTCGGTAAAAGATGGATTTCACTATCGGTTTGAGTTCAAAGATAAGTAGCTGCAGAGGCTCCCCCTAATGATGTCACGGCGAAGGCGTTCGGATGCAAATGCGAGGCCAATGCAAGGGCAAAAGAGAGCGGGCGTGTATGATTGATGCTGGATAACGAGAACGGATGCAGTCGGCCAAACACGATGATAGAGCCAAGTAAGAAGATATAAAGCGCAGAATAGAATAGTTGTCAATAACAGACAGTAGAAAGTAGTTGGATCAAGGGAATGGATATGGAAGGACTGGACGAGATGAGAGGGGCCGCCGAACCGGAATATTCAATGTCCCCCGTATGATGGTGGACAAGGTAGGAGGAGCCACTCTCATGAGATGGAAAGGAGCAACAGCCTATCAGCCAGCAGGAGAAAGGGACACGCAATGCAACCAGAACGAGTAACGGGGCTACTTCGCAGGGTAGGTCGGGTTAGGCGGAACGGTGGAGCCCAATGCTGAAATTAGTGGTCGTAGTGGGTGAGCTTGCAGCAGTAGTTCACTGGAGCATGGTTAGTCCGGGGGTTTTTTTTCTTCAGGGACCTCCAATAAAACGTTCGGACCTAGGAACCCGCGGGATTTCTTCAGGGGGGACTCACGGCATCACCAACCCAACTTATTAGGGATCTTTGTCTCGTGGTGATTGTGGATGATTATAGTCGAGAAGCCAACGGTTCGATCAGAGCAAGGGTTTGCTGGTCTTACTCTTGAGGTCCAGAGAACCTAGAATATAGATGAAGCCGAAAATTGACCTGAACGAGGCTAGTCGGAGCAGGATGGGGATTTGAATGTCAATGCGACGTGCGACGATAAAGTCATCCAGAGCAGTCTAGGTGTTTTAAAAGAGCAACAGAACGTGAATAACTGGGATCAAGAGTGTTATTCTAGATGATATAGGTTTGTACGGAGGTACAATTACCTGACATACGAAATTTGCTGGGGCAATCACTCTTTTTCCCTCGTGGACTGTAAAAACGATGCAACAAGCCTAAGTAGGCGAGATCTGGCAAAGCTCCATGGGTATCAGATTCACCAGCGAGATTGCAGTGCGATATATAGAACATGTCTTACCCGAGATGAGGAAAAATCACACTTGATTATCTGGGGCTGGCGTGTGTAATGACATGTCAATGTTGCAGAAAACGTGACGTTGGCATGGACTGTATCCTGACCGACTGATGGTCCTCGGCGCCATAAGAACTGCAAATATGACCACGAAGCAGAGGGCAAGACAGCTGATGGAGACTCACGATATCTCGACCGGTGTGTACACATCGTCGGAAATCGGCTGATATCGAACGGCTCTAAGAACATCCAGGCGTTCATGGCAATTCATCTAATAAATAAGCTGAGGCTAGTTGTGGCAGAGTGGTTACCCTGAAGGCCTGGATAATCCTCGGAGTTTAAAAATAGCCACGGAAATTGAGACACCTTCTTTCGCCTGTGGGTCTGCATCTCCCATAGGCTGGCTGCGGAATTTTCTCCCAACTGGGATCTAACTTAACCCAGCACGCTTATCGATATCATCACAGCTTTCATTTCACATCTCCCTGACACAGTCAAATAACCTCTTCGCATCTTGTCTTTGCGAAAATTGAAGTCTCAGTCACGGAACCATCGCAAGTTACAGAAGCCGTGCACAAACGATTTTATATTGCTGGCGAACTCTTTTCGGAAGTGATATTTTCACTCGCGACGCTCAGGTACGTTCATAGTTACATTCGCACCTGAAAGCCCCTAGCTTTCATCAAGCCAAATGGAGGTTGTGCATTCTCGCTCATCGCGCCACCTTATGGCTAGATCTTGTCTGGATGCATTCGCGATCCATGTGACTGTCGGTGAGCAGTGTTGATTAAGTTTCTTTGACCAGGATAGTCACGAACAATTTCGAAGAAGCCAAGTGGCTCTGAGAATTTTGCTTGAGGTTGAGTTTCACGTTAAGTCGGATGCGCCAAGGTCTGAAACCCACAGATTCAGATTCGATACTGCGTTCAAGCTGGCACGTCTCCCAGATTCGATAAGGACTGCCTGTTCCGCATCGGCATGGCAGATGAAGAATTTGACCCAGGTGAGGTCATTTACTTGTCCAGTGGAGACGAAGCAGCGGCAGCTGCCAAGAAAAGGCCCCTCGAGGATGATTCGACACCTGAGCCCAAGCGCCTGAGGAGTCATGCGCGTGCGGCCAAAGTCCCCAGAATCGAGGAGCAATCTGCCAAAGGATCGAAGCCCACAGAGGAGTCGACAGCCGTTGGCAAGTCCTCTGCGCAGTCAATCACATCAGGTGACTCCGCACCCGAAGATTCTGGCGAAATCCCTGACTACAAGCAAGGTAGGGCCAGCTTCAAAATACCCAACCTCGTGGATAAGAAAGGCGGCTCCTGGCTTAAACGGTTTAAGGACTGGGTCAAGGCATTCCACGCCCTCAATCCGGGAAAGTGTGATGCCATTACCTCATCATTAACTTACTCTGCTTATGGCTACTATATTGATCACCACGCCGGCTTGAAGCCCAAGAAGAGGAAGACTGCAAAGCAAGTTGCAAAGGAGCTTGAAAGCACTGGCGAACTTCAAGCTCTTATTGGAAATCTCCATTCTTTGAGCAGTTGTGGACCTAATCAGCCAACTCTTGACAGCTGGGTGACAACGCAACCCCGACAGGAACCTGTTAACAAAGGTAAAAACTCACGCGCTTCTAGCGTAAGCGAGGGGGAAATTGACGAAAGGGACGAGGATGGCTCCGAAAGCGAAGCTGAGTACGAACCAACCTTAAACAAGACTGAGAGGATTGAAGAAGATGCCAGAGAAGAGTACGCATCAGGCATGAATATACCTGCAAATGGCAACTCAACACCCAAAGTTTCAGATTCCCAGAGCTTACCACCGATTAACACTCACCGGAATGTTCCCACCGGTGATAATGCATTAGAACAACAGCGCAGATACTTCCCCTCGGCCATGGATCCTGCCCAGATGTGTCTTCTTTGTGGGCTGAATACACATCTGGCACCTAGCTGCCCATCCCTTATCTGCTCTTCATGTGGAAGTTTGGAACACTCAAAAATCTGTTGCCCTGAAAAGGAACGATGCAACAAATGCCGCCAACTTGGCCACCAAGCAGGCCAATGCACTGAGAAACTGGCTTTGACCAAGGAAGAAGGTCTTGCCTGTGTCTTTTGCAGCTCAATGGATCACCTTGAGGAACAGTGTACACAGGTGTGGCGATCGTTTTACCCGGATGTATCTACAGTCAGAAAAGTTGCGTTTATTCCTGCATCGTGCGCTGTGTGCGGTAGTGATAGGCACTTTTCTTCGGACTGCAATGCGCACCGCAATGCCGTCTCTAATCCTACATGGTCTGTGAAGAACCGCGATCAATATATTGACCCGGATTGTGGCTCAGTGCCGATCGAAGGGGAGGCGGGAGGGCAGCAAAATGCAAGGACCACGAGAGCCCCCGACCTTAAGATTCGCGGTCACGCTGCGCGAACGACCAACATTCACTACTCAGAGAGCGACGACTCGGAAGTGGAGTTTCTAGGCCACAAACGCGTTCAGAAGCCAGCGCTCGGCCAAATTCGAATGGCCAGTAACATCCAGATGCCAAACATGCAAAATGGAGGGTCGAGACGAAACAACAGACAGAATGGCGTGCCAGTCCAGCCTCCTCTCCCTCCTGGGCCGCCTCCTGGACTACCGCCCATGCGAGGTTCCTTTGGGCACCCGCCTCCACCGGGTGCTCCGTCCGGACAATTTCCATCGCTACCCAGGAAGCCTCCTATCCAAGACTATAGGAACGTCCCCCCGCCATCTCGCCACGGCTCTCAGGGACCCGGAAGGTCGCATGCTAGCAACGGGCCACAAGGGTCCAAGCCTAGAGGAGGTGGACGTGGAGGTCGTGGCGGTCGTGGACGGGGCAGGGGCAGAGGGAGGGGCAGATGAATGCTTGTGGTTTGAACGAAGCACCAACACATATGCATTGGTTGGAATCGAACTAGAGATGATGGAGAGTTGTGATGCCTTCGGAGCAGGGCATCCTACGAGTTGGTTGGCGCACAAAAGCCGAGCTGGCCGCCCACAGCGGGACTTGTCCAGACTTGGCGAACGGGCTTTTCGACTATGATACCCGCCAGCATGTGCTTCATTAATAGCACCTGGTACTCATATTGGCCGTTTCTCTTTGAAACAAAAATGGGAAACGACGAGACTGAAACAACTGTGAACCACGAATACCAATAGTTTTCAAGCTATGAATAAACATATGGAACGTATGAGGGCTTGGACATGCCAATAAGCTCAAATGGCAACGCGAGTTGAAAACATCTTGTATTCATCGGCTTAATCACACAGTTTCTCATCAATGCATATATGGACAAGGGTCATGCACAGGTAAGGCCCGCTACTGGTTGTAATTTGTAGACACCACAAGTCGTTTTTTAACCAGAGGTTTTGCGCCTGACTGAATAAATCACTCCTTCTCCTAAGGACCAGGAAATATCTGAGATAAAATCCAACTGGCTATCTTACCGAAGACCCTCTAAAGTGAAACTGCATCTTCAGATAGGTAGTCAGGGATAGCACCAGTTAAATGACGCCCTCTCAAGGAAAAGACGGTCGGTTGTCTGTGTGACAAGAGCTCGTGACAATGCAGCATCACATTCGCGAAGCATACTCACTCACAGTGCCCCGAGTGGAGGCAGCGATCTATTGCCACAAGTCTGGACGCGACAGAATTGTGTCGTTTACTAGTCTCGTGTTAAGATGTAGTCATCTCGAGGACCCGTTCATACAGGGCTGTGCTGAGGAATGGGTGGAGAGAGAGCAAGAAGCTTAATGGAGATGCATGTTTTAGGGTTGGGGCTTTCTCAACCTTTGCTTTCAATGGATCTTTTTGAGAGCAAGGTTGTACCAACAAGGATGTGATGGGCTGGGATGTATGGCAACGAATGGATGACATGCTAGCAGAATGATGTGGTGTATGCATTTTATGTGTGTTGCGCATTTACGCCTCGCCTCCGAGGGAATCCTGCGTGATTCGTCCTTGGATGAGTTTAGGGCAGACATGCGAGTTTCGGTGATGAATAGTTGACATCCTGTAATGACACGATTCACCCTCAAATGCTAGATTGAGCGAAGTTAGACCCTGACAGTTTCCAGATTGAGATCTTGCAGTCCAGGAACCCATAGAACAGCGCAAAACTTGACTCCCATCGTCCCGTCCCGCTTTGCTTGAAAGTCAGGATACCAACCTGCCGCCGATGACTTACATCACGATGGAAGTTGAGTGTTGTCAAAATAGCCAATCATGGCGCGACAGGCATGGTTGAAACAACGCGACTATCGCGTTCTTGGACACGCAATTGATTGGTTGAATAACTATGCATGTTTCCAAGGCGTGGCAGAGTGACCATCTCCACAATCTAGAAGCGCTATCGATAAACACCCGATGCATGGGATGTACTTCTAAGATACTTGCGTTCAAAATGTGGGAGGCCTGAACCGAAGGATTAACCGAACATTGAAGGAGTGGATCTGATGGACGTGGCGAGATTCAAAATAGGAAGCATCTGCGTTGAAAGAGTTTGCAGCTGGTCTCGCGAGTGGTTGTTGATCCCGAGGCCAGCAAAGTACTCTCCAAGTACGATGCCATCGTGCCCTCGCGGCAGATCTGCAGCGACAAGGATAGCGGCAGAACAAACCACGGTGAGCCAACCAATCATGAAACGATCGCAACGCGTTGTCGGTCAGTCATACAACGTCCAGTCCAACGCGAACAAGTATGGGCACCTCGATCTAGACACGACTAGGGTGATTTGAGTTCTGAGTCACCGACAGCCAGTCGTCGCTGGCAGAGGGTGACCATCTCGCGATAGGACCAATGCACGAACCTGCAGCCGGCAGAGACGCTAGAGCAAGAGAATGGAGTTGGGAAAGGGGAATTTCCATTTTTCTCTTTTCCTTTGAAGCCAAAAAAGAACGAGGCTGATCTCAGGGTTCGTAGCGAGACAGATAGAGACAGATACAGATATATCTCGACCACCCGGACCCGGCGCTCATGGCCTGACCCGATCCTTTTGTCCTTTTGATTCACTAACAAATTTGCCTGGCATTATTCTATAAATTGTTGACTTATCAGACCGTTATCATTGACTACTATCCTCATCTACTTGCTCTTTTCTCTATTGACTGTTGTTGTTTGAATAACACTCATCTCAACTTGCAAAAGAGACTCAACCTCGTCTTGGATTAGAATATTGATATCACACCGTCTTACACCATCATCAACATTGATTGCGCCGGCACTCTGAGAGCACCAGCAGTTTTCAAATATAAGCGACGGATCTACGAGGCTAAAGTCCTCCGCGACATGCGATTACAATGGCGTCCTCAACAGAACAACTATTTCTCGCCATCTTGAGAAGTGACCACATTAAGGACTCTCTTCTTCCTCACCTCTCACAAAATGATCTCTGCAACATCCGTCAGTCCTCATCGGCTTGCTGCAACCTCCTTACTAAGCGTATCTTCACCCGCCTACACATCTCCTTCTCAGCCTCGACATTTACCAAGTCAGCTCGAGTGGCTGCTCTCGCTCGTATCGGCCATCATATTGAGCATCTTACCTTCTACTTCCCCCATTCGGACGCTACTTTCCTTCCTCCTCTCATTCATCCAGTTTCTGGTAACGAGATATGCTTCCTATATACTCCTCACACGAGCATGGGTTCTGTTCTCTCTCGGCCCAAGTACGCCAACGCTGAGCTTGGTGACATCCTTACGCAGCAGTACCCTCCTCTCTTCCATGCTGCCACCAATGTCCCTAGCTTTATCAACGCCATGCGCAGTCTGACCAACATGCGCCATCTGACTATCAGATGTCCTGGCCAGGATCCTAGAGAGCGATATCGCCGTGACATTGTCGACTATGCTCTTATCAGCTTGCGTATCTCCCTTGAGCGTGCTCCTCTAGAGAAGCTTCACAAGCTGTCCCTTTCTCAACTGCACCCTGCGGCTTTCAACTACCTTCGTCACGTCAACGGCTTTGGAACAGTCCCATCGGCTGGAAGACGCTGGCGCCAGATCAACAAGCTCTCCATCTCGGTGGATGCTTGGGACTTTTATGGAACATCGCCAGGTCGTGACCATTTGAAGATCTTGGACGAATACGTCCGCACATTTGCCCCCAACCTAAAGAAGTTCGCCTTCACATGGCTTGGTCGCAAAGGGCCTTGCCCAGTTGCTCTGGCTTCTGACCCCCTCTTCTCACCGCCCCGTGCCTCCAAGAAACTGTTCCACGAGGTTACATCTCCTATGTCTCCCTTACCCGAGACTCCTGGAAAGGGGGCTATTTACTTCCCAAAATTGCGATACCTTCAAGTTCGCAATGCTGTTATGAACGCCCCTCAGCTCAGCAACTTGATCAACTCACACCGTCCAACAGTCAAAGAATTCGACTTCGAGAGTGTCGTTCTTGCTGATAATGGTAACTGGGACGATGTCCTTGCGCCCATCGACACTGACGATTCCTGGTCTCGAAGCAACAGCATGGCCGCCCAATCAGAATACAGTCTTGTCACAAGCCCCAGCTCAGAACATCTTCCTAGCCCAAGTGCTGCTGTAACTGCCGCTAGTCGTGAGCTCTTGGACATGGACCTCGGTGGCTTCCCCTTCGGCGACATTGAAAACGAAGTCGTTGATGACCCTACTGGAGAGATCACTGCCAATGAACAGTTTTCTGCCCCTGTATATGAATCAGATGCCGGATTCAGCACAAAACTTAGAAAGAAACGCTCTCGTCGCCGCAGACGCAAGCATCGCAGCAGTGTTGAGGATGCCCCTGAGACACCGTCTCCCTCACCCAAGTCCTCCCAACACTCCCTATCACGCCGCCACAAGACCTCTCGTCCTCGACTCCAACCTTTTGTGGAGGAACAAATCCTCCGCCCTTCAACTCCTGTCCCCAACATCACCGCCCCCATCTTGATCAGTGATCCCCAGCCCGTGCTGCTGCAACCCACAACTTATGACCCAACCGCAAGGAAGAATGCCAGTCGAGACCCGGATGAAGGCATTTCTCCCGTTCAGCGCAACATAGAGCAGGAAGAGGCCCACCGTCTTCTAGCTGAAGATGCTGTCGCGAGAGTGAGCGCCTTGCAAAAGGCCAAGGCCGCTGTCCTGTCCAAGCTGAGCCGCGAGTTCTGCCATAGCAAGAAACCTCGTGTCGGTGAAGCTAACGCATGTCGCTTTCTGGCAGGCCGGGATATTGGTACGGCATTTGGCCCCAGCATGGTCATGGAGGATCGAAGAGCACTGGAGAGTCGGAGTGTATTAGTACCCCTGATGTTCAGTCGCTCATGAAGTGAACGCAGTACGAGAAACATGAATGAAATGATGACGAGCTCCTGGAAATAGTGGGAAAACTTTTGTAATAACGATACCATGCCCTTCGTTTCTTCATGTATTTACTATTAGCATTTCTTTCCACTGAAAACGAATCTTATGTTATGACCGATGCCTTCGTTGCCTCTCATCATAAGCATGCTTAATTATGAACTTTCCTTACTTATTGTCTCCATGGCCTTAATATACTCCGAGACTTCTTTCAGGCCCGTGAGTGTCAAGTCTCTCCTTCGCCCTTCAATGACTACAGTCGGCACGGCATCGATGTCCATACCTGTACTTCTGATCTTTTCTTTGGTATCCCTTTCACCTCTGGATTTATCTTCCACCAAGCTCTTTGCCACTCCCTCATCTATACCAGCCTCAACACATGCCTCGACCAACATATCGTCAGCACCAGGATGTCGGCCTTCCGCAAAGTACAACCTGAACACCGCGTCCACGAGCCTGTTCGCCACTTCAGCTCCCTGGGACTCCTGAACCTGTTGGATGACCCGATGTCCAGGAAATGAGTTACCAGTTGGTCCCGTAAAGGCTATGGGAAGTTTCAGTGGCTGCGCAAGTGAGAGCATATGCTCTTCGAAGATTTTCTGGGCCTCTTGATTGTCATTATGCTTCTTGTGCAGGGCATATGCAGCTCGGTCCGGGATGGTTTCAGGACGGTTTGGATTGGGCTGATAAGATGCGAAATGGAGCTTGAAGGAGATGGAGGATGAAGAATTCGAGGAGCGGAACTGAGCCAGAGCCTCATCGAGTCTGTAGTCGAAACGTCAAACGGTTATTAGAGTCAAGGTGAGCCAATGAAGATGGAAGATGTACCTCCTCTTTCCAAGGTATGTCCTGAGATGAATTAGCCATGATTCCCCTTCTCTTGACGAGCCATCATACCAAGGACAAATGGTATCCATGACGAAAGTGATTTGAGACTGATACATAATGAAATGCTACAGGAGGCGAATGAATATTGTATCTCTTGTATCTGGCACTCATTGAAACGACCGGGATCGCTGGTATGTAAATGCGGGGAAATTGCAACGGGCCTCCGGATCTATAACGGAACGACTAATTCGAAAGAGTCCCCACGCATAAGGTAAGTCTCACTCATGATGTATACATCTTTTCACATCGGACACAAGAAACCATTGGAACTATAAATGGGTATCTCGGAACATGGAATGTATCTCGCTGTACTTAGTCAAACGTCATCTTCGTACCTGTATGCTTTACAACCGCGCCCGTCAGTCTCGCAACAGATATATCCTCAGCCTCCTTGAGCGGCTTCGCAACCTCCCCATGAGCATCATTACTCTCCCGCACTGCGCCATTCGTTTGATCATACTTGCGCGGCGGAGGTCGACCTCGTGGGTTGCTGTCCTTGTCGGGAAGTGCCTTACGATCCTTGCCGAACCGCTTCTTGTACCGTACTTGGTCATCCTCGGCCAACTCCACCTTGAGCTCGCGACCCAGCATTCGGTTTACCCACCACTTGCGTGTCTTGAACTGCTTCTGCTGCGACTTGTCCTTCTCCTCCTCGTCCTTGAAATCGTCCTCTGTCTCGACTGCCTCTTTAATTTTGACGAAACCTTTGACGGCCCATGCAGCAGCATTGGGGTCCTGGAACTTAACCCAACCAAAGCCCTTGCACTTCCCAGTATCCTCGAAGGTCGCAACCTTGGCCCATTCGATCTCGCCGCACTTCTCAAAGTTTCTGTATAGGTCGTCCTCAGTTGTTTTGAAGCTCATATTACCCACGAAAATCTTGCGACTGGCATTGACATCCTGCTTTTGCTCCTTGCTGGTCTTTCCCTCATTGGCGTTCTCTTCAGTGGACTCAGGCTCCTTTTTGGGCCGACCCTCAAACGATGTCGCATCCTTGATGAGAAGTTTTCGACCACCAAGGTCACTCTCGGTAAGAGAGATAGCGGAGACTTTGGGACCGATTTCTGTAAAATCGACGTAGGCAAACCCTTTGTTTGCTGGCTTGACGCTCTTATCCCGGCCAGGTTCCTTGTTGGTTGGTAGCTTGACCCGAGTGATCATCTCTTCAGTGATGACGCCTCCGGAGTTATCGACGAGCCACTTGCGCAGCTCCATAGCCGTGACATGAAATGGCAAGTTGCCAATCCAGACACTGTGCTCTGACCGAACGGCTTTCTTATCCTTGCCATCTTTATCGCCCTTTTTCTCGTCATCGCTATCCTGTTTCGAAGGCAATGACTTGCCCTTTTTGAGCGCACGCTTTGCGCGCTTGGACGGGGGCTCGGGTGCGTCTACGTCGACTTCGATTTCTTCGAGTTCGATTTTGCGCTTGGAAGAGGATGCGGCGGCTTCAGACTCCGCCATCTCGGCAGCTTCTGTCGATTCGACCTTCTCAATTTCGATAGTCTTCTCGGGGTTCTCGGTCTTTGGTTCTGACCTAGAAGTTTTGGACTTCTTCTCTTTCTTTTCCTTTGTCGCCATTATGGTGATGATGGTTGACAGACGAGTCTAAGGATAAAGTCGCTAGAAATTTTCTGCCTGTTTTATTGCGATAAGAGATAAGAAACTCGGAGATGTGGGTCTGCCGCGCCGGACCCTTGAAAACCTGATTTCCTCCGATGGTGGGCCTGTCAGGTACCGATTGAATGCGTTGTCCGTTGTCCGCCGCATTGAAAAAAACCAGCCCCCGGAATTAGGGAGAAGTTTACAGATTGTTCAACAAGGGAAAAAGACTTTATTAGTGAGATTTTGGTGAGCACTGACCGGGAATCAACTTCTCAGCGTTATGCCAACCCCAAGCACCTTATGGTAAGCTCATTCAACCTCTGAAAAAGTGATGAGAAGGGCATACAAGGACAGTTATTGAACTGTGCTGAAACGTGATACTGACAATGAGATAACAAGCCATGTTACCGGTTTGACGATTTTTGGGCATTGATGCTTGTGGATGGGCGCAGTGGCATTTGGTGCCTGTGCACTATTGGGAAGTACGAAGGCAGCGATCTTCCAGGCTGATGCCATCACGGAGAATCTATAGTTTGCTAACTTGCCTGGTGATAACAGCATAGAAAGGTAAACAATTGAGGCTGGTGTCAAATATACGATTTTGCTGTCAAGTCGCATCTTGGCAAGCAAGACGAACAACTGGTAATCATGTTATTCACCGCCTGGACGGCACTAGTCTTCCAATATACCTAGCAACAGGGGTTTCGCTGTCTCAGAAACATCCCAAACATCCAATGGCAGAATTTATCAAGCAAAGTTGTCAGTGAATCATCCATGGAACTGAGCTAACCACACGTACGGCCCTGTATAGGAACTATGCCAGCCGTGACTTCATCATAATTAGTATCATTTACCTGCGGCTCAACCATAAGCTATCATGATCATGCCAATCTATCGACATCGTTGATAAGTAGGTGATTGATGAGAACATTCACGCCTGCAACTCGTTGTTCCGGGGCCTGAGAGATACAGGCCCGACATACATCGCCGAGGCCGTCGCCGGCCGAAGCCTGGTGGTGGCGGCCGAATTAGGGAAAGGACCCGATCCGGCCCCGTCAGGACGGCCCGGGCTTAGTTAATCTTAACTTTGCCGTGGTGTTGATTGGTGGGTATGTCATGAAGAGCCCCGGCGGATTTCTAATCCTATACCGCTTCTGACATATAAGCTGTGAAGAAAAATACTTGAATTGACGCTTAACGAAAATTTGCGAGAGTCATGACATAGAATTGTAGACCCGGCCAGCGCGGTGAAGGAAAATTAAAACCAACCAACAGCCACTTGAGCCCAAAAAGGTGCTAAATTAATACTGGGGACCATGAAGATGCCCCTCAACCTGTCCCTGTTCACGTGTGGCTACCAGGCCTGGGCGGCTTGCGACGGGGGCCTCAGGTGTGGCCAGAGCGAATGAGATGCCTCGTGACCCCCATAGACCTAGGCCCAGGCAAAATTCACTAGTCCCAGACAACGGACCAAAAACACTGGAACCTTGGAACTCTCCCTCATTCAAAGCCTGACCAACCCCAACTTCACCAGTCCCGTCCACCTCTTCATCCTCCTCCACCTTTTAAAACCCTCTTCTACGCCATTTACCCTCCGCCACGATTCCTTTATTTCACTTGACATATCGTATCGCTCGGTATAGCAATTCCGCCAAGCAAACGCTCCCACCATACATTCACAGCGCTTAACGCTGACTCTCGACCCATTTGTATTCTCGCAACCGGCGATAGAATTTGGAACTTTGGTTTACGACGTCCAGCACTACGAAACCACCGCTGGTGTCTTAACGGCCAACACACAAACCCTCTTTATCGGCAAACATATTCGTCACCAATTTTGGCTTAGACAGCTTGCACTGTCTTTGAGTGATTTATTCATTCATTGATTGTTGAACAAGGATCGTTCCCAAGTCCCATCGGGTGCTTTTGGAACTTGCGACAACATGAACGTTCTGCTCTCGCCTCAGCCTCCTGTCTTCCCTCATCAACACGAAAACCCTCGTCTCTCCCCTCAGCGATCCCGTAAGTGCTCTCGTGCCTCAATCATTCCCCATTCGAGATGCGATAACTCACTCAACTCTTCCACCCTAACTGCTCTTCGCCACTAACACACTTAGTGCCTCCCTTTCACAGTATGGCCTCTCGAAAGCGGAAAGCTGACGAGGATGGTGATGAGACCATGTCACCCAGGAGTTCTCCTACCATCTCTGCTCGACCTCTAGCTCGACCATCGAAGAAAGTTCGATCCAACGAAGTCATCGGTCGACCTCTTGCACTTCCACGACTTCTCGAGACTCTTGATACTTCCCAGCTAAGAACCGTCCTTGAGCGCATATGCGAAACCCGTCCCGATATTGGTCATGAGGTTGTCTCACAAGCTCCTCGTCCTTCAGTTCCGTCCGCCCTGCAAGTTTTGCAAGGTTACGAGGCGAAGTTGAAGGATGCTATTCCATACGGCGAAACTAGCCCGGAATACACCTACTATCGGATTAAAGAGCCGCTGGTTGCTTTGATTGACGCACTATCTGACTTCACCCCTCAATTCCTCCCACCAAATGAAAACCAGCCTACCAAATCACTTGAATTCTTGGACGAGGCCACAAACATTATTCATAGACTTCCCAATTGGGAGCCGCAGACATACCGACACCATAAGGAAACTGCATATGAAGAAATATCGAAGGCATGGGCACTCGTTATCAACGAGGCTGGCAAGAGGGCTGGTGGTTTTAATTTACATACTGGAGGATGGGACCAAATTTTGTCTCGACACAATGAACAATCCGGTGATCGTCTTGCCTCAGCAATCAACGCCATGTCCACGAGTGTTGGATGGATAGGCGCCAATGCAAACCCAGGAGCTGGAGGGCCCTCTGACCCTAATTCTATTCTCAACCAGCTCATGTCTGGTACCTATGGAGCTCCCGTTAGAGTTGGGCCCTGGTAGGGACAGTTGTGACCTGGAGCTCTCCAAGATAATGATTGCATATCGCGGCGCACCGGACGAGTCATCTTCGCACATATTACGACCAAATCATTACGACGACTTTCATTTGGCAGCATTGGCGGCATAGACTTGAGGCACCCATTTCTTTATTTTACGGCAGGGTGGTCGGCGTTTTGCGTGCATTTTTTTTATATCCCTTTCCTTCACTTATGAACCAGTAGGGATTACTGTTATACGGATTGGTTGATTTCCCAAGCAACCCCGACAGCGCAGACAGACTGCGTGTGCCTGTATGTAGAAATTTGATATATTTCGTTTGTTATCTTGACAGTCTTGGCAGAAAGCTTGCAGACCGTTCTCGACGAACCTCATTTAATGGTTTCTTGTGACGACTACCACTGGATACATGTCGATGCAACCTGTTGATATTCCTGCATGTACTTTTTTTTCTGTCAGCCAAATATGTCACCCTGACTAGGACCTATCGTGGAGTAAATAGTATCCGTCTTTTAGATCCCGTGGAATTATGTAGACGATCCGGCTCTATTCCGTCCCTATCACTAAACCGAAAGGGAAAGACTGATAGCCGCATCTAGTTGACCTCAACGCATTGAATGAACGTTTATCAGATAAGGCAGCTGTTGAAACTAGGTTATTCAAGCTGTATTGTCGTCAAGAGGAAACCTCTATAGCTAAAAAGGTCCAAGACGAACACTATGGTATGTAAAGCAGGTAAGCCCTAATGGGTATTTGTATCCTAATTGCGTCTCGAGCTTCGTGTATTTACAACCCTTCAGTTTCAAGAAATGGCATTCCTCTTTGAGATGTTCTCACTGTCATCGAGATCCTTTTCTTGAGCTTGAAGCCGATAAACTAGGTATTAAAAATACTAAGTGTCACAAGCCTTAGGGAGTAAGAAAACTTCTGACCTTAACTTAAGATGCAAAAATTACTAGCCATCTAGTCTAAAGGCCACTGATTATATACTAAATCTTCTTGAATCTATACTAAATTTACCGTAATCCTTTTGTCATCATGTAGGATAGAAGTCTTGAGTTTTCTCGCCTCCCAAAGACAAGGTATCAAATCCATGATGGAGGTACTAAGGTCCAGGAACAAGAAGTTGCCTAAGTCATTTAATTTGAATAGACTCAAGGTAGCTCGAGACATGAGGGGCAATCGGGGTCCCTCGACAATCTGGTTACAGTTGCACACAAGTCTTGGGAGTCGGCGGAGCACTCGTATAGCAGGTATCCCGTACTAGGTTAGTAACTTCTGACGGGCTACCAATCTGATGAAGGTGCCTCCCTTGTGGTCCTGACTAAGCAGTGTCACGTGCTCTCCCGTCACTCTGAAGTGGAGGCGCGACTGCCTGGATCGACCGTTAACGCGCTCTTGCTCATTAATCAATATCAAGCCCGCCACTGCTGGCGAAGTTTTGCCCTCAACTCTATACTGTCTCAATTTTGCTCTATTACTACGAACCCTCATTGCTGACACTTTCCGAGTTCTTCATGTGTACATAAATTTTGTTCTGTTTTCAAGCATTCACCATGCCTGCGTATGTTCCTAGACGTGTCGCGTTTAATGTTCTTACCACTAACGGTTTCCCCAGCCCAGGCGATCAGCACACTGCAGTGACGAATCCTTTCGAGGAGCCGCGTCTACGAGTCGCCGAATGGGCTGCCAAGGACATTGCAACTATCTCAGCGAAACTGGATAAACAACTTGGCCCCGAGTACATTTCTGCCCGTGCAGGTCCTGGTGGCACCAAAGTCCATTACCTAACTGCTGAGAAGTGTATCACCTTAGCGAATGAAGTTTTTGGCTTTAATGGATGGTCGTCCTCCATTCAAAACATTCAGGTTGACTTCGCCGACGAAAACCCTCAAACACAGCGCGTCAGTATCGGTTTATCGGTCATCGTCCGAATTACACTACGCGATGGCACCTACCATGAGGATATCGGATACGGATCCATCGAGAACGCAAAAGGAAAGGCAATGGCTTTCGAAAAGGCTAAGAAGGAGGGCACTACCGACGGACTGAAACGCGCCTTGAGGAGCTTTGGTAACGTTTTGGGCAACTGCATATACGACAAAGACTACGTGAAACAAGTCACCAAAATGAAAGCCGAGCCCGTTAAAAAGTTCGATCAAGACAATCTCCACCGCCACGCCGACTTCATCAAGCGTGATGTTGTAAGACAAGAGCCAGCCGCTGCCGCTACTTCAGAGGCGCCTGCTGCGCCTGTGGTCAAGACAGAGCCGGTGCCGCCACTCCCTGTTGCAGAGTCATTTGACGATTATCTTGGAGGTATCTTGTCCTCCGATGGATTTGAGGAAATCGAGGCTGAATATCTGTAGAGCTTGACGAGGCAGACTTCTGTGTTCCAGAAGATGGCCACCCGGACGAAATTATGCTTTCAACATCAATCTTGGGCCAACCTGCAAATGAGAAACCCGCCAACAGAACAGCAGCCCAACAAATTCAGCAACAAACTGGCAGGTCGAATTCTACTGGACCTCCGAATCGAGCACCGCAAACTCCGATTCATGGACAGCAACGTCCAACCCCCCCCAATGGTGCAGCCACACTTTCCAATCGCCCACAAGGTGGACCTTCGGGACGAACAACTCCAAACCATATCGGCAACCCTCGTCCGCCACCCAATGGACCTCAAAACATGCCCGAAACCGTAGGGTTCTTCTCTGCAAAGGCCGTGAATCAACTGCCAGAATCCACTCTAGAAGGTTCGAGTAATGCTCGTCTTGCTTTGCCACAGGGGCAGCAGGCCTTCAACCCCAAGGCAGAAAGTCCATCTATTCGAAAAACCCCTGGTATCGACCACACTTCATCCAAACCTGTTGCAAGGAATGGCCAACATGTTGCTCCGACCAATAGTCAAGCAACAGTGGCACCTGCTACACGCTCTAACACGAATAGCTTTACCCCAGTGCGACCATCCATGTCCAGCTCCCAGAGCGCACGCGGAAATGTGATAAACCCCTCGCTCGATCAGACTCGTCGAATTGGCGCCCCTTCTGGTCCAGGCAGTCCACTCGCAAATAGGGGCAGCTATCGACCCCCGGCAATGAAACGACCTCCTCCAGCGGATGGGAGAACTGCACTAGCCGACCTCCCTGCTAACGGAAATGGAGGGACAGCACCAACTGTAGCAAGCGGATTGGAAGCAAAGCGACAGAAGACGGGATAGGCCTTTTGGGCCGGAGTTTGGGTTCAGACAGACAATGAATGGCATGATCGCTAGGCGTACCGGTGTCTTCAAGGATTTGTGTTAGGAGCTCAGGTCTGGGATGTTTTTTTTAAAAGGAATCAAATAATGAACGGAATGCAACTTGGGCTCTAGAATTAACTGTCAGATACCATTTCCTGTCTGGAAATTACGATCCGACTGGGTGCGTTGTAAACAAGTATAAATGTCGAGTCATGCTGTTGAGAATGATATGACAGTCAACAAAAGCTGCTGCTCTGTTGAGTTTCTGGGACAGATGTCTCTGGTCATCATTGGCGCGTTGTTATTTCATCTATCATCGTATTGTTACATGGCTAAGCCGAGTTGATGTACAAGTGCCTCATCCCGAAGACATTCGAGATGCTCTATTCAGGGTAGTGAAAGTGTTTCATGTGTCTTCTTTTGCTTTCAGGTCAGCTTAGCGAGTCCCGATTGAGCCTGTTTCACTGCATGTGGAAAGCCAAGCTTGCCCGCCATTTCTATACACTGCTTGTACTTCTTGCGAGCCAAGTCATTGTTGCCCAACATGGCTGCGACATCGCCCCAGTTACACAGAGCAACAGCGCAAGCCTCGTCGCATTCGTCTGTACGCTCGTCGCCACTAACATCCTTTGCATGCTTATAAGCGTTCTTGGCCCAGTTCTGCGCAGCTTCTAAGCACTCTTTTCGAGTGGCGGGCATGGCAGGGTCATGCAGCTCCTTAATCATCTCGGAGGGCTCGCTGGTAGGCGGAACAAATATGGGATGTTGGGCGAAACTGACAGCGAGGTTGTTCATAATGATGGGGCGGTGGCAGGGCGTTTCGCAAAGACGAAGAGCTTGGAAGAAAAGAGGGATCGCGAGATGGAACTGGTTCTTGCGCTCATAGTCACGACCCAAAGATTCCATAGCGCCACCCATTTGTTCTGGGCTTAACCAGTCACCCTCTCCAGGCTTAATACCCTCCTCCTTGCGGCGACGGAATTCTTTTAAAGCGGTTTCAACAGCCCAAATGAGGTGCTTCTGAGAGTTGTCAGGGTCAAGAACGTGTTCGTCGGCGTATAGCTCTCCAAGTTTGATAGCAATCCCAACAGTCTTAGTAAGAAGACGTTGCCTCTTATGCCATAAGCTTTCGGGTATGAACTCCCCGTCAGTCGCTTCTTGCTCATTGGGAGAAGTGGTATCGTTCGCAACGTGGGTCGAAGAGGCCTCAGGCGTCTCGGATGCAGGCTTGACAAGTCTGCCGTCATCGTTGACTTTGCCTTCCTTGACGGACTGCTCCATAACCCGAATCCACCTGTTACAATCGGCAAGGATACCCTCAAGAACCTGCAAGCAGCCGCTGTAATTTCCGATCTTCTGCAGCCAGTGTGAAGTCTGGATACGAATACCAAGAACTTCGTCAGAGTAGGGATCTAGGCCATGCTCTGCGCATTGATCCATGGCGCGTTTGTAATACTTGAGAGCCAGTTCGGAATCGGGACTGATGTTGGTATAGTATAGAGCTCGTCGTAAAGAGTTTGCGATGGGCTTTGGGTATCTTGTGAATTGGTAGTGGTAGAAGTAGTTGAAGTAGAGGTAGACGGTGTATGCGCCAATGACTGACACCACGCCGAGGCTGATATCGTTACCATAAGGAAATGGCCAAGGGTGTGCTCTGGGACTCACATGAAGATTCCTAGTGTTGTTGCGCCTGGGCTCTGCCGGAACGCTGTCTTGATACCGGTTGGACTCATGGCGACTACAAGACTACGTAGGCCAGCAGCAAGAGCACGACCAGCGAATTGACGGAATGTGATCTGTGGTTGTGTCGGTTGACTTTTCTTGGGCAACTGGTTCTTTCTGGCTTCAAGGTCTCCATCGTGGCGATTATTTGACGAATTGCTTGTTTGGAATCGACGCTGGTCCGGCCGAAGGCCAACAACAGCGTAGAAGTTGACCGTGGATGTTCGTGACCGTAATTGGACGGATAACAGGCCGGAAGCCGGATGCTGCCAGCACCTCCGACGGAGGGGTCTCAGCGATGCAACTGCTGATACCGACATGGTAAGCCGGTTGACGAGTTCCTCGGCGAGCGATGGCCGGGGATTCTTTTTGTGTGGTTGTGGTGGTGATGACAAGCCTAGAGATTGAAAAGCTGTAAGTGGATGCTAACATGGAGCTCATCATAATTGCGCACAGACCACTTCTCGGACGAATACTGGCCTGTGCGTTTCCAATCAATGAGATTCTTTAGTGGAGGGCAGCTTCGGAATCCGCTAAAACTGACTTGGCCGAGGCTTTTGGACGGGAAAGTTCAGGGTCGTCTTTGGTTTTGGCGGGGGAGGGGAGAGATTGCATATGACGGAATCTCGAGAAACGTCTTAAAACTGTTCAAACCTATTCCCTTATTACTCGGTCTTACACTGTAATCACAACTACAACCACAATAATGGCTGGAAAGTTTGAACCTAAGGTTCCTGTGAACCTCGATCCCCCAAAGGACGACATCATCTCTCGAGAAGAGCTCGCTAAAGCCAACGGTACGGCCCGCCCCTCATGATGCTCAGCAAGGCATCATGCTGACTTTGACATAATCTTGTATCTGGGACTTTTGAATTGGACATTGCTAACCTGAAAAAAGGTGCGGATGGAAACAAGTGTTACGTAGCCATCAAGGTATGATCTCCCATAGCAAGCAACTTGCTGTATGATCCATCTGATGCGAGCACGACTGATCGCGTCAAACACAGGGCAAGGTTTACGACGTTACCGGAAACAAGGCCTACCTTCCTGGAGCTTCCTACAACGGTAAATCTTCTAATTGCATATACTACAACATAGGATACCTAACTGTCACGACTAGTCTTTGCCGGTAAGGATGCCTCGAGAGCTCTCGGCAAGACTTCGACCAAGCCAGAGGACGCACGACCAGAGTGGCAGGATTTGGATGAGAAGGAAAAAGGCGTGTTGAATGACTGGGTCACTTTCTTTTCAAAGCGGTACAACGTCGTTGGTGTTGTTGAAGGTGCTACGAACTTGGACTGACTAGCTGAGTGCCCTCCGAGTACTCAAGTCAAGTTATAAAAGCTCCATCTTCATTCCAATCTATTCTTTTTGTGGACAATAAGCAGTTATTCGAATTTCTGATTCTCCGCCGCCATGAGCCCATGGAAGCTCCAAGGATCTATGCAGTATCTCGCTCAACGACTGGTCCTGTACTTTGGCCGATATGCTGAGAGACTGTCTCAAGACCGATGACACAAACGCTCACTTCTCTCGCTCAAGCTACAGTATGCCCTTGTATACTAAATCGAGACAAACCTGATCTTGGGCAGTAGATCCTCCGCTTTAAGTCCACCCCCTTACCGCTTTCATGTTTTGTCAACTTAGTACTCTCACACAAACAGCGTTACACAAAACGGGCCCGCAGCGCTTCTATCTTAATATTTACCATTTCGACCCATCCTTCCGTCTGTGGCGCTGTTTGGGGCCGGTTTGTAGCCTGTCTCTGGTCGGAGAAAAGCCAGGGGTGGCATCCACGCATGACAACCCAGTTTCACACGAGTGTTGGTTTCTGGACAGATAGACTTGGACAGCGAAGATTGAGCACGAAGTGTCACATATGAGATCTTTGGTGACCAAACAGAGGTTAATGCATGCTTGATTTACACGTGTGCTGTGCCTATAACTACCTCGGCAGTGATTTCTACTCCTGTATACGAACTGATTGACAAAAATAGAGGCAATGGCGTTTAAGAACCCCACATTCACAGAGGGGGATGAACAAGATGAAATTCTTAGCCAACAGCACTCGTAAAACATTGATAACCCAAAACTCATAACTGATCGAAAGCCTTCAAACTTATCCGGCATGTCTTTGCAAAGACTGTTCCTGATCGTAGTTATGCTGTGTCTGAGATTCACTTGCCCGGCAAGCGATAGCACAGTTGTCACAAGGAACGCATTGTCTCCATGACTTGCGAAGGACCTTGACGCCAAAACATTGATGATTAGGGTCGTTGCGAGCAAAGTGGCAGTATGACTTGAGGCGGAGGGTCGAGTGATTGCATGCGAAGAGAAACTCTTCCCAATCGCACATTTTTGTTGTTGTGGCAATTGCCTTTGCCTTGACTGATCCTGATGTGATTAAGTTATTTAGGCGAGCTTCGATATTAGGCAGTTAATACTTACGAGAGCTTCCTGAGTCGCAGCAAGGAGTCTGAATTGTGAGGTTCAACGTATGAGTAAGTGATTAATAAACTGAATCCGTAGATGGCAGCGAACAGACTTAGTGATAACGACTGATCAGTGGCAAAGGCTGCACGCTTTATAGTAAGAGAGCCGACGCCGGCTTCAGAGTTCCTTCATTGAAGTATACTCTCTTATCGTTTCCTCGTTTCCCCGGTTCCTGGATCATCCAGCTGTCGGGCAAGATACAAGGGTTCTAGTCTTCATCATCCAATCGACTTCCAAAATATTTAAGGAATCGACCTATGTGATGGACTATCTGCAACCCAGGATAATATTAGCTGCACATTTTCCTTGCAGCGCTGAAAAGAGCTGGCTGCAGAGACAAAAAGTGATTATCCGAACGAGGGGTCAGTGAGGATTCGAGTCTCGTGTTACCCAGTGTGTCTCATGGGAGTTTGTTGGCGGAGTTTTCACCGCGTTTCTTCTGTTTCTTCTTTTTTTTAATATTTAAATTGAGCTGGAGAGCTTCTTTGGCATTAGCTGGAGTGTCGTATCAATAAAGAAGCACCGCAATCTAAACATCGAACGAGAACCCGAATGTCACCTCTCACTTGAGAGTCGTGGGGTGTTGGAGTTTCGAATTGACCGAGGATTCAAGTTGAGAGGGACGGGCAAATGTAATAGCCACTGGTGGTGCTGTTGTCTTTCTCAACCCAACGGGTCTCGACATGAGCTGAAGTATGGTCGACGATCCTCGCGCGATATACATTCATCCTCCAACAGGTTATTACCGCCACTTACATTTGAGCCAGATTATGAACAGATATCTTGAATCGTTTTCGTTCAGCCACATTCGGCCTCGAGGATTTTGATCCAGGATAAAGAGTGGGATTTTCGGCAAGATGCAGATATTACCAAGGCTAATGAAGAACCGCACGAATGCATGTGGCCAAATCGAGCTGGATCAAAAGAAGTAGATGAGAGAAGAGACAACGGACCACATCGTCAGGTTACGAAGAATGGTGCTATCCAGAGGCAGATAAAGGCGTGCACCAGGTGCTATTGGGTATTCTAGGGACTGTCCTAGAGAGATATATGATTATGATAAGCTGAGTATTCCATAATAGAATATATCAACAATTGAGAATAATTATCATGGTTTTGATGTGAAAAAGAGCTTGGCGCACTTGCAAAAAGGGGTGTTTTCCGTAGGCTGACTATGAGCAACAACATGCATCTGAGAATCAATGCTGTGCTGGGAAACTGTAGCGGCTGAGCTTTTATTCTTTGATTTTTTTTTGGGTGAGTCAGGACAGTCAGTCGTATAGTAAGCCGTATGCTCTAATTGTTGATGATGATACAAAATGACGGCAATAGTCGTGATCGTTTGTTTAGTCCTGATGATCGTGGGTGACACGGTAAGTAAACAGATACTGGTTCGAAGCGCCAAATTGTGAAAAAGAACACCGAATGGTCTTATACGGAGATGTTCTAGTCATATGCTGGTGACGTATCTAGACATATGATGATCCATTGCAAATTCAGCCGCATCATTAATTGATGGTTCGCAAAAACGCACTTTCTACTAAGTTTCGTCAGCGGGCGAACGCAGGTTGCCTCGCTGGATGCCTAGCATCTTGGGGGTTGAAAGAAGAATGCTGATTGGTTCAAATGCATCGCAAAGCCTCAAAGTGAGGCGGTTTGGGGAAGACAGAGTCGCTCATATCTCACCCGGAATTGTACTTTGCCAAATACAATACTTCCGGTCCTATTACTTTATTTCATCACAGCGACTCTTCCCTCCTCTATTTCCCCATCATCCCCCCGCCACTTTCATCTTCATTTGCGCTTCTGCATCCATCCTCCTTTGCCTCCTGCCTTCTTCTAAGGCAACCCATAGATCTCAGTGCCTACCTACCCATGGCTCATACTACTTTGGTAGTGACACCCTGACGCGAAGCACAACACGACACGACATATACCTATAGGTAGTCGACTATCACTAGTGTAGCTACCAACCAACTCGCTCAACCACTTGGGGATCTCTTTGGCTTCGACCTGTCTCCTTCAGACTCGGTGTTGACTTGACACAGACCTCACGCTAGTATCTGTCATCAGTCGTCCGACCTGGATCCCTTGTTGGACCCTGGACTCAACGCTTGTTTGCGCTGGACCCTGCTATTGACCTCAGCCTAATGTATGCTTTTTGATTCCTTTGATTCTTCTGGTTGCTGTATTTCTACCCTGTGCCCTACCCAGTTCGATCGCCAGTGTTGGGTCGAGAACCTTGTTGTCCCCTCCAAAGTCGAATGACCTTTAGCCCTCCAGTCTATCGACTCGATCAGAACATGATGCACTGCTACAATATAACGGCTAACTCGAGGCCCTAGCCGCTCTTGAATCGCTGTGGCGTCTTTTGTTCATCTACTCGATCATCCCTGGGCTCTCCATTATTGCCACTATCGGTGTTGCTCTGATATACAGTACGGCTCGACATTATCTATATTTATCGTATCCGTTCACTCTGATAGCAATATCGGCACTGAGCCCTCACAATGGACTCCTTTAGCTCTCCACAGGACCAGCGAGGCGGCGCCAATGTATCCCCACAGGCGGCTCAACAGCAGAGTTCGAACCTGGCTGCTCTGGGTCAGCAGAGACATCAGACCACGAACCCGTTTTGGCAAAACTGGGCTGGAGATGATCCCTGGAATCCTCTTGCCTTCGGTGCGCCTAATGATGGCCAGACCCGTTCGCAACTTATTGGATCTGCCAACTTTCAAACGTCATATCAAGACTATCGGAGCAAACCACTCTTGTCAGAATGTGATACCAACCCAGAGGATTCGGCTTACGGAAGCCGCTTGACTCATAGCATTGGTAACCCTTCTGCCTATGGCGAAGATATGGACCCTGATGTCCAAAATTTGGAACCTCAAAATGCGGATGCGCAGCTTGTCAACAGAAACTTAGAAACCCTTCAACTGCAGTGTCAACCAGCCACCAACGATGCTCACTTATATCAAGACCAATGGGTCCGACCTCATCCTCCCGCAAGCGTTGCAACGGCCCCGGTTGGTGGAGAACGACGTTGGATTTGTGGTGAATGCCAGAAACGATGCCGTACACGTTCCGAGCTAAGGTGAGCACATGGTTTTGACCTCTATTGATCACCCCTTTGCTAATCAAGTCTAGAAAACACGAATTAAAACATTCTCTTCCTTGGCACTGTGACGTTACAGGCTGCTCGCGTGAGAAAGGCTTCACTTCTAAGAACGATCTTGACAGACATAAGAGAACTGTACATAGCGACCGCACTGTTTCTGGTCGCACCTTTGTGTGTAATATTGGCAATTGTGCGAAGAAAAGTAAAGTCTGGCCAAGGGCAGACAACTTCCGGTCACATTTGCAGAGAATTCATGCAAAGACATATTCAGCCAATGACGACCTGTCTGAATATGTGCATCGGTATGCCTTTTCTCGCCCTTCCTTTTTAGCCTCATACTTTACCCTGGTACCCAGAGTTAGCTAATAAACTACAGTCCAGTTCCGTCACAAGATCTCGAGGGCGTGGGAGGGAGTGCTATGGCATATCTCCAGGCACAAGAACAGTTACCTGGTTTGGCCCATCCCTCAACAATTCTGTCCTTCCGTGTGTCGTATGGTGAACGACGGGCTTCACAACCCCAATCCGGTGCCAATAATCTTCCTCGAGGACCATCCTCTTTATCTTTTGATCGAGATGCATCAAGCCTTGCAACAGTACGAGAAGGTGACGAGAACTTCATTCACCCTGGCATTATCCATGGACGCAGTGCTCTGCCAACGAATCAATGGCCGGTATCCGCTTCCGAGGAGGATGCGCCGGGTGACGATGTCACCGCTTCTGAAGCTGAAGAGCCGGACGATGTTGCACTAGAAACTATGGACGGCGTGCAGCAAGGTGAAAGGACGACTACAGACGTCTCTCGCAATAGTGGAGACTCAGGAAGCCAACAGGCTGATGTCAGAATGGTTGACGCTGACGAAGCCCAACGAACTCCTAAAGCAATTCCCCTACACGAAAAAGAAAGTGAAAACCCCTCCGATGTGAGCCCAGAATCAGCATACGATGACCTTCTTGATAAAATACCCAAAGAACTTATCGCAAGCTATCTGAAGAAGCGGTTCGCAGGTCTCGGAGAGGAGGCTTCAAAACTAGATACAGTGAGCAGCAAGAGCCAAACACACCCTCACAAATGTCAGGATTGTGACAAAGTATTTCCTCGTCTGTGCGAGCTGAAGTAAGTGTTATTGGCCAACACGCTGAATACCTTAGCTTACAATTTCTATAGGAAGCACCAGAAGAGGCATTCAAAGCCATACGGTTGCACCTTTGCCGATTGTAAAAAGACATTTGGAAGCAAGAACGATTGGAAGAGACATGAAAGCATTCAGCATTACCAGCTTGAGACATGGATATGCGATTGTGCCAAGTCTGATTCTGCTGAATCTTGTGGCAAGGTTTGCTACCGCCGTGAGAGCTTCCGGAACCATCTTTCGAAGGAGCATGAGATTACAGATACTAGCAAGCTCGAAGAGAAAGTTGAAGGTTGTCGAAAGGGTCGTCACTGCGATGCTCACTTTTGGTGCGGCTTCTGTCAGGAAACTGTTGAGATTAAAGAGACGGACAACACCTGGGCGAAACGTTGCGATCACATCGACGACCATTTCTCTGGTCGTCGTGTACCCAAGAAAGACATCAGCGAGTGGATACATGAGAAGGATCACAGGATTGTCCCCTCGGCCCCCCAGGTAGATGAGTCTGGATCCTCATCTGGATCATCCCCATCTGACCCGATATCTCCTCAGAGCACTGTTTCAACAGAAAACAGTGGTGAAGATCGCCGAGGTCGAAAGAAGGATATGTATATGTGGACATGTGTGAGTAGAGCTCCGGCCCAAATGCCAATCACAACTAAACTGACTCACTCAAACAGTGTAATTGTGCTGTTGAAAACAGTTTCAGCAACAACACGTTGTGTTGCGAGTGCAACCAACGTTCGTGCAAGAATTGTACTTGGCACGCAATTCCATCTACAAGCGACAGTTAGCTTATTATGTTCAGTGCGTCAATGTTATATTACAATCGGCGGATATTCCCTTTTCTGTTTTTATGATGCGAATGAGATACCCCCGTCATGTGGTAGGTTTGAATATTTACAATTTACAAAAGTCAGAGGGTCGTTTTTGCCTGGGAAGCACTTGTATTTATAATATAATAAATTTGATCTTATCGTTGCCTTTTGTAGCTTCCAACAAGGCTAGGATGTGCAGAAATCAAGAGCATGTTGATGCTTCAATGCGCCCCCCCAGTCATAGCAATGCTGTAGGCCCGACGGCGGTTAGGGCAATTATAAGCTGTTGGGCAACTTTACTCCTGATATATCACGAATTACTAGCGAGAGTCTGCTCCAGGATATTACCAAACAGCCCCTGTAGGATCAACAAAGTGAAGAAGAGAGGGGCATCGGCTAACTTCGAGTGCCGTCCGCATGCTCAATAGTGCCCTGGTGCATACGACGTATTTCCACTTTAGTTGAACACCGACTGGCATGGCGCGGACTATTGTCTCAGTCTCAAGCCACTCCAACAGGCGCCCCGGACAAGTTCCCGCGGCGTGATCAAGACCAGCCATGAGGTCCATGTGGATGAGATGCTTCGGAGCTGAACCCGACCCACGAGTTGCCTCGCCGGGCATCTATTCTATGTTTGCCACAGGAGCATCATGATTCATTGACGACAATAGAAACTATAGGTATCGGAGGGGTCAGCCAAGCCACCGCTGCGAGTTCCTGGTAGTTGCTCATTTCCCCAGGAGCCGCGTTGGGTAGTCTACATCACTCGTCATGTTACACAAGGGACCACTAACATGGCCCATGCTCTCCCAACAGGGGCATGGGGTTGAAGAAAGTACAGTAGAGTAGATAGGCTATCTCGCAGGGGTTACCCACCGAAGATAAGATCTGCACCACGCTTGGGGAAGAGACCGATCCTCCCGACGCTCGAGTGAGCCCAGACATACATCTCAACGACTGGTATCAAGTGTAATACAGGGACCGAAGGTCTCTGCACCATCTCGAACCATCCATGAAGAGGGATCGCCATGAGAGGGGCCCATCTCGATGGTTGTGGAATGGACAACCCGGATGACTGAGAGTTTTGGTTCCCCTTACACTTGAGATAGATTTCAAAAAGCTGCCATGTCACTGGGGACAAATGAGTTCACGCCTACAACGGCGGCTAATGGTTCCACTTGACATCTAACCTTGTCAAGTTGCGTTTCCTGGTTATGTAGTAGTTGAGAGTGGTGCAGCGCTGACTCTGACTCGAGCCAAGTTGTAAAGAGGTTGAAGAGCCGTGTGCATTGAACTTTACCTAAATCCACGCACTCGGTTCATCCAGTCAAATCAAGGTACCGAGATGGCAGACGTAAGTTTACGTATTCGTACATACATGGCTCAAAATAGATGAATCCAACATCCAGCTTGCTTCAGCTGAAGCGTAGTACTCGATATGCATTTGCCATACAATATTCCGGGACAGTCCCAAGGCTCATATTGGGGGCTGTTAACACTTCATCCATGTAACATCACCTCGCAGACATTAATCTCTGACCTAGACAACCCCCCGTGGCGTATGCATGCGAATGGAGGTGTAGCTATGGACTCAGCCCTGCTGCCGTATTGTGATGATTCATAATTGATATCTGTCATGAAGAACAAGGCCCGTACCTTGGACCTGCTCCCCGAGCCAATAGTGACTTACACCGGTGCCTTCTTCCAAGTCCAGAACAGGGGATGACCCAATTGTTTGTTCAAATTGCTCTATTCTTTCAATTTTCGGTGATACACCAACCGCAGAGAACCTGCTCTCGATTATGGCACGAACGTGCTCCCTTATTCTCTCATGACATGACACAGGCCAGTACCGAGTAGGCGCTGAAGAATTTAGTACATGGACAGGCATTCTCGAGACTCTGTTGGTGGACTCTTGGCTATCGGACTGGGAACTGGGTGTCATTGAGGATCGATATTGACAAGGGTCTTTGTGCCAATAGGATTGAGAGCTGAAAGCCAAACCCGTGCGGTGAATCAGATTCACCTACCTCTGTCCTCATCAGTTGCACCGTACGGGATGGCATGGGGCGGGATCTCACAAACAGTGACAGCGAAGACCCAGGTCGGGCGAGGTAATGCTTGCAAGTCTGTTGGCTCTAGCAATCCACTAGTCTCCCCTTCTAGCACTTGTTATTGGTCAAGATGTAGGCGATGGCTGCCTTCTTTTTTAAGGTGCTCATCTGGGTAGACTTAGCCCACAGAGGTTAAGTGCTGGAAAGACATATCCTTGTCTTAAATTAACGAACGTTAACTAACGCCTGTCGTCGATCCTCCAGCTCCAACTCCAGCTCCAGCTCTCGCGCTGGTGGAAGGACAAGTCGCTGGTCCGCCTGAACCGTGAGTGATCTCGTTTCTTGAGAATAAGGAGGAGTTCGTCAAATCTACCATTGGAAGGGGTGTTTCACTTTCTTATCGAGTTCTCCAAATCGTCAGCATCTTCAGCCCTGACTAGACACACAGCACGTACTCGTCATGAAACGTTTCAAGGGTCATTCTTGGAAAATATTAGCCGCCACTAATTGCGATCCTACTAACCCGCTAACGCGGATTTTACTGGGTTTAACATACTACAGGCTCTCTCTGACTTGGCGGCTATCCACGCTCGCGCAATGACGGCCCCAACTCGAGGTAACCGTCACCAAGAAGAGACGTCTTGCATCAAACTGTCTTGGGCCAGCCATCAGCATCAGCATCAGCTTGCGGGAGGATTGTGCTTTGCCTTGCTTTGCTCCGCTCATCCCCGGCCTACCCATTCCCGGCACAGACACAGTTCCTGCTCTCTAGGCCTATCAACATTCAACGCCAGCATCGCATCGCATCGCATCGCCATCGACATCGCCGTTGCGGCTGCAAGGAATGCTCGGACTCACTCACGCTGGCACGTATCCGCATTGGTGCAATACTGACATGGCGGCTGAACGGGCCTTACCGTCCTGTTGCGTGGCGTTAAGCTCACTCACCCGGTGGTGTGCCTTGGACTAACATTAGCGGCCATGGACATGGCCGCCAATGACTGAAGACAATGCCAATATGACTTCTCTCAACGATGCATGCCCGTTGTCAATTCGAAAATGTCTGATAGTTACTCGGATTCGAGTGCATACCGACCTGGGACAGAGCCTATGAGATAAATTCCACCTCACTTAGCAGCTACAGCCCCCAAGTCATCAATCTCCCATCTTCCGTCTCGGCCACCAGATTGGAATTGGCATTGTTACTACATTGAGGTACCCTTCAACTTGACGGCTCCGTCCCGGCTCACACACCATCTTATCCCAAGGGTGACAGGGCGAGGCCGCCAGGGTCAGGTCTGGAGTCCCATACTGCTGCAGGTCGTCCTGAAGAGTAATAGATGGGATCAGCGCAGCGCTCCACTTCTACCGATGCCTCTTCAGGTTGGGGTACGTACTTGCGGCTCTGCTCGACCAACTCAGGGAGTGCCCAATGCCCGCGTCGGCGGGACCCTCCAGATAGGCTGGCGAGACCTTCTGGCCATACAAGTCTTGGGGCCCTTTATAATCTATTAAGATGCCCACCCTCACCCTCCACCATGGCGACTCCTCTCTATTGTGCTCAACAGTCCGAGCAATCCTTTTCTGGCCGGCACTTTGTGGATTTCGTCTTTTTCCATTCCTACTCACACCAAGCCACCCACTCGCCTTGGTTCCCCGAGCTTGCGCTGCAGGTGACTTACACGTCCAACGTCTTGCGTTGCCGACTCGCGCATCTTGCACTCATGATATACATGCCCATTCACCGTTTCAGAGCTGATAGTTCTTAACTTCGGCGCTAGAACTTGAACAGTTCAGTGGCACTTTCTCCTCCAGGTTTTCTTCGATCTGAAAGCTTTGACATACCGTGCTCTTGTTCTTCTTTTCTTTCGCCACAAGGAGCCTTACTTATAGTACCTCTCTAAAGAAGGGGAGCTGCTAACACCATGACTTTCCAATCACCCTATGAGAGGACCAACGGAGCTAGATGTTCATCTAACACACGTTATTTCTCCTATCCCAGCCCTGACTCAATCAATCACCAAGACTTCGCCTGCCAAATTGATCCCCTTCTTCAACATACGGCACCCTATTCCAGCCACGAAGGTACCTACTATGGCACCAACAGCATGCAGAGGTATCTGCAGGAGCCTCAGAGCAGCTACTTCATCGCATCATCAAACATTGATATCCCAGGCACTCGATGTACCGGAATTTACCCTGGTATGAGTTGTCCTCCTCATCAAAGTTCACAAGTCCGTCAGGGCTCTCCAATGTCCTATCAACCATCATCAGCTGCGAGTGGACCACAAAGTCCCAATTGGACAGATAATGATGCACATGTCAGCACTCTAGGCCCTTCTACGCCGTCCGATGTTGCAGTCTTGTCCCCGAACATTGTTGGTTCAGGCTCTCTATCACCTAGTGTCTCCCTTTACGGATTATCAAGTGTACCACAAGGATGTGTGAACCCGGCTGTCATTGAACCTAGTCAAACCGTTTCTGGAATCAAAGAGGAGCAAGAGATTAATGCTTTCACCCTCGACATGAATGCAGATTTTGACGGCGCCACTCCCAATTCCATCTACCAAGGCGACAGCTCGAGTTCTCCATCGACTTTCGACCCTTCATCTTCAGAATTATATCCTCAAGCCGATACGAAGACGGCCTACCCTGATCCCGACAACATGGATCTGGACGTAAATTTCGAAAACGAAGCTGAGACTATCGATGGCGACGATGGTGACGATGAATACAGACCCAACTGTAGAACCAAGTCATCTCGAAATGCCAAAGGTGGCAGTCGACGTGGCCGCACCAGACGACTAAGTTCCACTACCAGTGCTAGCAGAGGAAAGGTTACCAAATCACGGACTGTTACCCACGGTACTACAGCGCGGAAACTACTCTCCTCGTGTGAAAGCATATTGTGCATATACTGCCAGAGAGTGTTCAACGACGACGTATCATTACAGAAACATATCAATGCCATGCATACTCGCCCTTTCATCTGCGTCTTCCATTTTGCGGGCTGTAACCACGCCTTTGCAAACAAAAACGAATGGAAAAGGCATGTTTCGGCGCAGCATTTGAACCTACACTACTGGCTTTGTACAACTGGTGCCTGCGGATATTCTTCAACCCCATTGAAATGTGGTTTGGGTACCGCTACGCATTGCAGGGTCTTTAAAAGAAAAGACCTCTATACACAACACATACGCCGGATGCACGCACCTGAAGAGGTTGCCAAGGCTGACAAGAAAAACAAGACCTTCCCCCCTGACTGGTTAGCCCAGGAGAAGAAGTTACAGGAGGAAGCGTTCCGGCAGCGTTGCAAATTGCCAGACTACATGCATTGCCCAGCTAAGGGCTGCACAAAAGTCTTCAATAACGGCCATAAGACTTGGGATGACCGAATGGAGCATGTCGCTGTTCATCTTGAGCGTGCTGCCAAGAATGAGGAGCCACATGTCGTTTTCGGGGGTACAAACGACGAGGCTCTCACGGAATGGGCTTCTCACCCCAACGTCCGTGTCATTGCGTCCACTAGCGGAGGGTGGGAGACATGTCAACCGCTTAAGGCGGCTAAGACCGAGTTATCAAGGCTAACCAGCGTTCATGACGAGGGCCTGGATGAGGACGCAGAAGGTGAAGAATGCTAGAAGTCATGCGATTGGCTTCATACAATCACTGCATCATTTCTCAATCTTTGTGAATTTTGCATTTCACGAACTGGTGTCGCAACTGCGTTTTGGGATATCTGCAAATTGGGGTCGTAATGATGAAGAGCTGCGAACAACGTATTGGGTATTTAAGGTTTTCTCTTGGCGTTTCTTCAATTATTATACCACCGTCGTATATGTACAGGTTCCTAACTATGATGATTTTTTATATCGGACTGGGTTTGTGTTCTGTCTTACACAGGCAATGGATACGAGGAGGAAATGAATGCAAGAATTAACAGGAGTTTGTTGATCCCATTGTCGTAACATTGACCACTTCAGATGGAAATCAAAGCCTCGCCGCATGTATATGTATGCTCATTTCCCGATTGCAAAGAGTATCCTACTTTGTCAAAGCTACGGAGGCCTTACCGTAGCTCGGCTTTTTGGGATATCCCCTGTACTGGTAAACATGGGAGTACTCACTTCTCTGTTAGCAGACTCGCTACACCATACCCCATTGTGCCTTGAAAAATCGGAGCTCTGAACTTTCAGTAGACCTGGATGTCACTGCCACTGCGCCTTGAGCTCAATATGACGGGAGTTCCTGTTTAGCATTCAGAGGAATCAATATCCGGCATTGTTCTCCTCAACGCTGGATTTCTACCAGTCTTTCTACAACACCGCCCGTTTCAATTCCAGGCAATATTTCTATAGATCATACTCAACCTTCGTTAGAGAGTTGGTGATCGCAGTTCATATGTCAGAGATGGCAGCATATGCAGTTCATTCTAGTACGGCGTGAATTAGAGGCTATTCTGATCCGTTCGAAGTGCATTCTTCTTGAGTTTGGCTATTTAATGTTCTATCATTATTCCCCTGTCCTATAACCGTACCATGCAAGTATCTAATTGCCTGTTCTTGGTATGTACTACCGCTTCTTCAAACTTTGATAATGTTGATCAATCATTGATCAATGGCTGGTGAAAAGTAGCCCAGCTTATTTACCCCTAGCCATCATTATGGATGCCATATAATGAATAACAGCAGCCTCTTTATTCGTATTAACATACACCCATTTGGGGTTTCAATCTTCGGCTGATCAACGTAAGCCTAGCTCTGCTATTGAAGGAGGGCAACTCGAGCACTTGGATATAAGTTTGAAACTCAAACATATTCAACTTGTAAGCAAGAAGTCAATGTTCTCGAGTTGTTCCCCTCTCAACTGGTAAGTTTCGGTGATGGAGTCAGGAAGACTTTTGGCCTGGTCGTGCTTGGTTTGCACAAAGATAGAGTTGCAGATCACAGAGCATTTTCTTTTCTTCTTGACGTTTCTCTCCACATTTCATCATCCAAACTAATCACTGAACCATTTGAGTACCTTCGCACGAAGCGTGATGCATTGATACGTGTTGCGTTGGTGAACCACGTTGGGCACGGCGTTGTTGTCGACCTTTGCATGCAAGTGCGTATCCAGGCTCATGTGCTTTACGCCATTCAATGTATTCTTCATATTGTTGCTGCTGAATTGGGTCAGGGTTTGTCGGTTTGGGAACAGGGTGTGGGCGAGCTTGAAAACAACTACTTCCCAACGTTGAGTTAAAGAGAATCTGAGGCGCTGCAGAAGTGCCCATAAAGTGACCTGATGCAACAGGATACTGTTGTAGAAGAGGACCAAACATTGCTAGGCTCGGCGTATTGCCGAACGTGGCAGGCGTCGGCAGGATTCCAAGTCCAAGACCAGGTAGCACTCCAGGGGTGAGGATGTTTCGCACTGGAGGGCCACAAGCACCCCCTGGGAATCCAAACTTGGCAGGCGGCGATATCTTTGATGAGTAGTTGAACTCTCCTGGATCTTGTTTGGTTGTATCGGCTGTAGTTCCCCCTGGAACGGAGGTACTCTCTGTACTGTTGGCACCAATGTCTGACTGTAGTACGGGAACAGAAATGTCGTCCATGTTATGTGGTGCGGTCTTGACGGTGTTTCTAACAGTGTCTTCGTTTCGAGTCTCACTTTGACTTAGCTCCATACTCTTAGAAACCTCGTCTTCTGGAAAGTTGATAATTCCCTGACTTTGCGGTGCTGCTGGGAAACTTCTTTTGAATGAGAGGAATTCCCTTGCCCTAGGGTTCAACCCATGTGTGAGGACATCGGAATCAATACGGATTCCGGAGTCATTAGATGAGTCCTTATTTCTCGGGGGGTCGCTATAAAGAGAGCCAATACCGGAATCAGAGCTTTGTTGTGTAGATTGGCTCGGCTGCTGGCTTGATTTTGGGCTCCAAGGACAACCATGGCCGATAAAGGGTCTGTTTGTATCTCTCTTTGTGTTTTCAGTCTCATGTTTTGACCCTTGCTGGAGCTTCTGCAGAATTTTCATGAAAGCCGCTTTTCTGCGTTCGAGTTCTTCGCTCTTTCTGGTTTGCTCAGTTGGCGATGACAGGCCACTGAGTACCTTTGGTTGGGATTTTGCATGTGCGATGTTGGCAACAGCTGGGTCCTTCAGCACAGCTTGCCTGGCCCTGTCGGTCCTTTCTTTGTCGAGTTCACTCTCATTTCCGGCCTCTGTGGGGAAAATATGGTGAGGAGTTCGGCGTCTTTCCACTTGTGGGTTATTAGTTCCTTGCGTAGTTCTTCGCTGATTTTTGACTACACGTTGCACGTAGGCAATAGGAGCCTCTCGATCAATGTTCTGGACTGCCGTTCTATGCTTCTGTGTGCTGGCAGCATAAGAAGGAAGGGGTGAGACCTGAAAAACGCGGAGTTGGCGATCCTTGTAGTGGCCACCAGCTAGGTCGACGTTAAGTCGGATAGTACAAAGTCCACTCATGGTATCAGCTGGCTGCACATTATCATGGTCTAGACCTCCATGTTCTTGGTTGGTAGAAGACACGTTTGAGTCCTTGATATCAGTCTCAGAACCGCAAAGACAAGGTTGGAATTGATTGGAATTGCCAATGAAAGTCCATGGAGATATGTTTCCATTCCTCATAGGGGAGATATACGCTCCTTCTGTACTGTTGTTGGGAACCTCGCGACTATGTGGGCTGGCTTGATTTGTGCTGTTGGTTGTGTCAGTAACGTCAGAAACACTGAATCCATCGCGTCGACGACGCCAGTCTGGGTTGTTCATTGCTTCAGCAAACTTTGAACTTGCGAAGTTCTCTTCTGAGTATTCCCTCCGCGAAAGAGATGGTGCTGAATACCATTCCTCAAAAGAATCGTCAGCGGTTGTGTCAGTTGAGATGACAGATTGAGCCATTCGGCTTCGAATCCTCTTTTCGAAGGACATGCCGAAATTTGAATCTTGAGCGCCTCAATGTGTTGACCAGGGATTGTCAGATGCACCACGAATCCTAATCAAATTGGATCATGAGCAGATAGTCTGCCAATGATTTCCAGTGTTAGAAATGCCGTATGCTTCTATATAAACACAGAACAAGTGCTTAGTAGTATACTAGTGAGTCCTCTGCGCGTCTTCTTGATGGTCAGCAGTGCATACGTCTCGAATCTAAAGTTTTTAGCCTGTCGATTCTATTTGTCGTAAGGCATTTCTTTCAATTCACCAGAAAACCAAGGGGAGTCTCTAACCCAAAGTTGTAGCCTCGGCAGAGGAAACTTTGAGTGGTGCCTACATCGGGTGTCAGTCTCGATTCTTGTATCAGACAACCAAGATCCCAAGTCATAAAAGTGAACCGGTCGGTAACTTTCAGGGCAACATACTGATAAGAAGATACGAGCAATGCAATCGAAACTCGTAAAAGCGAAACTGCGTGGCCAGGCGCTTCGCGGCAAAGGTGCTAAGCTTGCCTCAGAGATGGGGTGCCAAAAAGGGGAACTTGATAAGCTTCGGGGACGATCGCTGACAAGTGAATTCGCTTTTGCTCAGGCGTCTTTGCCATAGACAAGTTGTCTTAATGCTGCGTATAGCGGGATAGATTGTCCAAAAAGGGGCGTTTGGCTGTCTTGCAAATGAAGGCCAAGCTACCTATGGTGGTGAAGAAGGAAAACAGCAAATACGTGAGGGGGGTCGTGAAATGACTACTTTGATAGCAATGCTGAGAATGTGGAAGGTGCGATTAGAGTAATCATACATAATGGAGAAAGAACTTAAGTCTGAGGGAAAGAGTCCTTCTGGGGTAGCAAGAACAGACAAATGCATTGCACTTAAAATTCAACTGGGTGACAGAACTGATTCAAGAAGGATGGAGCATCGAGCACCGGCACGGGCAGAAAGGTACAAAGGCTTTGTACCAAAGTAGAAATCGCAACATATGGGAAACTCTGATACCTTAGACACGTGCTTGTGAGCGGAACCAGGCAAAGTGCTTAGATAGGTACCTAGGTAATTAGAGGTATCCAGAGATGGCCAGCAACCCAGTGAAATGAAAGCCCAGAATAGCCCAAGAAGAATAAACACTACACAAATAATAGGTAAGCACTCGCTTTAACATGCTCTTCATGGTTTCACGAAACAATTATCCCTGATACTGCTGCCCACCCATGAAAGCAGCAAACGCCCTCTGTAATATTGTTAGTGACAGAAAGGACCACAGACAGACAAATCACTCACCGAGTTCCGGGTTTGCATGTAGACCGTTCCAGGACCAGTGAATTTACAAACCAAACCCTCTGCTGAAGCAATGCCTGAGATGATACCTCCAGAGGCAACACGCTCCATTACGTACTTGCAGTTCCAGGCAATCAGGTGTCCATTATCCACGATGTACTTCTCCCCCTCTACAAGCTAGTTCATACGTTAGCACCTGATAAGAGAAACGTGTTCAAGAAACCTACTGTTTTATGAATGATGGCACCGAAACTCGAAACCCACAACAACCCTACACCACTGATCTTATAAACCCAGAGACCCTCGCCACTGAACATAGCCTTGCCCAATCCCTGTCTCTTGAAATCTTTTATAACACCCTGGGTACAAGCTAAAAATGCATCGTGGCCTACGGACCAGGCTTCCTTGCCTGTGAGGCGAAGGGTAGTGATATCACCAAGGCTGTGGGGCGCAAGAAGAATCTCTCCTGGACCAATATATGTCGAACTTGACATGTCACCTCCGGTGATCATCTTCTTCATGCTGAACTTGATTTGGCCTTTCAGAGTAACTGAGGGAGACATGGCGATCATTGCACCTGGCTTGCCAGTCATGGGGCAGCCCATTGCGAGCTGGATAGTGAGAATTGTGTTGGTATCGCGGTGACTAATACGGTAGCTGCCACCATTGAATGTTCCAACGTCATCAGATGTGGCCACTGCCCCAACGAATTGACCTGCCTCAGGCGCCCCAGACACAGTCATTGCAACTGCTGTTCCAGGCTGCTGTTCCGGCTCCTGCTTGGGCTTCTCAATGGGATATTGGTTCTCATCCAAAGAGGATACTGGCGGGGGAGGTTCAAAGTTCTGCTGAGTAGACTGGGGAGTCGCTGCTGGAGGAGTTGGCCCAGGCCTCATGGCCAAATTGCTCTGTTGGCCCGGCGCATGATACTGATTCTGCGGGGGTGGAGGTGTTGCCTGAGGCAGGTTGTGCTGAAAGTGCTGTTGATACGCTGGTGCCGAAGTTGGAGGAGGAGGATAGTAGCCCTGAGAGGAACTATGAGAGTGATGCTTGGCTTGTGGAGAAGGAGTCTGCTCCTGAGCCTGGGGAGGAGCCGGATAGTGAATCGGCGTCGGCTGGTGGGGAACTTGGGGAGATGGTGTATGTTGAGGAGGAGGAGGGTAGTTCACAGCCTGTCCAGGCTGAGGTTGAGGCTGAGGTGGAGGAGGATAGAATTGTGTGCGATTAGCCGGAGGAGAGGTCGGTGGCAGCGCATATTGATGTTGCTGTTGCTGCGGTTGAGGAGCTATCCAGAGATTGTATGGTCAGCTTTGCCAAATGGTCTTTGTAGAGAGCTTTGCGAACCTGGTGAGCTCTGTGTCGCGCCGGGCGGAGCTATTGAGGTGTCATGATCAGTTTCGTTGTCATGATACAAAACTCGATGTGGACCTACGAGGGTAGTAATGCTGCTGGCTCGCCATAACTTATAGGAACAATACTACAATAAGTTAAAGAATACAAGAGCTTCTGAACTGGAGGAGAAAATGAAGAGAGGAGAAAAATGTTCGGACCCTGAGAGAGCCCTCTTAGGACAGCTCGACTCTGCTTCCTTTAGCCGCCCGTAACATGTGCCAAGCTAGGCTAGCCCCGCATTGATATCGGGTTCCATCTACCACGATACTTGAGTCTTGGGGTTTGATGTTGGAGATACCCGGACGGAAAAAGCTACAGAACTTTAGAGAAAGTCTTATCATCTACATATTTCTTGCCATATGCCTTTCAATATTGTTTCGGCATTTGCCTGTCTCACCATCGAAACGAAACGGCCGCGTCCCAAAAGACCAAGTTCCCGCTATTCATACAACAGATGCAACACAGGCTGCAGAATGCAGGCTGTTTCATTCAAGATCATGCCCAATCAAGTCATCGGCCCCTGGCTCAATGAGCTCTGTGGCCAGTTTGACCGTAAGCGCCTACGCGGGGCACATCATCAGCGCTTAGCTAGCATCTCCATGAGCCTATTGGTTTAAGAGAAAATTAGCCCGCGACTTTCTCCTCCATTCGGAAGCTCTGGGTCAAGTGCTGTGAACCCATTGAATCCATGGAAAAGAACCTAACCTCAGACTTATAGATTCGCCATTATTCCATCTCGTCACGTGGTAAACCATGATGAATCTCCTGTTCCTGGCGTGTACCGGTCACGTTTTACACCTGACGTAATTAGATACGGTTTTTTTTTTTTTTTTTTTTTTTTGGGGGGGGGGACAAGAGAACGTGAGACCTCAGTTTTAGATGATGGAAATCCCGGACCAGCTTTAGATGAGCAAGTCCTAATACACTCTAACTGTTTGTTTTTGGTATCCTAATCAGAGGCATCAAGTCTCTTTGCATACCGGCCGTGAACGTCTCACCCCGAGTTCCATTTGTTTACAATATGCCAAGGCTCGTTACCCATGGTGCCCTCATTCCATCGGCCTGGCCATTTCTTGGTAGTTTCTGGGTATGTGTTTATTCCCATTGCCAAGGATATGGCGGTTTCAGCTCTCATGCATCGTAAAGTTTAACAACAAGTATTCCCAGGGGTCAACCCCGCTGTTCACGCCCATGCAAACTTGTATGGCTCAGAGCCACAGTTCATCTACGTAGTAACATGCGTAGCCAGCCGCCTATACATGATGAATGGTTCATCTCGTTCTTAGGGCCCGAGAGGCAGTCTGCAAAGGATCTAATTCGGAGAATGCTATCTCCAAAAGAGCGAGATATCAGCCACGAAGCTCCACAAGTCTAGGCATGCGGCACAACAAGGCACTTATGAGGGCGCTTCAGCTTGGTAAGCGATCGTGTGAAGGGTGCGAACTGATGAAATCAACTTGAACCTAAAAGTTGATGGTCAGGATATTGACCGGCCCTACCAGATCTGACAGAGTATCGTGGATTGCTGGAGGCATGATTTAAGATCGACATGGTGGAACACACTGGAAGTTGACTCACCCAATGACACTGAGCTGTTGCATGCTTGTGACGTTGATATGGCTCCATGGCCCGGGAATACCACGACCCGGTAGTGGCATCCGTATCTAATATGGAATTCGTCTTGTGCTTCTCGTGAACAGTTAGCTTTTGGCTGACCTATAACAGGCTGCCTTGTGAAGATGGCTCTTTGTCCTTCTGCCCTTCTACTATGGCCGAACCACCTCCGTGGGTTCCCATGATGGCACTCCAGGCGCCACAATGCAGTGATTCCTAAACTTGGATGGACGCTCCGTTCCGTTCCGCTTTGCCCTGCAGGACATGTTCTTCTGCGGTAGTTGAAGAAGCACCATGGGCCTTTTTGGTTGCCACAACAGCCTGGGACGATTCAAATGGACCTATGTATTTCCCTAGTCCTAGAGTGCAGCAAGGATTCTCCAGACGTTTGAACAACATGGCCCTTGCGTCAAACAAACCAACACCACCGTTGATTCCTTACGCCGCTCAACCTCGTGGCCGTTGGCTTCGACATAGCAAGGCGAGGCTGGGCCAATACGGCCGCAGGTAAACTTACGAGATACCCGAACGAGAACCAAGGCGTCGTAGATGTGTTTTAAAGTTTGACTACTGAAAGCACTGTTGGAACCGATGCATGTCGGAGAGACTTCGTCCCTAACTGACAGGTCTGATAACCGAAGGCCAGACGCCACTTGTGCATGGTATTTATGGCTGGTGGTGTTTCAACAGCAGCCTAGACGTTCGAGTTCGCCGAACCACCTCTCTGGCGCTGTGGATGTTAAGCTGCGGTTACTGTTGATGATAACGCTTACCAAAGTTTGGGTGTGAGGACCACTGGAAAAAGCGTGAACTAGAGAATGAACACCAGTGTACCGATTATCAGGTCGTATTACAACCTGTCGAATGAACGGCTTTCAGCCTCATGCAGGGACATCCACAAGTGATCAACATCATAGCGCAAAAGCCATGTAATCTCCGTCGAGGCGAGAGGCATGCTTTCCCGTGACGTCGAAAGATCAGCAGTGTTCTCGCATAGAGGTTTAGCATGTCATCTCCAGGGTCCAACAATAGCGTCTTTGGACAGAGAGCCCATCTCACACTTCGCCGAAGAATAAAATATGCATCTTTTAAGTAATCAAAACGTCACAGGAATTTCATCGCCAATGTGGAACGAAAGCTCCGAAATATCTCCATCAGGTCAGCGATGAATCTCCCCAAGCAAGACGCCCAATATGATATGTCATAAGGATAGCTGGTAAGGCTCTTTCAGCAATGTGGGCTACCCAGTTTGTGCATCTGAGCCCAGAGGCGTGAATAGTTGCCCTGTTAAGCTGAGGTCCTGGCATGATTAATAAGAACCGTATAAAAAACCGTTAATAGTTTGGCCCGCACTAAATTCAACAAATTGGCTTGCCTTCCTGAGTCGAGAAGCACCATTTTTATAGCCATCATAGCACGATCGAGATGCCAATTCCAAAAGGCTTATCACTACCCGCTAGATAATAGACGAAAGGCGCTTTTCACAGATACCAGCTCTCATCAAACAAAAAATTCCCGCTAAGTCTCCAGGTCAAACATTTGCATGGTATTTGCGCCCGCTGTACTCCAGCCAGGTCTTCCCATACGTTGCATCGTTATACCTACTCAGCTACTCGACTGCTCTCCGCAGAAAAGCCTAGCGTCGAGATTCTTGCTAATAAGCGTAGGTGGCCTAGAACTTCCCGAGAGAGATCAGCGGGCTAAAGTGGATAGCAGATCGTAGATGAGTTTCTTCCAGATTAGCTCAAGTGGTTGATAACTTTACTTCCCAGTACCCATGATCTTACCCTCTAGAGGACAGAAAACATAAGACTGGCCTCCACTAAAATCCAGCTACCTGCCACCAATCTGAGTCTTAAGCTTTGTCCCCCCCCCCCCCCTTGCTTTGGTCTTGCGCATCCTCCCACCCCTGTCAGACGAACGCCTCTGGTCTTCAGAAGCCTGAAAAATCAATCCTGGGTGAGAATCGGGCATCTTAGTCCGTTAGTTAATAGCCGAAGCGAACTGATTTCCTTTTCCAGATGAATTGTCTATTATCTCTTATTACCGGCAGATCATGTTGGATTGTGACCGTATGAGAAGTTAGTCTTTTTGGGTCCGAGCAACACAAAAAACCGTATACCAGTAACAGTGACAGCAGCACGTGGAGTCAGTACGTCAAATCAGGAACATTGATTGCGACAGCGGCCGCTCACTTACAGTCCCTTAAGTTGGGCGAGAGGCCCAGACCTACAACCCGTTCAGAGAATTAAGGGCGAGAGAATAGCCTAACCCCTTGCGGGGCTCATTCTAAATGTCATCTATGCTCTTGATTATTACTATACAGAAGCTCTCGAATCATTGGCACACCACAATCCGACGCTTTGGGTCGGGCTTGTCTATATCGGTAGCATTACCAACACCGTGGTCCGGAGATGAGGCTTATTGTGAGTGTGTCGGTCGACGATACAGTAGGGCTCCAGGACCATGTCTTTGGATCTGCCTTAGAACGCCGAACTGGCATTGGTGTTGGTTCACAAAGGGCAGAAATAGGTCCTGCCGTTCTGGTGCCGAAGAGCACTCTAGGAACCGCCTCATGCGTTTCGAAATGCTGACCTGCATAGACTTACAAGGCATCACCTCGTGAGGCCCCATTTGAACCGATAAGCACGTGTTCGAGGATCTCAACCAACATGTTTTGAGTCGTGTTGCAGAAAATGTCCATTCCTTGGCGGGAAACACATCCATATGTAGATATAAACTGATCAGCATACATAGAGCCGATCGACATCGGTATCTGGTCATCATGGTGGAGTCAGCTCCTTCAAAGTGCGGCTAGTTTAGCATACGATTTGGTCCTGCTACAATAGCGGATTGCCAAGTTTGATCCCGATCGAAGTTGGTTGCTGCTCCGTCACAGGCTTTCATGAGCTGTCGTTTTTTGTTATGATGGAGTCGATACGATCAGATGGCTGATTATCAGCACGCTAATTCCGACTTGCAAATTTATGAACCAGAGCCACGGATCTAGAAGCTAAGCCTCTACAACCCCAATTTATTTTAAACTCTGTGAATCTTGCGAGTCTTCACGAATAGCTGCTGTGTGGTCGCTGCGCTTCTCCTGACTCATTAATTAACACTCGGCACCGAGATGATTTATGGCTTCGGAGGTTCAGCTCACAAGAGTTTAGCGTTCAGTGCTAAAGGAAGCCAAGAGCCAGGCTCTTCCCTGGTTCTCCGTGTTCAGGGACGTGCTACGGAGTAGAACTTGGGCTAATAGGCACTGTATAGCATATCACTGTTTCAGGTAACTTGTTAGTGAAGTTGCCCAGAAAGATGGGGATTATTGAAAGTTTGTGAGGTTATCTTGGCTTTGATAAAAGCGGGTGATCTATTAAGGGAACGACGGAAGGCAGAAGATCTTGGCGGGGGTGGACCCAAGGACATGGAAAGATGCGATTGGACGTGAAACCGGGCATTGAGTGTCTGCCCTACGAGGACGATGGATCCGTTGGTTATGTTAGATCGTGAGCAGAAGGCGCTGGGGTGTTTTAGCAATTGCAACTAACAATATGCATCAGACGCCTGAGCACATGGGATCATGGATGTCTGTGTATCTCAGTGCCGTATCATGTATCACGTAACTGCAGTCAGATAATGTACTGTTTCTGTTGTGTCGTAAGCGATAAATGCTCATGGCACACACATTCCAAGACCCTGTCAATGGAAGCAGCAACTCCAACTGCCAGCTTTACCGTATGGGGATATGGTTGAGATGGCCTTGTTGAAACATGATCTAAGTCCCTACGATTGAAATGTCAGAATCACCAGCCCAAGCCAAAGCGAAGGAACCTGAGCCTGGGGGCCTTGGAAGTGGGTGGCACTAGGCTTTGAGATAGTTGAATCGCTAGACAACGCCAAGAAATCAACCCTTTCCCCGCTGAGATGATGGCGAAGGGGAGACGCCGGGTGGTAGGGATGGAAACAGCTACAGTAACAAACACAGGCGGTATTAAGGGCTCTCCTTGGGTCGAATCCCGCGTTGCGGTGCAGACGCTGACGCCAGTGGGCGGTCAATACTCGAGCTGACAACCCTCCAAGACGGTCAGCCCTTTTTCATGTATGGTTTCAGGGGTGAGATTGAGATCGGACCGCGCAGTTATAGTTGGACTAGCAAGATCTGCAGCACAATTCATATGTGAACGAATCATGTCCACTATTTCCGACAGATTGGACAGTGATATTACCGGACAGACTGATTGACATTCAATTGCGAGGGCTGGTTTGACTTGACTCGACTTGAGCCCTGAACTGCATCGAGGCGTGCAGAGACTCCTGATAGGCTCGCCCTTAGCAGAAAGGACATGAACATGGGCTGATGTGCATTTGCATCCATGCAACTCGCGCCAACAGAGAGAGCGCCAAGAAATCGCCAAGGCCACGACGAGCCAATCGCACTTGTACAAAAGGCCGGAGCTCCACTTGCACCGCAACTGGGACCACCCTAGGACACGCTGTCGGGTTTAAAGACCCGGCTGTCGGTACAACCTAGAGCAGTGGAGGAGGCTTGATTGCTCCGGCAGGACGGTCACTGGACGGGCGTAACACCTACGCCTTCGGTAGAGACATCCATGGATGCAGACAATCTGCCAGAAACAAAAAAATACAGGTACGTTACTATACGTTGACAGAGTTACATGCAGTACCTAAGGTAGTTCTGCCCAGTGATATCCAATGGGTTGTGCACCCTAATAAAAACCCCTACCATCCTGTCGGATCATTAAGCTAAATCCAGTAAAACATGACCTACACATAGTTAGCAACACAGATAGCCTACTAACCTACTATAACAAAGTACTGTACCAAGGCTAACCTTAAGGTACTAAGTCTACTGCCACCACCATAGAGTAGTCCGCTCGACGGTCCACCCCAGCAATGAAGCGGCGTCAACGCCGCCTGCTCTTCTAGCGCAACGAGGATACCTTCATATTACCTGCCCTGCCCTGCTCTTCCCTGGTTCCCTTTCCGTCTCTGTTCCCTCTGATCTTCCATTCATCTATTCCCGTCTTAAATCTCGTCTTTCATCTCTCAAGTTCTAGCCACTTTATCTTCTCTATTACTCAAACTCCATGGGGCAAGTCATCATCCCCAGCTGCCTCTAGCGATGTGCGAGCCTCACACAGGAAACCAGTGGAGAGACTCGCCTTCAGAGGCACCCCAACACCAACACCAGCAGGACATCAGTATCACTGCTTCATGCCCAAGAGCAACTACAATAATGTCATCCGAAAACGCGCAAATAGCCGGACAACCATTATCACCACCGAGTTCACCACCCGCCTCGTCATTGATATCAGTTTTAGCCTCTCGATGCCAATCTACTCGGCCTCTTCAATCCCAATCAATTGATGTCCTTGCTTCACAACTTGGCAGCTCTTCTTTGGAGCATTTCCATTACGACTCTTCTCGCTCGACTACACGGCTTCCGGAAACCGCCCTCTCGCCCATTTCGTTACCCGACGATGACTGCATTAATGTACAGTCGATACTCAACCATCAGGGTTCCGACTCCATGGAGCTTGATCCCTACAAAGACATGAATACTACGAAATCTCGTAATTATCATCCGAGAAACGCCCAAGAGGATTTTGCCTGTGCTCTTGATGGACCTTTCAATCCATTTATGCCCATTGCTGTTGATCCGACCACTCTTAGTGAAGGCCCGGGGGATGCCACAAGGTCAATGTACAGGCCCAATGCAAATGGCGGCTTTCAAGTGGATGAAGGATACTGTGAAGACGAGGATGATTTCTCTTGGCTTCAACCACTTGTACTGCGAAGGACGACTGGTACGCCTGACGGAATTAAGAAGCGTTACGAGCTTGGGTATCGAAGATCCGCTGATGCTGCAAGTCGTTGTCGCAACACGATTCACAGTGTACCTCGAATGCGACGACGCGACAAGAAGAGAAGCAGGCAATCGCAACCCCACTCTACGGCAAGCTCCGTCAGGGGCCGCTCGGATTCACAAACCTCGCAGATGGTTATTTCAACACAGTGAAGTACCCAAATTTCTGCGGTGCTTTCTCAACACATTTTAACAGCATACACGGTGGGCGCAGGCTACATGTTACAGAGTAGTTCTTTCAAGGACGACTGACTCACGCATCACGGAGTTACACGGATGGAGCATTTACAAGAGCGAAGCATCTGCCCTCTGAAACAAGGTCATGGATGACTGGGCAAAGGCGTTGCAGTATTTTTGAGGTCAGACAGCTTAGGATTTGCATTTTGTTTTGTTTTTGGGAATCACAGCCTGGAGTTTTGGTATCACGACCGGGGATGTTTTGTTCTTTTATGGGCAATGTCAGAGGCGTTTAGGGTTTATATGCTTGGAAGACAGGACCAGCATGGGGCGCATTATTATCTGGGGAGCTCATGACCAAAAGGTTCAAGCGTTATGGCCAGGAAGGCAAGACAAGACTGTTGCATAGCATTGTACGATGGACAAAGTCGATATCGGTATCTAGTATTATTGTACGTTAGTAGAGCATCACACGGCGTCTGGTCTCGATGAGCAGACGAAACCGTAACCCGTGGGATACCACGAAAGAAATGAAACAAATCGTGTACAGTTATTACACTAAACAAAGTGTTAGGCAAGGCGTTACTTTTGTGTGAAGCTCCGAACCCATGGGAGTCACTTTGACGAAGAGTGGAAGAATGGAAGAATGGCAAGAAGTACAAGTCAATTGTGGGCCAGGCTTCAATCGGACGACTTGCGAACTCTATCGGGCACGGCTGGTGAAGCCATCACCAACCGGGCTGGGCAACTATGACGCCCGCTCCGCAAGGCCATGAGCGTCCACTGACAAATCGTCAAGATACGTAAGCAATGTCTAGCGTGCCAATCGGCAAAGGCGTCTTCATTTTCCCACGCATCACAGTAAGGGATTTCTGCCCATCATATGAGCGACTGTCGCATATAAATCGATTCATCGGTGCCGTCGACAGCCGCGCGCCAGATCAGCGCAAGCCTCTGGAAAGAGTTTCATCGGTCTGGGCTCGCCAATGAACGCGGGTAAACGGGGAAGGGGACCATTCTACCTAGGTACAGCGATTCCGTAATCTAAGAGGCTTCAGACGAAACAGAAAATTCATTTGTTTACTATTGAGAGTCATGAGGACTGGGGCGTTGATGAGGCGACGAGGTCAGACAGGCTGAAGGAGCATTCTTGACATGAGACATGAGACATTCACGGAAGAAAGATCCATGATGAAGATGTATTTGCTTTAATTGAATGTGTCGGGTGAGGGCGATGATCGATCGGAGGGGGGACTGAATGACAATCATAGTGGAGGGGAGACGGGCCTAGGGGGCCTAGAGCCTGTCAGATCTGATCAACCCCCCTGTACTGGATGTCATGTCAGATGCAACTATGCAATGCAACCAATTTATTTTGCCCGGGCTGCAAGGTACAGTACACGAAGCCAGGATCAGGGCCGGGACCAGGGGCACAAGAAAACAGCCAGGGGCTTTGTCAGCCCGAACGAGAATCAACATCAAAAACTAAAACCACGATAGATGCGATGTGCTGCAAGAGGCGTGATGTGATGTGATACCGCCGTGGGGAGATCATCGCTGGACGTCATACTGCCAATCTTTTGATCAATTCGAACGAGCTCTTGAACTCTACACTTCTGTACCTGTGTCCAGTTGAAAGCAATGCTCCGCCCATGATCAACCGACCCGACTCAAACTTTCGCACGCTCTCTTCCCATTAACGCTCTCCTCTCCCCTCTCCCATCTCGCCTTCGCCCTTCCCGCCCATAAATACTAATACTAATGCTAGGCTAACGTAGGTACACCCGTAAACTCTACTTTAGCCCATCCCAGCGCCTCTACCACTTAGTCTTGGGTGGCTTCGGGCGTCCAGAGCATCACCACTTGCCGTCTGAGAAGAGTCATGTCAGTCATGACTCTTCACTTGCGCTCAATCGCCAACCCATGGAGAGTGTCGTTTATTTCCTTAAATGTGATTTCAAATATATATATAAACATATCACTCGTTCGATCAATTAACATTTGCAACACAGAAAGATCGTCCTCTTTAAATTCCCATTTGGAACAGACAAAGGGGGGTCAATCATCTGTCAATGACACGAGAATCTTTCTCAATGGAATGCTCCCTCATAGCCCCGTGCATTCCTCCCACTGTCGCACTCAAATCGCCCTCCTCCAAGTAGCAACCCGACCCAACGGTCTCGTTGCTGCGCCAGAGTGAATTCGTAGTCCTCTCTTTCTTACTCTCATGACCCTGATTCTGGCCCTGTTCATCAATATCTTACTACTAATCTCAGGGAAGACCAACCTTGATTTTTGTCCCTGTGTCTTGCCCGTTTCTCTGGTACCCGTTGCTAGCTTGTCCGTTGCTCCATTGACTTGACTTTGGCCATCTCCACGCCTTGCCAGGTCTCGTTCGCTTACCGGCCGAGTCCCTTGTTGCTCGTCTTGAACTTTGTTTTGCTGCCTCTGACTGGCTCAGGCCTCTCGCCTCTCTTCTCACTATCGCTCAAAGACTCCTCAGGCTCCGGGTCTGGCTCCTTCTTTTCATTCCCTCCGTTGCCATTCTTTTGGCTCTCACCTCATTCATGCCATCAACCTTCACTTCCACTTCGACATCTTCGTCGTCTTCCGTAACTCTCTCTGCCAGCCCTAGGTGACTCGCTTGGCTGACCACGCCTCCATTGCATCCTCACCCATCAGCTTCAACTACTATTGCAGAACAACAGTCCAGTATCCCAATGGCCTCTTGGACCTTGCCCTATCGGGTTGAAGCTGTCGACCGCGACCCAGGCTTCTACTGGCAGGATATCGACAATGGACCTAACGATGGATCAAACGACTTCTTTGGTCAGTTTCTCAACTTTGATGGTGAAATCCCATCTTCTATGGCCGATCCACACGGTCACAACCCATCAATGCCGGCCCTAGCCAATGGACTTATCCTCGACCATCCTACCGAGTCCACTGCATCTGCCTCGTCAGGCGTTTCAACAACTGAAGATGAGTTCGATTTCTTCTCCTGCAGTTCTCAGGTCGACGCGACAATCCCCTCTCAGCCAGCCTCATCCGCTGTCGCAAGTGCATCGCATGAGGTCGATCCTCGAAGCCTCGCACTTGCGAGTGCCGTTGGACTGACGGACGAGAAGCCTCCCCTGGTGCCTCGAGTTTCCATGTCAGACCCAGAACTGCCCCGAGTTGATGGCATTTCATTACACTCTTCACCTGGAAAGCGGGTGCCTATTTCACAACCATCATCCCCAACCCCACCCAACACAATGGCCAGGAAACCCAACAAATTCGTTGAGGCACTCTCATCCACGATTCGTAAAGCCAGTAAACTTCGCAAACCCAAGAAGCTCGTTGCCATGGACCGCCCAGGCTCTCCGACCATGGACAATCCTCCTCGGGCCTTGCGACTGCAGCATCACGAATATGGCAACGGTAATGACGCATTCCCCCCATCACCGACATGCGGGCCGGATAGCACCAACTTTGTTCATGGGTTTTGTGACGATCCCTTTAGTGAAATTCCTCAGCCGCCTCCGAACAACTCTCTCCGCTTTTTCAGCACCAACGGAATCCACACACCAGCAGAATCCCCAGGAGTCAAGACTGAACCTGGCCTTTACCATCCCGACATGGCAGGGCAAGTTCCTCAGTCATCTTGGCAGCATCAACAACACCCGCACTCACACCCTCATCCACACCAGCATCCCCATCCCCATCCACATCCACATCCACATCCACATCCACAGGCCCATGTTCATCCTCACCCACACCAGCAACCTGTTACTGTTGTGGGTACAGCACCCGAGACATGGCCGGGGCAAGAGTATATGGCTCAAAATCCTCATCAAAGCGGGTGGTGGGATCTAAATCTTTTAAACCAGAATGGCGAATATGTTGTAGCCGATCCGCAACAGCAGAAAAACGCCAGCCTCAACCTTGCCATGCATGCCCAGCATGCGGAGTTGCCGTACGAGTATCAGGTTCACGATCCCAATTCGGCTGGCCTCATGATCCATATGCCACAACCACGAAACGCCTCGGCTCCCAGTCACGACCTTTCGTTGAACACCCAGACTTACCTCCCCCCACCGCCTATCCCTCCAACATCAGAACGCCATCGTCCGCCACGAGCCCCGTCTTCTGGAGCACGACACTTGTCATGCTCTCCAATTCGTAAGACACGCCAGCCGTCCATTCCACCCACGCCCGCCACAGCACACTCGCGCCACAGCTCCAATGGGTCTGTCGCATCAGCTCGCAGCGCCTCGGGTCGAGGTATAGTACCGGGGACTCCCACGGCAATGCGCAAGCAACGACGATCTCGAGATGCAAGCGGCAGCAGTGGAGGCGGCAGCGAGATCGGGTTCGTCAATTTTACTCCCAGCGACGGCGGTCTCCTAATGACAGGTGTTGCGCCGAGCGGCAGTTCGAAGACCAAGGCGCGAAGAGAGCGTGAGGCGATGGAACGGAGGCGACGATTGAGCGAGGCGGCCATGAAAGCGGTGCAAGCAGCAGGTGGTGATGTCGACAAGCTGATGGAACAGGGTTTTGCATTTTAACCCCTCAAATTCAATCCAAATCGGGTCTATTTGATTTTTGGTTCCTGGTTCCTGCATGAGACCACGTATGTGGCTGTCGGGACTTGCCGCAGCGTTTTTCACATGCGACTTCACATTTTATGTCATCAATAAAGATTTGATGATGCAGAGGTGAAAGAAAGGTGAGGGGAAGAATACGAGTTGACATGGGAGGACTAAGAAATCAAGTGGCAGGTGTTGGTGTTGGTGCTGGCGGTGAGACAATCCCAATTTGCATCGGAGCTAAAGGAAGGGGTGGGCGTTGAAAGGGAAAAGGGAAAGGGGGTATGGAGGGAGCTTTACCTCTACGAGGTTAACAAACATTTATCACGACAACAAACGACATCAATCGCCAACTGCGACAGGCACTGACCTTTTCATTATCATAACTCGACGACGGTGTTTCTCAATAATCTTCTATCTCTCTTTTTTCCACTATCTTACCTTTATCTCAAGCCTTTGCGCAATTTTTTGGCGGACTCGAATCGAACACAAGAGATCATCACTCAGCCTCATCAGTCCATCAACTATATTATATCTATCTACCTAGGTCTTCCCTTTGGCAAAATTCCCGTCAGCAAGTCTTGCGACTTTGAAAGCCTACTAGTCCAGAGACGTTCGTGGTCTCACAAAACTCCATTTCTTGAATTTCTTTTTTTATTTTTATTTTGCGTCCTTGTTTGCTTGCTTATATATACCATTCGTCATGTACCAATAGTCATACTACAAGACTTAGAGTAGTCTTGTTTTGCCTCTTCCTCACTGTATCTTAAAGCCTCTCGTTTGAACGCAAAGCCTTGCTGTTCCGCTCAGATATGGAATAATCATTGTATTTGTACGGATGGTTGGGGAGGCTGGGTATTTGGTGTTTCCCTCTTCAACGTCCGAGGTGTTACATGGAAGTGTGGATGAGAATTCAAGGCTTTCAATCACTACGATGGCTGGTTTTGCATCGTCCATACCGAGTACTGAGCTTAGATACATTGGATACAAGCTCCATGGACAATTACTTCTCCGTTAGCCACGGAAGTTCCAGTCACTGGAAAGACCTTTTTCATTAGATAAATAAAGTAACGCACCTTTCATGGATTGTGTTTGCACTTGAACCTCAAGCTGGCCTAAGGAGGCTATTTCAGGCGACTGTCATTCACCTGGAAAACAATCCGGCTATTGGAATTTTTTGTTTTTAATTTGGGTACAAGTAATGGGAAGTCAAGCTCCCCACTGCCACATCTTCTAAGCTGTGGCGTACTCTCTCGGATATCGAACGTGAACTGGTGCCTGAGCTATCCCAATCCAGTGAAAAAAGTGCATCCCTCATTCCTTCCCGATACTGTTTATATATACAAAGCAAATACTCGTAAGAGCACTAGGGTTTCGATAATCGCCAACGCCAGGTCTCATCGCAGACGCCGTCGTCATGCTTTCGACAAACCATCCAAAAAGAAATTTGAGTACGACGAAACAAACAAGGAAAAAGAAAACACGGTCTTGGCGTGGTCAGTGTCGATTAACGGCTTAATTCGAGAGCTAACTCTCATCGTCCACAGCAGAAAATTCGATGTGTTGATGTTGTTAGGCCGGCTCGTTTTTGACAAAATGTCGTCAAATCCGAAGCCTTCGCTGATGATAGAGCTCTCAGATGTAAGCTTTTCATGAGATAAATGGATAGAGCCTCGGTTACATCAGTTAGTGCTCGTAACCAGCACCACGCTGCCAAGGGCTAAAGAGGGGTCAGCATGTGCATCACTCTACTCGTCAAGCGTGAAAGCTTACCTGGCATTGTTCTGTGATCTGTAACCACCTGGGCTACTGTCGCCTGCCGACCGTTGTTGAGAGAGATTGGATGTCGACTGTTGGTATGGGTTTGGTGACGCATTGCGGAACGGGCTTGCTGGTCGTTGCCCGTCAGCAGGGAAAAGTGGCATGGCGGGGTTCACAGGAGACCGGGGAGGAACATCGCCCCGTTGAAACGATGTTTGGGACTGGTTGTTCATCTCCGCCCGCCTTCTCAAGCTCTCAGAAGACACCGAGTCCTCCTCATCGAGATCGAGGTGCTTGTTGCTATAACCAGCCTTGTCACCTCGGGCAGTAGCGGCAAGAGCATCAAGCTCGGTTGTGGCGTTGACCTGGGTTTGAGACTTCATGAACGACGCACGATCGTCGGCCATGAACTGGTATCGTGCATCAGGGTTCTTGCGGAAGAAGACCAAGGCCGTTGAGACGATAAGCATGAGAAGAAGAATAAGTGCGAACGCAGCATTCAAAACGAACAACACGACACCAACGACACCAACGACAATCTTAGGCAGCCCAAACACATTAGAAAAGATGAGGAGAAAGATGGCGTTAATGAAGTTGATAGCAGCAATAGCGATGTTGAACGAGTTGGTGGGTTTATCCATCCAGGGTCGAAGAACCGAGGCGGCAATTAAGAAACCGACCTCAATGATGATAAACCCAACTGCCTGTGCCACATCGTTTTTCTGAGCCAATGCAACAAACATGGCCTTGACCACAGTGTAGACAAGGACGGGAACAATGAAGTAGTAAGCAGAAGCTCGGAATTGAACGTAGAGGAAACCCCACTTGTTGAGGGCCTGGGGATCCGAGAAGAGGATGTAGGCTGGGTTTCGGTGCATGGCAACAGAACGGCGAGCGATGCGGATAACCTTGCTGGCGCCCCAAGCGAGTGTGAAGGTCATTCCCAAGAGGAAGAAGACAGCGAGAACGACTTCAGCAGGCGAATCCTGTTGAGTGAATTCCCACAAACAAAGGATGACCATCTGAGGGAAGCCGATGAGCGTCAGACGGAAGAGGATGCCCTTTAGGACAGTCATCCAACCGTTTCGGAATTCCAAAAATTTGTCTGGGGCCATCCACTTCTGACGAACGCACAGTTCGCATACACCCTTGAAGGCAGCAATAGCCAGACATGTGATAACCACGAAGATGCAAAAGAAAGTGAGGCCGGTCATGAACAGATTGGTGGTTTCAATCCTAGACTTGAAAGCAACTCGCTGAATACCGTACACGATGTAAGTGCCATCCTCGGTTTGGATATTGGCGCGCTTGGCGAGTGCCCCAGCAGCATGACCGATGGGCTCCGTGATACTTCGAGGCATCATGGCGGCACTACGTTTGAAGAGATCGATACTGGTGGAAGCAGCCTGCAAACTTCGCTTCTGAACCTCGACCGACACTTGGCGAACATTGTACAAAATAGACTCGGGTGTGCCGCCAGTTGCTCGTTGGTACCACGTAAAAATGTCCTGCATGAAGCCAACGCGGATGATTCCCATTGACCACTGGAAATCCTGAGTCCAAGAGGAAACGATTGGGGGGAGTCCGACGCTGGTGAGACCAAGAATGGCCTGTGCCTGGAAATAGCCAAACAAGGAAAGCGAGTTAGAAGCGACATGAGCAGCAGTGTTGGCGTGACCGACCCCGGAAACAACGGCAGAAGAAATCAGACCAAGGCCGGCAATGATGGCAGTAGCCCACTTGACACCTTTGAGATCAACCGTTTTTCCGTTGGAAAAATCAGCTTCGACACATGCGACGCTTTCACCAGTGCTGGACATATTGACATAAACACGGACGGTAGCGTCGAGATCGGGAACACTGTAGGCGATTCCAGGTACTTGTTTGAGATTTTCTTTGCCGACTGGCAAGTTGAACTTGAATGGAATTTTTCCAGAAACCATGGGACAGAGACCAGCGAGATTGATTGTACAAGGGTCTACGGTCTGTTGAAGGAACTGGTAGCCGTATGCCGAGAGTCGAATGTCGAAGATAACCTTGCCCTGGATGGATGACGTTGCCACAGCCTTGACAAAGGCAGAGCCGTTGTTTGGTGTCAGGGCAACGTTGAAGAGCGTAGCTTTGAAACCATTATCCTTCTGGCAACTGTTGAGCGAGTTGGAGTAAAGAATCTTCTCTCCAGAAACGGGTGAGGCCAGGGCTGCCACTGAGGCGAGGACCGCCAGTGGTTTCATAATACAAGACCACATCGTGACCACGTATCCTAGTGATGATGATCGAATTCCTTGTCGATCGAGTCGTTTCGTTCGGGCGAAAGTTGGTTGTCGTCGTTTCAAGTCCAGGGTTGTTGACAGTGTACTTCCAATCCTTCCAATGGTCCAAGATTACTGGTATGAGTCAAAGCAAAGCCCACGGCGGAGGTGGTCGACAAAGTATCGACAATGGCGACGAATTATGGCCTTCAAAAGACGTGGCTTTCTTCCGGACTGACTTTGGATAGATGGATAGCGAGAGTGAAGCCGCGGCAATTGGCGTAGAATTAGGAACGGAATAAGGCGATAATAAAGAAAGAAGTAAAGTTAATTAGCGAAAGACCGAGGCGAGAAATCGTCTCCGCGACGAGGCGTGGCTGAAAGTGACAGCGTTTGGTCGTCTCGTCGTCGTCGATATGGGTTGGTTTTTCCCGTTGTCGCGGATGATGAATGAAATGGATTTGTTGTGTGGGGGAAGACGAGAGGGAAAAGGAAGACCAGCGGCAACAGCCAAGGGAAGGAGTGAGATGGAAGGGAGGGAGAGAGGGATCAGGAACCTGGGTAGCAATGGCAGCGGCAGCAGGAAGCAGGTACGGCCTGGCCTGGTCGGCGCTCGTAATAGCGGCAAGTACCTAGCGAGTAAATTGATACGTACGCGGTACAATCGAAGGGGGACAGGGGGGCGGGTGGTCCTTCACGAGTGCGGTGAAGCGGGGCCTGGAGGGACAGATTTGGTTTAGTTTGGTCTTGGGTCCTGCGTGTGATGCGTGTGATAGGGGAGTCTTTTGTACGGAGACAAACGGCCTTTGTCTCTGAAGAGCCAGTTCATCTGATGAGGGTTTCGTTTACTTTACTGACAGCAATAGTGAAAGTGGTTTGGCAATGCTCAGACGTCGCAAGGGCGAAGATGAAGGCCAGAAATAATAGGTTTTGTCGTATTCACATTCGTTGCGTCGTATTCAACCACCACACACGGAGTACCAATGCTAGCACGTCTCAGACGCAGGCCCCCTAGGTCAAGAATCTGGAGGCTGTGCAGGTACTTGGAATGTAGGCCAAGCGCTGAGCCAAGTGAAAGTCAACAACACGGATGCATGCGCGGGTATGGGGTGACGATCTCGTATCGACTCTAACAGTATATACTTTGTGGGTACACACCTCGTTCCCCATCAGCAACAAGGCCTTACCCCTGGAAGACGAGGTCCAAATTTGTCTATTCACTGCGTGTATAAAGTGATATGTTGTACGTACCGAGAACGGATGTTTCGGGCTGGCTAAAACGTCGATTGAATGAAATGTGAGTAACAAGAGACCCATTGTTGCCGTAGATCTTGATTGCGTTGTCACTACAAACGCAATCAACAGAAGTTGGCAATCAAGAGGCTAGCAGGGCTGGTTAGTTGCTGTAGTATCTGTAGAGGCGGCATCACGCTGCATAAGATAAACAAGGTCAGCAGGCGTTACTTGGTGATTCGATGCATGATCCACGATTTGGGCATTGAAAAACATCAGCGTTTCCGGTTTTGTGCCATAACATGCAGTAGTGTAGCTAATCTTTATGTCAACGACTCTGAAAGGTCGCTTGGTTGGTCTGTAGCAGGCTTGCCAACAGAGCCGTCAAGGGCCAAGACCTGGGCGATTTCCCATGCCCTCAGAAGAATACGAACAATAAATGTTGTAACAATAAGGTAAGCCAAAATTGTCATGATACGGATGCCACCTCCGGTAACCATGAGCCAGCTCGCATTGTTACAGGATGGGTTTAATTAGCTGAGGCTTGCACAGCCTCAGGGCCTCCTTACAGGCAGTCTCTGTAACTTTGCCGATGCCCGAAGGGGTGGCCCTTACTCCAAAGCCTTGCGCATCCTACTTCGTTCTCTTCAGGTGTGCCAATTCAGGTCTCAGGCCTTTCAAGGCGCACCGATTTCAGAAAAGCACAGTGACAGCAATGGTGGGCGAATTGTGATAGTCAGGCGTGAAGAGGCTGTGTACTCAAGTGATGTCGCGTCCTGTCTTGGTTGTTCTTGGGCTAATATCGTGTTTTTCTTGGAAACAGTACTTTCGGCATCTCCGTCTGTCTACAGAAAAAATCTTGCATGACTGTAAGGCACTCACTATTACGAGTGGGGGAATGTGGTAAATATCTGTACTGAGACAGTTAATTTTTGCCCCTACCAGAGTCATGCGCCCATCTGACCTCGTCTGAAGAAATGTCGAAATCAAGCTCAGCTTTTGAGTTATCGATAGACTTTGATGGAACCAATCTCAATGATGATGCCAAGACTCGCGTTCTTCTGTCACCAGCAAATCGTCTAAAACTCCGCTTCACATAGAGTAAGCTCATTGGCAGATGAGATTGGCGGCCAGCATCCTTAAAAGGAACACCACGCAAATGAAGGACGAGCAACGCTCCTGTTAATTGTCTACCTAGCTTGGGTCGACTTCTCTATATTCGGAGAATATCCGACCAGAATTATCAGATGGATCTCAAACTCGACAACGATGCCGTGACTCCCATTCTATTTTCAGCCCAATAACAACAATTGAGTTTCGACAGTCAACGTCCACCGTTCCCACACCGTCGTAGTCAGATTCCACAGAGGAAATTCTGCTCATCAAACCCAGAATCGTCTACTCTCTTTCCCTATTGGATATCTCACATTCCAGATCTCCGACCCCTCACAGCCCCGATATTCAGGGGTACGCATTCCAGAGGCCAATAGCAGAACGCCTTCAATGATGTGCTACTGTAATAAACGCCTTCACACATGGACAGAGAGATTGAGATTAAAGAGAAGGGGATCCATTACGCGTGGAAAGGCCGGCATAATCCACTGGGGAATGTCACAGGTCTTGTTACTGGACAGGCGATACATTTCTCAAACATAAGCGTCAAAAACTACTAATATGGAGCATGGACGCGTCAACTCGAAACCTTCTGATACGAAGATAGCAAGTATGATCGACGGGTTTATCTCCTCAAAAATTCATGCCCGGCACGTGTTAGACCAAAGAGCATCACACTAAACGAGAATATGAATCGTAACCATTCCGGTTCATCTTCATCCGAGTCTCATTACATGTTTCGCTCGTCGCATTCCTAACAAAAGCCATGCCTTTGTCTTGATGCTTCTGTTTCGAGAGATCCTTAAACTCCAGCGACGTAGGCCTCAGATAAGAAATGGATAAAGCAGAACCATAGAATTCATCGCCAATGCCCAACGTCTAATTTACCAAACTCCAGCCTTGAGCCGTCCAAATGCTGTGCATGCCTGCCGAACTATGGCCATACACAGATCTGGTTCCATAATCATAGCATATATTGCGCGTTCTACAGCACATCCCACTGTGCATTCCACGGATTGTTCATCGTCGTATAGTCGACACCATGTTTGTATGAACTAGTCAGTTCCTCCTGGTCCACTCCGCAGTGTGTCTGTCCATCTCTTCCGGTAAACCATCCTAGTCCATACGTCTTACCGTCATCAAGTTTCTTCGCCATCTCTGTGTTATTTAGCTTCGACGTTCCCACAAAGTTGTACAGCATCTTGCTCTGGTGGATAAAAGCCAGAATTGACGCAATAGTGTTGGGCTGACGCGGCAGGAAAGGATGGCGTCGGCGGAAGAACACCATGTTTGAGACAACAAACATGTAGATCAGTATAAATAATGTGGCGCCGAGGGTGATATAGAATGAGCGTATCGTCTCCTGTCCAGAGTTGAGTATTTCACCATCCTCCTTGTCGTCTTTCCACTTCCCTTTGTTGTATTTATTTATTCCATATCCTGTGATAAAGTCTTGCCCATCCACCGTTGCAAGGCTGGTTACAAGGATCGTCAGGAATTCAGCCATGACACTACCGAACCCAACAAGAAATACTAGAAAGTGGCCGTTCAAGAGCGCTCGCAGTGGCATATAAGCAAACGGCAGTGCGGTGTAATCAAGGGTAAGAACCTTTGAGTGCGCATGTCGCTTTGAAAGGATATAGTAAGGCTCCATCATACGAACGGATGTCTCCATCGCGCCCCAGCATAGCTTGAGGATGACGGCCAACGCTGTGACGACCCAGGCAGCCTTGTCTGTGACGATCTGGGCGGGAGTGAAGAGAAAGGTTGGGATCAATGCTGCAAAGAGGATCAACCCGATGATGAAAGGGATACATCCCATTGGACGTAGCATCAGGGGATGCGGGTGCTCCGAGAGATGGGCGCCGTCATCCTGTTCGCTGTCCGTTTCCACCTTTGTGCTTGTGCCATCGTAAGGTGCAAGCGAAGAATTTCTCAGCATGTATCGACGACGCTTCAACTTTTGGTGGATGTCTTTATGCTTGGCTGTGTCCATATCTTTGAAGTCCATCAGGACATGGCTCACTACAGCCATGCTAGCAAGACCAGCAATGCCTCTGACATCGGAGAGTAGGCCTGATCGTCGAGTTTGTAAAACATATAGTAAGCCGCATCCCATGGCTGCACATAACACCAAAGTAACCGTCAAAAGTCGCGACCAGACCGAGGCCACAAAGATCTCCTTCATGTCACTGGGATTTTCCATACGCTCCTTGCGGCTCGGTGTGAGTATGATCGACGCAGCTGCACAGGTTGGTACGAGGGAAACGGCAAGTGTTGAGGCGAAAGAAGACAAAGCCACCGCATAGTGGCCAAGCTTGATTGCTCGAAAAGGTCGCCAGAAGCTGTAGCTTGTGACATAGTCGGCATTGATTGACTTGGAAGCCAGAGCACCCTGCTGTCTGGATAGCTGGTAGAAAGCCTCCAGGCGGCGGACTTCGAAGTCCGTAAACTGCCAGAACACGCCGAAAGTAACCGCAACTACTGTCGGTAAGAATTTGATTGCAAAATAGACAAAGGCGTCTATATCTTTGGGTGACCGGAATTTTACTATAGGCTTTTTGTGAAATCGTTGAAAAAGATATTCCTGCGCAATAGCCAACCCGACCGATATTGTAATCAGCAATGTGAGGTAGGGCCATCGCATTGTTGGAGGCTTCCAATTCGGTTGAGGGTAGAATATTTCCGTCTTGCCCTCCTTAGTCGGGAAAGTTGATCGGCGGAAATCATTAGACGCAACCGTGCTGAGTCCCTCGATGCTACTCAGGTCGGCGCCTGGTCCCTCCTCTAATATCACCTCAATGACTTCTCCTTTCCGATTAGCTTCGTCCTGTCCTCTTTGTCGGATCGTCTCAAATCGGCCAAGATGCGCAGGCGGCTTGCGGCGCGAAAAGGACCGAGACAGACTCCTCTGAACAGATGGGGTCGACGACAGAAGTTCGGCATCGCGCATCTTGACGTCCGCGTGAAACCCTTGGCCCAAGCCTCCTGTCAACATCCCGCTAGCCTCTTGCGCCTGAAGCTTCTTCACGAAAACCTCATCGTGCGAGGTCATTGGCCCTAGCGCGGCGCTCAAGTCGAAGCCAGGAGACACATCATCCTCATCCTCCTTTATCGGATCATAGCGGCCAGAGTGGCCCATGGGCGCTGCACCACCGAGCAATGACAGATCGTATGCTTCGTCTTCAGTGCTTTCCTCTGGAATGGTTCTTCCGAGAGATGAGCCGTATGCACGCTTGGCTCTAGATGGAAACCGTGAAGGAGGAGGCCCAGCTGCAGACACAGGCGCATACGATCCCCCCGCTCCATTGTAGCCAAATGATGCGGACCATCCAGACCCAGCAGCGTACGAATGTCCGTCATATTCCTGTTGGGGGGGGCTCGAGTTTCCTGCATAGGAGTCGAGAGACACCATAGATTCGCGGCCATGAAGCTGAGGGTACGAGTTATCGTCGGAATATATCGTCATGGCAGAGACGCGATGGCTCAGATGTGGTTGTCTTGTTGCGGGCCTTTGCGATGCGGTTGCAGAGCCAACAGGTTGATATGGCTCGTAAGTTCGAAAGGGCTCTTCAGCCCGGTCATCTTGGTATGCCATATTGCGCGGCTCTTGTCATTATTGAGTATTGTTTGTTACTTTAGACAATGGTTCTCAGCCCGGGGTAACAGTTCCAAGAGTAAGCTATGGTGCGGATCGATCGCTCGCGGTATGGTGGGCGGGGCACGACGCGCAAAAAGAGGGATGGCCGATCAGGCAACGAAGGATTTGACGATGCTGATAGTTTGTCGGTTATCGAGAGGGAATGAGCGATAGATAAACGAGAACTACGCAAGGCAGAAGGGATGAGAAGAGAGGATATATGGAATGGACAAGCCTCCCCCTTGCTGGGCAGCTTCAGCCGTTCAGCCATGAACGGTAATGAACGTCCCATTAACTTAGGTTCCATTAGTACCTAATCCATGGTTACCTACCTTAGATGGGTCAAACTAACGCTGGCTAGGGACGCCTTAGGCTTCCCCATCCAGCCTCTGAGGGGCATGGTTGGGATCAGGCGGATCATTAACCTCTATAAGGCTGGGGCTGGACCTGTTTTCTGGGTCTTTCCCCCACGAAAGACCATGCGAGATCTCATATTTTGTCCAACTGCCGTAATAACCCTCTTCGACCTCTGTCTCATGTGCTGTAACACAACACGATAATTAAGTAGTGTTATTTCTTGAGTTGCTTATTGACCCTTACTTAAGCGCTTCAGAAGTGGCTATCTTATATGAGCCCATGGAGGCAAAAGCAGTCCTTCGTACCTTAGTAGTTTTCCGTTCTTCGACCTAACATTAGATGCATAGCTGCACTCTCTCTTGGATTCGGTTCGATCCAAATCCTTGCGGTAATCATCTATCCAATCAACACCTACCATAGGCGGCCTCCGCCCTTGGCTCTCCTAAACAATCCTACTGCCTTTATCGCACAAATCCGGATACTGTGTCCAAGACATCGAGGTGTCATTCAACTTCAGCTTCAAGCCTCAGAGGCGCAACAAGGTTGAGTCTAGCTAAACAGCCTTGTCATCAGCTCCCGGAAATTTCCACGATACTTGTGTTCTTCTTGGCAAAGCTGAGAGGGTCCCTTTCCTCCCCCTCTTGTCTGTGCTTAAGCACTGAGGGCAGGGGGGAGAAGGAGGATGAGGTTTTTCACGCTCAATGTACAGCAGATGTTGCGCAGCTGAGTTGCTTTGTCGTCAATGCTGTAATGCAACCCTGCACAATGTATCTTTTTGTGAATCCGCTCTCCCACTGTTGCGGTACCTGTCTTACTCACGGCATGTTACCTCTGTCGCATTCGTTCACAAGCCAGGCTTGGCTTTTGGGTCCTTTCCCCTCGTAGTGAGCTGACCGATGCCAGCCACTAGAAGTGTATGCATGACCAGTTGTCTTGAATGGTGGGTTGTCTGCAGACCCTTGGTTTATCAACGACGCTTATCTGGGTATGGTATAAATAGAACAGATCCGACCAATCACTGTATGTTCCATGTAGGTCCCGTACTGCCAGTCTTTGCGCAATGGTATCTGTAACGGGCTCTGGCGTCGACACCTCCTCCGGTTAAGCCCCTCAACCTCAGCAAAGAACAACAACACAACACACTTCACTCAGCAGCACTCTTCCGTCGATTTGGGGGAATCCTGGCATGCGGTTTGTGATTATCGATCTATCAACTAACTATTGTACAAAGGGCGCTTTTTTTTTTTTTTTTTTTTTTTTTTTTGCAGGTCTGGACAACCCTAAGACTTGTTTCGCGGAAATTAAGGCATACATGTCGGGTATATACACATACCCTATATGCTCATTCTGCGATTTGGTATCAAAACAGTTACATGGACAGTTCTCTTCTCCTGTACGGAGCTTAGTAAACACTGTCACATGAACGTGAGGTTTGTTATGAACTGACTTCGCATGTAAGTATCGCGCATGACTTTGTGCACCGAATACAGTGCGCTACACCGGTGCAAGACTCATATTGTCTGCCTGTTGATGTGTGTGGTGGGCACATTTGAATGTAAATTTGAATGTAATATTCAAATGTCACAACGAATTTACAGTATCTCACCAGAAGAGCAGATAATTTATCCTTGAAAGATGAGACTATGCTTCAAGGAAATTGTATCTGGAAAAAAGAGAATGCCTATCGAAGTTGACGTAGATACTCATGCTGGCTTAGACCGATTCCAAAGTTGAACAGGGCGAGCTACACGGTAAATCAACTTGATCTAAAATAAGAATTTATATTTAGAAAACGAGAATTTGATACGTTCCCAAGAGCCCCGTCCTCAATTATAAGTTTGTGGTGAGTACTGAACCTGCCCATATGTCTTTGATCCCAAAACTTCCAGTCTATGCAAAACAAAAATCAATACGCTTCTATTGCTATGCGAACAGAACCAGTAAGAAATGCGGTCATGTATCCCATGCTCACATTTAGAACATGAGGTACGCTGACATTAATACAGCTAGCAAAGCTGTCATAGACGCAGCTTGATATGTATGTGGAGCTAGGCTCGTGGTACCGCAACAACTGTCACGGTCATATGTCACGTTATTCATCTGCGCAGCAACCTCAAAGACAGAGCCAGGGAAACCACCGTAATTGTAATAGTCCACGTTGAGAATATTGGGAGCCCGACCCCAGTCAGAGCGGCAGTTGTTGGCCGCAACACCCAGGCTGCCATAACCCGTGACGTTATTAGTCTCGTTGAGTAGTGCCACAGCGGGGACTAGAATTTCGGCACCAAAGACGTTGAACTCGGCGTTGAGGTTGTGGTTCATGAGGTACAGGCGGTTCTTCGCTGATTTCTCGCTCAGGTCGGGAGGTCGCTGGACAGTGCAGGGAAAGTCGCGATCCAGGGGATCAAAAGGAGTCTCCCACATCTGAGTGAACTCATCGAGAAGCCAGGGGTACTTCTTCTGGTCCGACACGTAGTCGATGAACATGATGACTCGCTTGCCACGAATGATCAGGTCTTCCAGAGTGGGCCAGTCTTCAAGGGCCATCGGGAGGTAAGGCGCTTGGTAGACATACTTCAAAATGCCGGTCTCTCTGATGTACGGTACGTAAAGATCGGGGTGGGAGTAGTTTCCATTTCCAAGAAGAATCGTGACAACATCGTATGGGTGGTCGTCAACCCACTTTCGTACTCTGGTTAGCCAGTCGGTGATGGGACCCGCGTCAAGAAGATCACAGGTCGAATGGCAAAAGTGTGGCACTGATGAGTTGCTAGGGAACTGGATCTGGGCCTGAAGGAAGCGAATGCCATCATTAAGTTGTGTCTCAACCTCAAGCTCCTGGTTAGAACCAGAGTTACCCGGTCTTACGAAGGGTGAGTTGTGGCAGCCAACCATCGTGATATTGCCGTACTTGCGCTTGCAAAGCTCGACATAATTGTTACAGGGCTGTGTGTTTGTAGGCTTTGCTTTCGTGGTGGCAGTCGAGGTACCATTCGCTGTGGCGGTTCCTGTGCCAGTCTCTGTCAGGTTGCTGGTAATGGTAGTGCTATCTGTGGCATCTGTGGGGAAAAGGCCTGTGAGGGTGCTCGTGAGTTCGTCCGATTCGGTGTCGCTGGAGCCCTGCAGTGTGATCTTAGAGGCGTAGGAAGAATATGCGCCTGTGGGAGGACCGGTTTGTCGTGTAATTTTCTGTGTTCGTGTGCCTCCAATGAAAGTGAGGTCTGAAGACGCTGATAAATCGACTGTCTGGGCTGCTACATGACTGGAAGTCAAAGCCAGAGCCGCGAGTACTGAGCTCCAGAGCGTCATGACGGGAATCTGATCCTGAAAGAATTTGTGACAGGAGAGAATATCTCTGGTAGGGCGCAGGATAAGTTGAAAGGGCGATAGGAGGGAGCTCGCTAGTCGCAACAAGCTTTACAACTGGAGCTCAAGGTCCACCTATTGCAGCCGGGCCCGCGTCGATTTAAAGTGGTATAAGATCAAGGGAGTTCTTGTAGGCAAAGCAGGCCGAAGAAAAAGAAGAAACAAAAGTGAGTTGTGCTCTTGATGAGGTAGAACAAGATCTAACCTAGTGCGATCTGCGACGACTTGCGCAGTCCTGCCTTTGATCCCTGCTTGAGAAACACCAGACCAGTACCAAGAGAGCCCACTTTTGCGAACAACGACAGATCGGCGAGATGAGGTGGGTATGATACGTATGTAGCAAGAGAAACCTCAAGTAGTCACTGTAGAGACCAGTAGAAGGATGTGATACGTGCGGCGGTTGGGAAACCTTCCTTTTTGCACTGCCTTGCTTGGCTTTCTAGTCAAGAGTACCTATCCCAAACTTAGACGAGATTACGAATAAAAAGAGATGAAAATGAAGGACCCAAGGAAAAAGGAGAACGACTGTGTGATAGTTGCTTTGTCGCGACTTGGCATGAGAGCAAAAAAATTAAAAAAATACTGAACAAATTGGCTTCGGTTAGTAGGTTGTTAGTGCTTTATTTGATGATGCGGCCTCACCCGCTGTGACATAATGACATGTGTCTATGAATAAACAGTTAGTCCTCACTCTCTTTGCGGCTCAACATTGGCCAATTGACACTGTCAATTCCTGCCGTTATTACCGCTAAAATAGACGCAGAAGTCATGTTGAGTTTCTGACTGTTTCCGTGGCGCTAAGAGAGTGTCAAATACCCGAAAATCCGAGCGTAATCGTTACCACAGCGCTTGTTGTTCACGAAATTTTGCTGGATGGTGTTGAAACGCGTCATCATATTGGGCCGCAGCTAAGACCCAGCCGGTAACGCGGCACATCACTTCCTCTTCTTCACCTGAGGCTCGGTAGTTTGGGGCTAGAGTAGAAATGGATTGGATTGGATACCAGAAAACAAAAGCGAAAGCCAAGCACCAATAACCTATGATAGTGGCATGGCGCCTCATGTTTTTCTTGCAAGTCGTAAATCCAAGAAGTTTTCTTGGGCGCCTATTCGAAATGTTTCCATTCCTTTTGACCTGCTACTCAATATGTACTATACTTAGGCCTTTACCAACTGCGTGTGTCATAATACGGGCGGCTGTCGAGGTTCTTCATCCAGCTTCAATAGACAGATAGAGATCTATTCGCTCAGCTTTCCCAGGTTCTGATGCCCCTTACCCACGGACCCCATAAGCCTTCCCTTTGCCGCTGCATTGTCGCTCCCCAGGGGGGCTGTATTGCAGGGGACATTCCACCAAAAGCACATAAGCTCTCCACTGATGGAGGTCGTCTATCCCTTTTAGGTCAAGGTTTCGGAAGGGCCCACGACCCTTTTGGCGCCTCTTCGATCATGGATTGCATGGATCCATGTCGTCTGGCAAGATCCTTGGAATTGGGATTTTCCCTTCATCATGACGATTGCTCCACTATCTCTGTGAAAGCGGTCGCTCCTTGCTCGCTCCTCCAAGTACCTTACAGCTGGCGTTGATCATTTGGCTGGCCCACTTCGCAACGCATTTCTCTACTGCACCTTCTTCATTATCCTGTCGCTACCTTTCTTTTGTTCTCTGGATTGCGAAGCCTTTCGTAACCCCATTTGTTTCTTATGTTCTGTTTGTGGATCGTGTTGACATTCAACCGCACACCACTCCGCGACTATCCTTTCCTTTCGTCTTTCTTGTTCTGTTCATTATTTGTTTCATCACTGGTATTTTGCAGCACAGCACGCAATTAGAAGGCATCACCAACAAACGAAAGAGCCCTTTGGTAGCTCACTCCGATACCGCAGTGCCCAGGTACGATGGCGAACGTGCATAGGCGAAACACAGCTTTCGCTGCTAGCACGCTATACTTTCTGTCGATACCCTTCTTGATTCTCGTCATAATCGGTAATACCCATATCAATTCGACATTGAACGACATATACTTCTTTAAGCTTGACGTTTCTCAAGTTATACCAATCTCGGTCGATAATTCGAAACTGCTTAATTCTGTCGCTCGGAGTTTAGGTCTGCATGATTTCTACCAGGTTGGACTATGGAACTTTTGCGAAGGTTACAATGATGAGTATGTTTCCAAGTATCTCATGTAGCATACGATAGCTAACAGCACAACTCAGGGGCGTTACCTACTGCTCTAACCCTAAACAGTGGTACTGGTTCAACCCTGTCGAGATTCTTGTCAGCGAACTACTCGCCGGAGCCCAGATTGCACTCCCTGCTGAGGCCGTCACCGTCCTCAACTTGCTCAAGATAGGCTCTAGAATCATGTATGGATGTTTCATGGCCGGCATATGCATCGACTTTGTCCTTATTCCGCTAAGCCTCCTCGTTATTCGCACCCGTTGGTGGAGTTTGGTTATAACAGTTCTTGCGTTCTGTACAGCGATTCTTATTTCGCTCGCAGCTATCATTGCAACTGTCATAAGTGTTGCTGCTAAGGTCGCACTCACGGCGCAGGATCAACTCAATATCAAGGCAAACATTGGCATCAAGATGTTTGTCTTCATGTGGTTGGCTGCTATCTTCACCGATGTGGCATTCCTGCTACATGCTGCCATGGGTTGCTGTTGTAGACCTAATAGGGATAAGCCGCAGGGTCCCCAAGAAGAGATGAGGGCAGCGCATCCAAACCTTCGTCATCGAAGAGGGCATAGGTCTTCATCACATTCGTCATAGGACGCTATGTGGATCTAACTTCAACTTCGAGGCCCTGCTGATGAACAAATTTGGTATGGAAAGAACACCTTCGGCCCAGACTTCCAAGATGGTCGAGAAACTAGACGCCTTGAAGTTCTGGGACCCAAGACATGAAATCAAAAGCCTGCGCGATAACCAGGATTGCGCGCTTATTTAGACTGTTTGGTTCATTGCATTACACAGAGCAGGGAACAATTGCATAAAGCATACTCAATTTAGGTGTTTTTCGACTTGAGTACAAGGGATGCATAGTACATAGGATTTCACGGTATAGACGGGCGAGCAAGGTCAGGGGATAGGCCTTCCAAAATGACTGCGTTGGGTTGTTTCCCTCGCAGACGACATTCTTCCACGGCGCTGAGGCTCAAATAATAGAATATATATTGAAGAAAACTTAGCGTCATAATAATCTTTTCTGTATCCAACTAAGCCTTTTATCATGTGAGGATCTCCATTTAAATACTTGATGGTCTCATTAGAGTGCCTCAGAGAACTGCTGACACTATCTTGAGCCCGAGACACTCAGCCTCCTACAACCTGGCAAACAACTCATGAACTTTGTACGTCACCTAAAATGCCACGAGATTTCAAGTCATCATGATGATTATATTTCAGCACAAAGATTGACAAACACAAGATCATGTCTCGTGCACCTGATAATGAATTAATGATACGATCATTGAAAGAACAGTTCTTTACTTCTTGTATGTTCTGCTAGCACACTTACTCATGCAAGAATCACCACTAGCCTCACAAAACCAGAAGAAAGTCTATTGTGACTGTCACGCCGTTGGCCAATATTTCAGTCTTGATGGTCGTGATCTTGTCATACGCGGTCTAAGCAGCACTATACGACATGCTCAAAGCTCGAGCTCGTATCGACATCCTTGAAAGGGGTGTCGATGGCATTCACTTCAGAATACTTCTTGCCCACTTTCGTAGAGAAATTCACACCCACAAGATCAAACTTGTTCAAGAACCCGATTCTTTGGCAGAGAAGATACTGGGGCGAGAGGCGACTATTGGAGAAGCACTCTCGAGGCACTGCGCACAAAATGAGAACGAAAGACGTCATTCAAACCATTGCAAGAACGGTCAATGAAGGGACATAGGAGGGATGCACGACCTGAGCCTATGACTCTGTACAAGACTGGCAGGCAATGACAAATTGAAGCTCCAGGACAACCAAGAGCTTACCATGCACAAGATGATGCATTACGGCCACTACCATCATCCTAGCGAGGGCACATGGGGTGACAAGATACCTAGGAATATTGAAGAAACGACTCTCGAGATCAATGGGAGAATTGGCCAACCAGAAGTGGTATTATAGAGAAGGCATACTTATCACTTGTCCTACACTCCATGATAGGCCCAGGATACGCAGAAAGAAACATGAATACAGAGTTATGGAAGAGGAATAGAACCAGGCATTAGAGCAATAGTGACAAATGGTAAATTGAGCTCAAGACATGTCCTTCAAAGTTGAGAAATTCGAACAAAAAGAGGAAGAGATAATCAGGGGCAGAAGACGAAATCGGGGGGTAGGAGACCCTCATCAATTGGTGTTTGACCACAGCCAGTCATTCTTTGATTAACTATCTAATGAATCTAAAGTAATACGCCGCGTCTTCATCTACCGTAACCCTTGCGAGCAGCATTGTTGCCCAACTACCAATGAATATGTCGCGTCCAGTGATGAGACGATGAACTATGGCTGCTTGTCAGAATAATAAGCTCATACTCGTGACCATAGGTTATGGCCGTGTTAACATGCCCGTTTCTGAACGATCGAATTAGGCAGTTGGTGTGATGCCGGTCATAAGGTCCTCATCCTCTATTAGAGAATCGAAGCCCACTCCAGGATCTGCAGGGTCCTTATCTGCCCGCTTCTGCTCCCTAACAGCGTGTTTCACGTACTCCTTGCTATTGCCCAGCCGTTCGTTGGCTGCCTTGTACTGGTTACCAAGACTTTCGATGTTATGGTAACGCTGGGCAATCTGCTGGGCAAACTTTGCCTCTGTCATCGCCTCATTATCGTCGTGGAAGTGCAGATAGAGCTCCACGCCATTGTTGCCCGGCTGTAGCTCGCCTTTTAGTAGGCCGGAATCAATCATATCTCGAACTAAGCGTGTGGTAGCATCGTCGTCTGCGAGGATTTCGCCTGTCTCGGCACTGAGTGTCGAGAGACGCACTTGGGAAATGGACACCCGTGCATAAATGTCGCGGAGGTTGATGATTTGCCACTTTGGGTACGCCGCCACTACCTCTGCAATCAACGATGAGGTACCGTCTTCCTCCCAGACCTGCCGGTTGGCCTCGATGTCCGCTTTGAGCTGCGCTGCATTCGTGGTTGTGAACTGAGTGGTGATATTCTTGTATGGCGTTCCTAGTGTGGAAAAGGTATTCTTGGCTATCGTGGCAGTGTATGGTGGAATACTAGGCTCTTTTCCATCCTTAAGTAGCCCGACCAGCAGCCACCTCTTGTACGCTTCATCCATGACCTTGCTGACGCCTTTGTCTTTTGATGGGTGTGTAATGACGCGCTCGAGAGCTCGGTAGGCTTTGGTCCAGTCTCGTCGTGACATGTAGCATTGCGCCGCAAGGTGATTATACTCCAAGACGGCAGAGCTCTTCACATCCCCAGTAAGACCTGTGTCAACTGAAATGAAGGAAGCGGGATGCAGACTACTATCACACAAGAGTTTGGCGTCCTTCTGGCCCGCCATGCCAGGGTAGAACGTAAGATCGCAATCGAGAACCTTAAGAGCGGGCCCAATCCAGGATGTTGAATAAGCGATCTTGATCATTGTAAGATGGGTAGATGTGAACATGCTTCCCGTGGGATCGAGTCGCAGTATAGCAGCAGCCAAAGCCTCTACAGTAACACTTGTCTAGTTGCAGGATAGTTAGCGCCTTGCGATGTCATGGAGGGGTGGCGCGTACAGTAAACAGCGTGCCGGCTGCGATGTATTCAAGAAGCCTTCGGAATTCAGAGCCCACATATCGTATCTGGAGAGGGTTGAAGTTGAGAAGGAATCGGAGGATCTCGTCTAAGAGTGTGCTTCGTTCGCTACCAGGTGCGGGGTTCAATGTTTGTAGTGAGAGAAGGAGGATGGCTTGAAATGTGATAGAGTCGATCGAGGGGTCAATATTCTGGGAGCGTTAGCTAGAATTAACAAAGATACTGTGAGATTTACTTGTAGGATTTGGCTAGCATTGGCACTGATGACTTCCCGTTGGTTCGCAAACAGCGACGTCACAGCTGCGACATGGTCCCGAATAGCAGTATCATACTTCTTGACGGAATGAGCGGCGGCCTGAGTTGGCGTGAAGGCAGCTAAAACGGCCGCAACGGTGTCCATTATCAGCTGGGCTCTGAATACTCAGGTTGATTCTCAATGTAGTGGCTGGTTATGTGAAGTGTGGAGTTTGAGTTGATGAAACTGTTACACTGATCATCTCCCTATCATGCTCGTCAAAAACTCAAAGTGATGACGAAGAAACTTGTATTGTAAGCTCCCGGTCCGTATTGAGGTACGAAGAATCAGATGATATGAAGTTTGTTGTTGCTCTCCAAGCTCACAGGCAACACTCATGAGCACAGCTCTAGCATTGGAGGGGTGGTGACGTTGTAGGTCCGGGAATTAGCCGAAGGAGCTTATCGTCAAGCGGATCTCGATAAGGAGCTGCCCCTCCACCACCAAAGGTTTACTCTAGACTAGTAGGTGGTGGGTTGGGGATGGCTTCATTTATTTGTCTTACAGTCTGTTTTTCAAAATTTTGTTCGCCAGACAAGCATGAGAATCGACGGGACCTTTACAGGAATAGAGCTTGGTCTAGACGTCGCTTATGTGCCTCCTACATGCTGTTCTGGCCCACATGCGCAAAACTCCTGTACTAGACCTGGCATCGTACAAGCACTAGCATCGCGTGGCTAGGCACAACTTTAACTTAAGCGTAACAATAGGTACGTATCTAACTTACGTCTCAACTAAATCCTGCCTGAGACCTGAATCGCATGGTCAGCTCGCTAAAGTCTATGTAACCTCATCGGAGTGATTTCTCAGGAAACATGGTTGGCTAATGACCAAAAAAAAAAGAATCCAGAGATCATTCAGCTATCTACGAAGCAAGCCGCAACGCAGCGTCCCAGAGATTGCCTTTCGGAGATTATATTGGAGATTGGGTTCGTATCTAGTATGAAATGATCAAACAGAAAAGAGAGTAGTATCTAAGTTGCTGGACAACACATCAATCGAACAGCCTTGGGGAATGAACCATGTACATCAACAAATTTCCAGCAGGTTCATAAAAACAAAGGAGTCATTCCCATTGCTTGTCATTCTAATACATTGAATCTTGTCGAAAGTCTAATCGGCGTGTTCCTTTTTCTTTGTTTTCGTATAGGTAGTTAGTTTGCCTAACACACAGTTACTAGCGAATATAATGACCAGCTGAGACGGAAGAGCGGCGAGGCGAAGATCCGTTCCAGCCCTGGATTGCTGGCGAAGCCATGAACCATTCAGTCTCTGACCCTGTTAGTGAGTGCTTCTCGGATGCCGGAGCAGTAGGCATCCCCTCGCGAGTCTGAGAGAGGCGATTTCCCTTGCTTGATTTCTTATTTCTCTCCGGGCCAATGGGAGACAGGACTGTCGCGGTCCGAGGGACATCCTCGTTGTCATCATCTCGCCAGCCAGGCTGAAGGATGGCTTGGTTGCTACTGGCCGGCAAGTCTCGATTGCGGTGCTTCTGAAGCTCTTCCTGGTGGTCTCGCCACCACTTGGGGAACCCATGAAACAGACCCAGAGATTGCTGCGTAGCCTTGTCGAAGGGCATCTCATGTTTGTATTTGCAGCCCTGCTGAGTAAAGGCGCAAGTGCCGTCGTGGATCCATTTGTCACAATAGATCTTGGTTCTGCGTTGCTGAGTGGGTGATGTTGCAACAATACGATCAATCCTGGTCTATAAAACGACGTTAGTCTTGCACCAGGAAAGCACAAGCACAAGGGAGATAACGAAATACTGCCAGAGGCTGATTACCTGGAGGATATCAGATGCTGGGCCACTTGGAGCCTATACACTCAGCATCGTTTACTGTGTGTGCCATGTTTAATTCACGTACCTTGAATGTGACAGGCTGATTCATCCCAGGAACCCCTTGCGGTGGCTGCATGTGCAAGTCCGGAAGTAGTACCATTCCTTGGGCGCTTGTCTGGGTAGCAGGCAGCTCGATGAGGGTTGGGACCATGTCTGCCGGAATCAGTCTTGTGTACAGCCCGTCAGGTCGCTTCACACAGTACGCATAACCGTTGAGGCAATCAGAGATGCTCACAGGCCCGCCGTCGCTGTTGGAAGGAGAGGGATGAGTTGGAGAACTCATAAGCGAGTGCTTAGTACCGGGGACGGTGCTGTTCATGGGGTTTGCAGATGGCTGAGAACCTCTCCAGTTGCCAGATGTCATGCCTCGTGGGGCAGAAAGCTGGGAGACTTGAGTGTTCTGCTGCCAGCCTCCATAAGACACTTGAACGGGATAACCGTTACCGCCAACCACATGAGAGTGGTTGTTGGAGGAAGGTTGAGAAAGATCCATAGAACTTGGTCGATTCATAATCTTGAGAGCTGAGATGGTGTTGGGATGAAGTTTAAGCCCAGCGATAAACACGAGGCCTTTTGATAATGTATTGAAGAGAAGGGTTATTTTTGACTTGATGAGAAGGCGAAGGAGACTAATTCTTCACCCGGGGATGAACTAAGTCAGGGTTGGTATTGGTAGAGACAGTCTTTTCCTGGACGATTCAAGAGTGAAGCATCCGATGACTATAAGAAGTCTTGGTCTCAGGAGCATCGACGCACGGCCTATCAAACGGTTAGGAACTGGGAGACGGGTAACGGAAGACGGGTTGTAACTTCGAGACATGCGCTGGCAAACAGCAAACGGAAGACAGCGTCTATGTTTAACAATACGGTGTGGAAGTCTACCAGGTTGGCTCGAGGACACGGTATAGACAAGAGGATGGGGATAAGTGCTCAATTCTAGGTGGGCGGTTTATGAGGCTTGGCCTTATCTTATACTTGAGAATACGGTCATCACTATGGCATGTTTGCTTGACATTGAGGCGTACGCTACAAAACACATACCACGACTGCGGTTACCTGCAGCGACAGTTTGCCGGCACTAACCTTCAAACACTTGAGCTAAAATATCAAATGAGGAACAAGGCTCATGTGTGCATTCATGAAAGTCTTCATTCCAAGGTCCTTCGTCTGTGCTATGCTGTCTATCATCTTGCCTCCCTATACTGAGGACGTTGGTCATGTCGCCAGCTTCCAAGGTTGCTTGCTTGTCAGCTTGCCGTCCTCCTTCACTGGGTACCCAGCTCCGCGTGCATGATGCCGCCTGGCATGCAAATAAGCATAAATCAAAATGTCTAGCAAAGCAAAGGACTTGTTGTCCACCTTTCATTCACACCAAATGTGGGGGAATTATTGTATTAGCGCGGCTGCTTGCGCTGAGCAACCACGTTTTCTTTATGTCCAAAGTAACATCATTTGTACTGCGTCCCGTCCTTAGCGGTAAACGACCTTAGACGGCTTAGCAGAACCGCCTTGTATTGTTTCCTGACCTCAGTTTCAGGTTCCGAACGTTGGACCCAATCAAGGGCTACTCTAACTTCGGCTTCTGAGCGGAGGCGAATGTTTCTGTAATCAACTATTTGGTTATTAGGAGCATGGGGTTGGGTGGGAATCACCCGCTCTGGTGGTACAGGGTCTGTAGATTTGCCCTGGTAGAGGTAATTACCCTTGATATATCGTGTGAAGTCAATGGGCATTCCGGTATTTACTGGGCCACTCCCTTGACGGTAGGAGTTTTGCATGGGGTTTTGTGTGTTCCTGATTTGCCACGTTGGCTGCTGCTTTTGCTGTTTGGTGTGGTTGCTTGGTGTTTCTTGCTGGCTCCTGCGACTGGCTTTTTGCTGTTCGCCAATGACTTGCTGCCGTCTGGCGTTCCGGGCGTTCGATGCTTGGAGGTTTGCTTCGGCGTCTGTGTTGCAGTCTTGTTAATTTTACTTTTGCGGCTTGTATTTTTCACTGGTGTCGTGGGCGGGGTTGTTTGTTTAACAGATGGAATCTTTTGGCGTTTACCTTTTGCCAGTGACGGATCTTCCTCCTCAGACTCTTCTCCAGAGTCACCGCCAGCAAAGTCATCAGAGGAGTCTGACGGCTCAGCTTCGGCATCGCCAGGGATAGGGTTATCTAGGGCGTTCGTCTTGTAGTTAATAGCCTGTGGGGTGGTCAGCTGCTGATATCTAGAAGTTTACAAACCAATAGCCTACCTGTCGACGTCGACCACCGCGACCGAGAACCTCCCGATTTACTTCAGCTTGACGCTGTGCTTCTGCCTCACGTTGAGCCAGGATACGATCCCAGACGCTTGAGTTGATAGCTTCTGGCTCGGCCGTCTCTTCGGTAGCAAGTCCAGCGTCGAAGCCGGACTTATCGTTGGACCATACCTTGGCGTAAGAGAACGATGCCCCATCATCAGGTTTGCTTTCTGTGTCGTCTGTTCGATCTAGAAGTGCATCAACAGCAGCAGAATCATAGTGGATAGACTTCTTTTCATAGTCATCGTTAAACAAGGCTTGGGCGCCGTGTTTCAATATTGACTCCAGATCATCACCGGCAAGTTCGTCGTCGTCCATACTTTCGATCAGAGCATGATCCAAGGCCATCTTCTTCTTACCGATTTGCATAATTCTTTCTTCGACCGAGTCTACAGTCATAAGCTGGAAACAAAGGACCTTCTTCTTCTGTCCAATACGATGAGCACGGGACAATGCCTGGACATCCTGGTGTGGGTTAAAATCAGGATCGAGGATGATGACTGTATCCGCAGTGGCGAGATTGATACCAACACCACCAGCTCTTGTCGAAAGCAGAAACGCAAAGATGGGCGAGTCAGGGGCGTTGAAGGCATCAATGCGGCGTTGTTTTTCTAGACTACTGATACTGCCATCGAGACGGCGAAAATCGTAGCCTAGGCCATTGAGAAAATCCTCAATAATATCTAATTGCTGTAAAAACTGGCTGAAGATCAACACGCGATGCCCCCTTTCCTGGAGTTTTGGAAGCATGACTCGGAGAAGTAGGAGCTTGGCCGATGCCTCAACCAGGTTGCGTTGAATTACTGTGGGATCATGGTGACGCTCCTCAATAGCTTCGGAGTACATGAAAGGGTGGCAGAGGCATTTCCGCAGCTGCATTAAAATGTTGTTGAGAGATCCACGTTCCTTCTTGTTCATCTTGCTGTTAGAGAACATGGCCTTGATGAGCTCGGGATTTTTGGCCATGATACTCTTCGAAAGCTTCTCTTGAATCACAGTCATTGTGACCGGCAGAATGATTTGTGTCATGGGAGGCAAAAATTTGAGAACACCTGCTTTGGTTCGGCGGAGGAAGTATGGTCGAATCTTGTTGTGCAACTTGGGTAGCGTCTCCTTATCAAGAACCGCATACTCTGCGTCCAGTTCTTCGGCACTCTGCTTCTCATCAATGAACTGTAAAAGATTGAACAGTTCCCTCTTGTTGTTCTGGAGTGGTGTGCCAGTAAGTAGAAGTCGAAAAGGAATTCGCATTGAGCGAAGAGCACCATATAAAAGGTTCTGGTCGTTCTTTAAGCGCTGGCCCTCGTCAACCACAAGCCCTGCCCAATTGATAGACTTGAAGAGAGCCTTTGTCGCAGGGTCCTGTGCTGAATCATAGGACATGATCACAACGTGTGCCTTCATGTCAGTAGATCCGTTGGGGAACAGCTCGTACTTGTAAGCAAGTGCCTGTGGTTCTCTTCCGCCATGATAAGCAACCACTCGGAGCTCTGGCACCCACTGTTTGAACTCACGGCGCCAATTCGGACATGTAGCATTCGGAACAACGACAAGAAAAGGCCAGCACTATTGATTGTTATGTCAGTATACTTGCCGTCGGCTTCTTAGACGCCGGTGCCTTACCTTAGGGCTGTCTTGGACTAATGAAGTCACAAGACCTACAACCTGGACAGTCTTTCCTAAGCCCATCTCATCTGCAAGAACCACACTGCGACCTGAGTGGTAGTTCCCCAACAACCAATTGACTCCTTCGATTTGGTATCCCATGAGCTTTCCACGTTTGAGGCCAGCAGGTTGCTCGCTGATCTCCCCGAACGGCTCGGCTTTGTAAGCCTTGACTCGTTCTCTGATCTTGTGCTGAGATTCACTCTTGAAGTATTTGCCCTCAACATACTCGTAGTAAGCCTCCACAAAGGAGGCATAAATATCGCCTGCATCCTCTGATGGCGGCGTGTCCCACACAACGTCGTCGTAACCAAGGCCTTGAAACTTGACAAAGATTTTGCTGACGTTGGCCAAGTTCTCCAACTCGTCTTTTTTTGTCTTTGGTCTTGGAACCGATGGGCCCAATCTGGTGTTGAGAACTATGTCCGGCATAAGAAACTCATCCGGAATAGCCTCTTGCTCACTGAGTTTCATCAAATCCTGCTCAAGGTCTCTTTTGCCGAAGGAAGTACGCATCGTGGACGCTGCTACACCGTACACCCATGCACCCGGCTTCCAGTCACAGTGAGCATAAGATCGACTTTCCCACTTGATCAGATATTCCTTATCGTCCTCTCGAACCTCAGCATACATTGGTCGAGGGCCTCGTTTGGCAAGCTCTGTTGGTGTCGGACGCCATGCCACGAGTCGATGAATCTTGTGCCTAGCATTTGCACACTCTTTGCATTGCCAGTCAATGGAATGGTCCTTCAGGCGCTCGGACTTAAGATCTGTTCCGATTGTTCCGCCTCTAGCGCCCGGAAGATGATCAACGTGCCAGCCTCGATGACATGAAGTACATCGGAAGAGGACCGCATCAGCGTTGTTAAGAAGGTCCAGAGGAACCTGAGTGATTGGGTCAACGCCATCGTTCTGTTCACGAAGCTTCTCCTCCTGTCGAGATGTCTTCTTTTCAGAAAAGGCAGCGCAGCTGCGACCTGGAGATTTGCATGCCTGACACATGCTATGCCTGGGAGCACTGTCATCCTTTTTGTTTGGGACGCCAATACAGAACCTGCACTGCATGACGAAGTCGTCCTGGCCGACCTTGGTAACCATATGCTCGCGAGCACTGCGGTAGCCCAGGCAGTTCTTGTGGTAAGACAATGTGCAGCCCTGACAGTGAATCATTTGGCCCCGTTGTCGTGAGCCACCGCAAGTGTGACAGGTATCCATGTGCATCGAAGCAAATTCTGAGTCGGCAGGAAGAGGTTGAAAAACTTCTCTGATTGAGATAATCTTCGGAGCGCCTGGGATCCTGTCATCGGCAATATAGAAGGAATCCTCGTCCATTTGGGCATCATCTCGCATGTTCAGGGTATTCCTTGTGGCTCTGGAGGAACGTCGAGGTGCTTCAAACTCAATATCTGAGTCAGGAGACTTCTGGCGCAATTGAGATCGAGCCTTTTGTCGCATACTCGCCGTGTTAAGACGCTTCGACTTTTGTCGCGACCTAGTAGGACGTCCTTTCTTGGGAGCAAGATCGGAGACAACCATAGGCATGAAATCGTCATCTTCCTCGCCCGACGAAACAAGGGGGGCATCTCCGAGCAGTTCGTCCTGGTCTTGACTATTGATGCCGTTCTTAAAGGACACACGAGTCAGTTGTCTTGGCTGTCGAGTTCTCAACGATCTGGTGGCCCCTAAAGGCTCTGGCTGTAGATCGTCCAGATCATCTTCGTCAACCACCACAGCAGGACTACGGGAAAGTTGCTTGGTGTTCTCCCTAGAGCGAAGGCGTCGGGATACGCTTCGAGACGAGCGTTTTCTCCGAACGGGCTCTTCGTCATCATCCTCCCCCTCCTCATCAATGTCCATACGGTCAGAAACAGCAGACTCCTGTCCAGAATCCCACTCATCGTCTGGGATGTATTTTCGCTTGCCGGCAGACATGTCGTCAAGTTCGTGTGGCCATAGGCCTTGGCTGAATCGGGCCAATGCAACTCTTCCGTTCTCCAGGGTAACGAGTTCAGCTGTAGATATCTTAAGATAAAATCAGTGCTTTGCGGTGGAAGTGAAACAGAGGATATTGAGAGGGAGCGTGTGCAAGTGTGTTGCAGGCAAAGAAATGAAAAGAGAAAAAAGTCGTGATGAAGGAAGAGCTGCAGCTGTGGGGGCACAATAGAGAAGAATAGGTTTGCGAGCTAGGCAGTGAATAAGGCATGTTATAAACAAGAGCTCGCATAATATATTTGCGACTCGAGCTTTAAAGCTGCAGACTAATAGCTTGAGCGGTCTTCAAGCATATGGATAATAGCGTTTCTAGGTCATGCAGAAAAAGCAGCTTGACATCTCCTTATGAATTAATGAAAGAATGTCCACCTACCAACTCTTGTCGCCCATCTGTAAACTCAACATGATACTTGATGATGCCACGACTTGACGGGAGCTCCCCAAATATGAACTCGACGATATTGCTATGAACGGCCGAGTACTCGTTACGCTTCTCAATAGGCATTTCCGGAATCGCAACCTCAAACCTGTAGCTAGGCTGAGAAAGTCTGAAAATGCTTGATCCATCGTCCTCGATTTGGGGAATGTCTTGTTCCTTGTCCTCATCTCGAGCGTTCATCTTTCCACGCGCCGTTGGCTGCCGTCCCGTATCCATATCGGCGTTAGCAGGCAGAGAGCCGTTGTTTCCATTGAGGTCCGCCAGAAGCCACTCTAGCGAGCGCCCAATAGCGTTATCATCTTGGTTTACAAGGCCCTCGAGGGTCTCGTAAGGAGAGTTCTCGGTGTCCATCTGGCGGCTGCCGGGAGCGTCGCATTAATCGCAAAGGAGATATTCGTAAACCGGTCGAGACCTGGCGGGGTGAATGGGCCTTTGGGTATACGGTATCGTTCGTCAGAATCAATACTAAATATACAAATTGTTTAGTTTAGTTTGACAAGCTGGATCGTAACTTGGTAAGTTTGGCGGCATGGCTGAAGCTTCATAACGGAGAATTTGGTTGTTGCCCTGAGTTGGTCAAGATTCACTTCATTGGCATCAGGAAACGCGACAGTCGCATTCAGACGCGTTAAAGTTATGGCCCAATTAACACCTGGGCCACCCACCGGGCAATGGTCCATAATGCGCTCCCGTCGAGTCTCACCGCCCAGCCCCAGCTGGACCCGCTAAGAAGCCCAGTCGATTAGCAGGGGAGGGCAGAAAAATAATTCAGCGGGGCCGATATTGAAACTTTTATCTAGAGAAGGGATTTTTGAACAAATTGGACTACAACCTGCAATCCGGCAGGCAGGACAACCGCAAACAGAAAAGGGAAATTTCTTGTATAGCGATATATAGCCACGTTATGCAATGCTTATCCCTACACAACTGAGGGTTGTTGCTCTAAACAGCCCATTGGCAAGGCTTCATCCCGCTACCAGGGGTTTCGCCCCCATCTTTGTTCGCGCAAAAGGTCTCTCAGCCATCATCCGGGGTGCGATCAGGTCTGAACGAGTTCAAAACGGCCCAGACAGCTTCGATGCCCGCAATGCCTATCATGATACTGGTCGACGAAAAGTAGGAGGAGGGCGCCTCACTCGTCCTAAAGAGCCCCCCCACCGAGACCGAGACGATTTTTTTGCAAAGTTCAGTGCAAGAGCCACTGACTCCAGTGGCACACGAAATTGGCGTCAGGAACAGAAGCTGAAAAAGAAATTAAGGAAAAAAGAGGAGGAAAAGAAGGAACGAGAAGAGAGAGAAGAACTAGGCATAGGCCGCCGAACCAGGAGGAGACGATTTGCCGATCCTGAAAACGAATTTGGAAATCGCAGCTTCGTACACCGAATGAAGTATGGCGACCTCAAAGAGGTGGCCGACAATTTGAACGTAAAGCAGCCTGTTCGACCGCGATCATTCCCCGAAGCTCAAAAGGAGCGCACGTTTGGGTCCAGAGATGGGGATAATGATGTTGCACGACATGAGCGACATGAGCGACATGAGCGACATGAGCGACATGAGCGACACGAGCCATCGAACGAGAAGTTCGAAAAGTTAAATCAGCAATTCAATCGCTCAATACGACGCCCTGAAGATCCACAACAACGTTTTGGCCGGTTCGACCGTCAAGATCGTCAGTCAAATATCTCTGGTAGATCGTCCAACGGTGAATTTGACGGATCGCAGCGGAGATTCGATCGTTCACAGCCTAGCGACTTTCGCCATGACAACGCTCGACAAGACCGACAGAATGACCAAGGAGATGATTCTGTCGATATTAAGCGTGGAAAGAAGAAGGAGATGATGGCCATGACTCTTAAATACACCACCGCTGCTTCACAGTTCCTATACGGTCGATCAGTTGTCAAAGCAGCACTGGAGCAGAACCGACGAAAGTTGTATAACCTCTACATCCATGCCAATGAGAACCGAAAATATAACACGGATACTGTTACCTTGACGCGAATGGCGAAGAAACTCAACGTGCCCATAAAAATCGTGCCTCCTGAAGAGCAACGAATCATGGATAAGATGAGCATGGGACGACCTCACAATGGCTTCGTGCTTGAAGCCTCCCCTCTACCCCAGATCCCCATCAAATCTCTTGGCAAGTTAGAGGAAAGTCCTGGTCGCCTGGGCTTTCACGTGGACCTTGATCACCAAACCAAGGAAGAGGCAACGATCAATGGCACCGACACATTTATTCGACGGTCCAATGATGTGATGCCCAAGCCCTTTGTCTTGCTGCTCAATGAGATTGTCGACCCGGGGAACCTAGGTGGTATCATCCGCACTGCGAGCTATCTCGGCGTTGACGCTGTCGGCATCACGAACCGGGGATCTTCCACACTCACACCGGTTGTTCTCAAGTCCGCTGCCGGTGCAGTGGAGGAAGTTTCATTATTCGCGGTGGATGATCCTGTGAAGTTCATCCAAGACTCCCAGAAAGCTGGCTGGAAATCATACGCTGCGGTGGCGCCGCCTGATCGTAAGCTTGTTCGAAAGCATGGGAGCAAGTTCGTGTCAACAGATACGATTGAGGCACAAAGCCCACTTAACGAACATCCATGTCTACTAATTCTTGGTAATGAGGGCTATGGACTGTCGAAACCTATCAAGGTTGCTGCCGACTATGAGCTATCAGTGCCTCGGTTTGTTCAAGGAAGCTGTGTGGATAGCCTGAACGTCAGTGTTGCGGCAGGCCTCTTGTGTCATTCCTTTGTTAAGGAACCTGTGACTGTTGCACCACAGCCAGTTGAGCCCACGGCCAGACTGGCTGATTCGGTGGCCAGTTCTGACGATGCAGAGAGCAGGACCATAGCGACGAAGACTGGGGCGACGCTCATTGGAGCTGAAAGTGATAATTCTTCTGAAGTAAAGACCACTGGTGAGGAATCTGAGGTCGATGCTGCTACGGAGGCAGAGCAAAAACAGCCTGATGATCAAAAGCTCAATGAATCTGACGACTTGGTGTTCTAAGAACATTGGACTGGGCCTGAGTGCCGCTATTGTAATAACTTATGTATAACACGATGGTTGGGTGGCGCTTGGGTGTTAGGCATTGGGGGCATAGAAAATCATGTACCATAACGATGTATACTAGATGAAACACATGGGGAAAACGATATCTAACTTAGGTACTAAGCAATTATGGAGAACTTACTCGATTATTACTGTAGTTGCCGGAGTACGCCTCATGAGGCTAGCTTGTGAGACCCTGCATGACGTTGCACGCCACGCCGCCCGCCATCATGACTCCTCCTTTACCTGTGCATACAGACGACTCTCCTACAACTCTCTGCCTGATACATATAACTTTCAGCGCTACGACCTATTCGTAGGATTTATATCCTCACTATAACTTAACCGAGTGCTGGAGCACGCATTTGGGTCAATCTAGGTAGCTATAGAGCCATCTTGTGGCCCCATCATATCTTCACCCAACCGTCGCCCAGCCACCCAATTAATTATTTACAAGCCACCTAAAAAAGGCTGAGTTGTCGCTGTCATACCCCATCGGCAGCATTATGCCCTGTCTCGTCCAACGTGTACCTTATAACCTGAACAATAGCCCAGTGACATTTCCTGACATTCTTTAACCTGTGTCTGGTAACGGCATTTGGCTCGTACTGTGTGGCGGTGTAAGCATTCATAGCACCCATCACACATTTAGTTCACCGCTGTCGCTTGAAATTCTATGAGCCCAACGAGAGTTCAACGCAAGACAAGTTGAGCCTGAGCATTCCACAACTTACTCAGTATACGGCAATGCGATCCATATCGGCTCTTCTGTTGTGTCTCGCTCCTCAGGCCCTCGCTGAATCGGGTTCACCAATAGCTATCCGGAAGGTCGCCCCTGGTTCGCACGACAAGCTCCTTCGGGAGCATCTCGCATTCGCACCACTACACGGTCTTACTCCGCGCGAAGCTGCCGCCGCCGCCATATCATTTCTTGACGAGCAAGATGACAAACTTCTGAGCCTCAATGGCACAGAGCGCTTCTACCGTCCAGCGTTTGCTCCTCACAGTGAAGAGTCCCACGAGAGCCTGCTGCGCCGAGCCGCAGAGGCACTAGCGTTGCTACAGAGGAGGTCGTCTTGTCCTAAGGGGATGAACAGCTGCTCTGACATTGATTCCGAAGTCAAGTGCTGCCAGGAGGGAACGTATTGTGTGAATGTTGGCAATGCAGTGGCGGGAGGCATCGCGTGCTGCCCTGACGGTGCGTCTTGTGGTGGAGGTGTTGGAGCGTGCCCTGACGGAGCTACGAGCTGCTCTGCAGAACTTGGCGGAGGATGCTGTATTCCGGGATATGTTTGCCAAGGGTTGGGTTGTGAGTGAATACCTGCAATGCTTCGTAGACCAATATTGACTTTAATCAGGCGTCCCAAGTGCTGTTGCTACACAGACGAGAACCGCAACTCAAGATCAAACGACAGTCCTCACAACTTCTCAAGAAACAACTTCAGAGAGATCCACAGTTGAACCTACTACCAAGACGGAAACAGAGGTTGAGACAACTGGAGAGCCTACGACGACTTCCGAAGCTGGAACCACAACCGAGTCTGAAACTGAAATCGAGTCTGGGACAGAAGACAGTACTGTGACCGTGACTCCTACAGCCACAGGCTCAGCCACTGGCATCGCTCCCTATCGCCCAACTGGCACCTCGGTCACATCAAGCGACGATGGAGAGACCCAAACAGGCTGTCCCACAGGCTTCTACGGCTGTCTCGCCACTCACGGCGGCGGGTGTTGTCGAACAGGTCGAAACTGTGATGTTCATGATTGCCCTGCTCCTTCGACAACCATCGTCTCAGACGGCGCCACTGTGGTCGTCCTTGCAACCGATGCTCCACCTGCCCCAGGACCCTCATCAACTTGCGCAGATGGCTGGTTCCTTTGTGGTCGAGATGCCGGCCCTGTGGCTGGATGCTGTCCAGACGGATATGATTGCGGCACAGCGAGTTGCTTCACAGCACAGGCCAGTGAAACCGGCCGTGTACAGAAGGAATTTCCCAAGGCCGATGCAGCCGCCTATGAGAAGCCCGCTATCACAGTGGTAATGATGGTGGTGCTGTGTGTTGCGCTTGTATGAGGGTGTAGACTTACTATCATGATTTAATGTCGGATGATTTCTGGGTGCATAAAAAAGCATTTTCTCAATTCGATCGCACATAGATTATCTAGAGAATGAATTATTAGATCTTGTGATAACCACATCAATCCTTGTTTTACAACTGGTGAAGATTCTCAGATTTTTTATTTTTGTGAACTATTTGCAGGCATGTAGCCTTTCTTTACAACTCGCTAACTCTTACTTGTCATATCCTTCCAATGTCCTGTTTCTACTCGGGCATGTGGGAAAAGGGCTTAGCAAGGTGCTCCTGGCAGAAGGGCAGCTTGCTGACGGTCCAGATCTCGGTGTCCTACGGTCAATGTCAGTTACCAGTAGCATCGACATGGGCCAGTTATACTCACAGGCTTCAGGTTCTTCTTGATCTCAGTGTCGAGAGTACCTGCCTTGAGCGCAATGATCTCAGGAGCAGCATCGGGGTCGTGGGCGATGGGAGAGCCGCACTCGGGGCAGAAGAGACGGTGGACAATGTTGCCTGAAGAGCCCTTACTGCCAGAGTAGGTCTTGACGGGACCGCTGATTGTGAGCTTGTCCTTCTTGACAACAGCCACGAGAGCTAAAGTAAAAGATGTCAGTCTGACCTATTCAAGCATCATTGGCTCGTGGAGCTGGGACGTACAGTAGGTAGAACCACTCTGGCGCTGGCAATCGTCACAGTGATCGTAGCCAACCAGAAGAGGCTCGTCGTCGACCTTGTAGGTGACGGCTTTGCAAAGGCAGTGTCCAGAGAGTGGCATTGTGATTGCTCGAGAGTGTGTTGATAAGATGTTATACGAAGTCGAGGATTGATGTCTGAACTAAAAGGTACCTCTAGAACGGGGAACAGAGAGCTTTTTAAAATCTTCAGAGAAACTCTCGAAAGCTCCATGAGGGGCCATAGCGGGGTAAAGGGAAATACCGAACTCTTGTCAGTGATGGGGAGTGTTGGGAGTAACGGTACAGTATGATGAACGAGGACTGGGAATTTGGTGGTGGGGCGGTGATTGGATGACGTTGAGAATGATCTTCAGGTTAAAGGATGCGTTGTCGAACTAGAAACGACGGGCGTAGATGGAGCTGCATGTTTCGATCATTTGTGTACAGCTTCGTGTTGGTAACAAGGCTTGACATGAGCGCTAGCCTATTAAGACGCGTTACATCCTTCGTCTGACACTTCCAAATACTCAAATTCTGTCCAAGCCATCGTTCAATTCCAGATACTCGGGCCGTTGGGATACCGTTACCGGTACGCAGCCATATCCCATTGGCGAGTCCTATCGTCAGCCTTAGTTCATCGGGCGCCCCTGGCACTCTTACCAAGTGCTGTGTGACGTTGACAGAGATATTTGTCATTCTTCAGGGAGTAGTCTCAATGGAGACGAAGCATGAAGCGGGGCTTCATGCATATAGTATTTGGAATTGAGACAATTTGAAATGTGCCCAATGTAAGCAGGGGTAAGCTATGATTATTGTATTGTTGGTGTTGCAATGACATTCTGGCAGCAGACTACTGTCGCTCAAGCAACTCCTAGAGCTTTGAGAAGCTCTTGATTTCAAATTCGAGACAGCAAGCTCACATCAGTGACAGCTTGATCAGAACGGTGATAAGATTCGCGGGGCAGGTGGAGACCCCAAACGCCTGGGCTTTATGGTTCGTGGTGCTGGTTGGTCAGTGAATAATCTCAAATCGTCGTTGGTTTATAGCCTGTTCTCAAATCGTCTCTCGATCGTATCAATATCGGTTGTCCCGGATGTATGGTGGAAGCAGGATATTGACCCGTGAACAATCGACGGGCTTTGTGACCCGAATTTCTGTTCTTCGACTTATCAATAAGGGATGGGCGCTTCCCGTGCTTCTGTCCATCAAAATCATGAGTATCATGAGAAGCCCAGGATGGTCTCCGTAATGAGCAATGCCAGCACCCATGAGACACCCACTCTTCCTATGAGCTCCATCATGCCAAGTAGGCCGACGCTGCTCATAGCAATGCGATCGGCCACAAAGAGGCGAACCACAGACCTCAAATACGCGTTTTTGAGTTCTTTATCTCCTTGTTCAAGAACAAAGGCGTCCATTGATGACATTCGAAAATCCCGGATATCAATGCCCTTCACTGAGGACGAATGTCCATTGGTAGACGTCAATGGTCTCTCAATCTTATCAGGCCGGCGTCTGAGGTTTTTGATGAGCTGAAAGTGCATGTAATCAAGCAGATTGGAAGCATGAATAGGTGGAGAACCCTTCTTCAAAAAAACCCTTGTCAGCTGTTCCGGCTTGTCAGTCCAAAGGGTACAGCTTTCAGCCACCTCGCAGAAGATGGCCTCAGAATCATGCGCATAGTAAACGAAGCGTGAATAGAAAATCGGCGTCAACACTTTGATCTTGATCTCGCAAGTAGAGTCTCCGGAGCCACACGTGGAGTGTGAGATGAATGTCTCCTCGGACGCTTCAGCAACTCCCCCTGGCATGTATAGGATAGTGACAGGGGCGGTTGATCGTTGGACAAGATACTTCAAGTATTCACGAAATACTTGTTCGAGAATCTTCTCGATCCAATTAGCTGAACGTCCTATGCTGTCCTTGAGAGGTTCAGGTCGATACCAGAAATGAAGATTATGCCTGAAGAAAAGCATGGTTGATTGCATCATGAATCGAGGAAGGATAGTCAGAACCGAACCGAACCAGCTGGAGACGAAACCAACCCTCCCTAAAATGCTTATTCTGTAGGGGTCAATAGCTTCGCCTTCAGAGAACAAATTTGCAAAAAGTTTCGGCTGGCCTTTCGACGACGAGAGGGTGATAGAGATATCGAGTCCTCGAAATCCTTGCATTCCAGGCCCAAGGGGATCTTTGGCAAGTATCGAGTATGACCCCCTTCGCGAGTTGAAAGGCGAAACATGAAACCTTTTTCGCCATGTCGTTTTTATTTGAGCGCGCTGAAGTACTTGGTCGTTCTGGGTCATGTTATGAATATGCTCTTCTTCTTTCTGTAATTCTCTCGCGACAAGATAGGGATGCCTTTCCCCGAAGACATTGTTCATCTCCAGAATGATCGCCTGAAGGACCTTGTCTGATGAGTAAAGGAACCAGAAGGTTGCCGGATTAAAGCGAAAGCCTGGGAACTGTGCGGCAGTCACGAGATAGGCATACGGATATCGCGAGGCATCAATACCCTACGCCTGTCAGTTTGAGTTCGACTGTAAGATGGCGCAACAAACCTCAGACCCCAGATATGCATCCAATTTTCCACCCAAGCCATTGTCGGAACGTATGCGTTGTAGGTGATCAGCTGGACAAACATCAAACAAGGCTGTCAATCCGAACAATTGTGTGAACCAAGACCATGGACCGTGAACATTTGCAAATATGATTCCATTTGCGTTATCCGAGACCTCTATCGGGATGCCAAACATGAGGTATGGATAAGAAAAAGAATGCTTCTGGGGATGCAACCTATGGTGAGTTATTCGACCAGGAATCAACAGCGGAGGAGCAGTACTGGCAGTGGGATTGACCCTGTGATTAACAATCCATGTTGAGGCATAGTAACCAACTAGAAACATTCCGCATATTCCAAAGGCGGCATCCGTGATGTACCGTGATTTGACGTGGCTTACAAACGAGGTCATCACAGAAGCATGCTTCCAAGCGACAAAGCCTAGGGTAAGCAAAATATCGAGTCTCCCTGCAAGTACAAAATATACCCAAGCTGTAGCCAAGATGGTAAAAAGGTCCCACCATCTCTTCAAGAGTCCATCAACAAAGTCTGCAGCGAGGACGGCCGATAGAAGCGGCGAGCCCTCGAACGAGCCGTCCATAGGCAAGCCAGGGGTCGGTCATGCATCTCTGTTTGAAAAGTCGTGAAGATGAAATTCCCTCAGCCTCGCGGGTGAGTGACACAAGAGAAAAGACAAAGGAGGACTGGAGCACCAAGCCTTGAAGGTCTGTTCAAATATCTACAAAGAAAGTCCCAGGTTAAAACCTGTCCATCAAGGTACTGTAGTTGGCTTTACGGGATGGACATTTTATCGACACATGAGCCACTAAGCGGCTAGGCTCCAAGGATTATCTGCCATTAGTCATCATCTTAGGAACGATAGAATATTTACAAGTTATCCATAGTGTAAGATGAATGAGCACGAGAGCACGTCAGGTCGTCAGGCACGTCAGGGTCCCGCTTCATCGTCATTGAGTCTTTTCACTCAGTCAGGCAGGACCCATCTGCCTGTGCATCAGCACCGGCATAGGCGTCTCCGTGCCCCGGCTTAAAAAAGGGTTCCCGTCCAGAAAGTCTAGCACCTTCTATGGGCTGAGAAGAGGCGACACATGAGCCACCAGTGGCGGTGCGAATGAAAATTAACACACAGAAGTCTGGCCGCACTGTTATCTCCAGGGCTTGGTAACCAAATCCGAGGCAGCCTTACCGCTGGGATAACAAGGCGCATGCAAAGAGAGGCCACCGATGCACGGTGCCAATTATAGTCCCCCGCCGATTGACTCAGTGACCCAAGTCCAAGCCTAAACCCCTCCACCCATTCCATCACCATCCCCATAAATTCTTTGTCGCCCAGAACTTCAGCTTGATCTATATTCCATTCTTACATACTCAACAAATAACACTTCTTCCACGTCGTCACATCGAGTCAAACCTCGCTCTAAAACACACATCTTCTTTCGACAAAACTTCATATCTTCAAAATGGATGACTGGGATACCACCACCAAGATTGGTAGCCGCACCCGTGGCTCCGGCGCTGCCCAGCGAGAGACTGTTGTTCGAGGAAAGGCTGCTCTGAACGCTGCCCAACGGGCTGGCGGCCTCACTACCGAGAAGAAGTACTCTTCTGCCAATGCCGTACGTACAGCCATCGTCTCTCTGTAGCACACACTAACCATTTTGCAGGGTTCTGCACCAGAGGGTCAGCGTATGACAAAAGTCGATCGATCCGACGACATCATCAAGCCCAACACCATCGGCAAGACTGTTGGCGATGTTATCTCCAAGGCTCGTCAGCAAGTTGAGCCCAAGATGACACAGAAGGATCTTGCTACCCGATGCAACACCACCCAGGCTATCGTCGCCGACTTCGAGCGAGGCACTGCCGCCCCCGATCAGAAGGTGCTCGGCGCCATGGAGCGAGTGCTCAATGTCAAGCTGCGAGGCAGCGACATTGGCGCTCCCAAGTTCCCCAACAAGAAGAAATGAGCAATTGCGTCCAATGCTTAGCCAAAAGAAATTGTAAGAGGGCTTCAGAGCCGAGTCGAGCGTTAGCGAATGATGATGACATCTTGGTTGGGAAATTCGGGAGTTTCGTGTGGGCCGTCATGATGCTTTATGACATGGGTACATGAGACTTGTTCTCTTTTCATCACGGGGCTTAGGATTGACGGCATAGAAAGAACGAAGGGCCCTTTTATGATATGGATGCTCTAGTCTCTGAACTTTTGAGCGAGGTAACACGCCTGCTCACCCGAATAAATTATCCCCTTGTGCATTCTGAGCCTGTTTTAGCAATGCATCCTGTTCCTGGGTGCGACCAACTAAGCAGGATCTAGCAATGTGGACTCCTAACTAGTAGGTATCCCTACTAGTGTCTCGTGACGATATCATGGATGATATATATTTTGGAGATTCAGCGTGTTGAGAACATTCGATGATCATTCGCCGCATGGCTCGGTACTTTAGCCAATGGACAAAAAGACGGTCTATCTCGACAAAGTGGTCTTCGGAACCATGCCAGATCTTGCAATAATAGCTTACCCCATATCCAGGAAACACTCCTCGATCAGAAGGTTAAGAATTACAAGTCCACACACAAATGGTTGTATATACCCTTGCCAGTGTTAAGTTTAATTCTTTGCAGTAAAAGGTCCTGATATATTTTGATGGTCTTCGCCTTCCCGTTGATGCTCTCCGTGACTCGGACGTGCTGTTGGTTAACATGGTAAAATACGTTCGAGAGCTCAATAATCATTGCCAAGGGGGTCCAATCCTCTATGAATAATGCGCCCGCCATTAATTTTAGCAATTGATACGCCTAGCCCAAATCATGCCGACACCTTGGGGCTATACTTTGTGGCAGCCTTATCAAAAAGAGCGCTCTTCTCTTCCAAGTCGGCCAAGAATTGATGGTCAGGCTTGACGCTCCTTAATTTCCTAGTAGATATGAGTATAAGTCTTGTTTAAAGATGGGAATCAGACAACGAGACTGACTGTGCAAATTCATCGGACTGGTTGCCGGAAATAACATTGAGAACCAGCAGATTGGCAATCGCGTCGGCGTTATCAGCGTCCTTCTCCAGGGCCTGTTCGAGAGCAGCTTGGGCTTCTTCTGTTCGGCCGAGGTGCAGTTCGCAGACAGCTTGCGAGACAAGACTTCGAATTGATGAGGTCGAGGGAGCTTGGGCGAGCTCCTCAAAGACGTAGAACGCCTGCTGGTACTTCTCACCACCCTGCACCGTCTCAGTGAATGTATTTCCCGAACCTGTAGAACACTTACGACTCTTAATCCAACCCACGACTCGGCCAAGTTGACCAAGAGACTATCTTGAGCCCATCGCCTTGCAGCAGATACTTCTTTGAGGGCGAGGTCGGTTCGGTTTTGTTGCAGATGGATCTGGACGATAAGAGAGACAGCATCAACTGAATAATAGCGGTCAGCGGCATTCTAAGCATCATCCAACCTCTGGGTGATCTTACGGCTTCCCTGATGTTGAGTGAGAAGAGCAAGAGCCTCTTCAGACTTTCCAGCAGCTTGGAGAACCGTTCCTCCGATAACCTGGACCGTTGTGTTGTCGGCAGCTGAAGAGGCCAGCTTCTCGATCGTCTGCACTGCAGAATCGGCCTTGCCCAATTTGAACTCAGCAAGAGCACCCAGAGCCTGGAGCTCAGGCTGAGAATCGCCCTTCACATCATCGAGAACATCTTCTGCCTGTCCAAGAGCCAATCGAGCTCGGAGGACAAGAATGCGCGCGGGCAGAGCGTTGTCAGGGGAGAAGGAAGAGGTATCAAAGTCAATAACTTCCTGATACTGGCCCTGGTGGAAATGGTTGTGAATGTTGATTAATTCGCCTTCGGTCGAGTAGGGGTCCATTTTGGTTAACGCTTTGGAAATGTCTTTTGTATGCGGATAACTGTTGTCCCTGAAAACGTCCCTTGAGAACACCTTGGATGCGCTTAAGATCCCAAGGGAATGGTGGGGCCGGTCGTAGTCTGTCCTTTCCACCTCATCGTGGGGTGAGCTCCACGGTACGTACCTTCACCTTCGCCTCACCGAGATGAGGCGCTGATCATGGTTGCCCTAGATATCAGGCGCCCAGATGTGGCTGATACAAGCGAGTGCCACACCGCCCGATGGGGCTAGGTAGGGTCGGCTGCCCACAAAGTGAGAAATCAACCAAAACCTCAATTTAGCCAGTCTTTGGAACTTGCATCACCAAACACACCCAAAGAACGGCACCGTACATCGTCGTCAAAATGGTACGTCGCTACAGCCCAAAACCTCATTACCAGCATCAACAATAGCACCATCGTATTGTTAAGAATGCAATGCCGTTGTCTCAAGCCATTCGACCATGCGCGCACCATGACTGTCACTGGGAGAAAGTGGGATGAATTTTCGGAGCATCATGAAGGGACACGAACTCGAAACGACCACACCCAACCTCGAACCGACGATACTCGAAGGTGTCACTTGTTCCGCCCTTGAAGTCCTTTCCGACGATTCGATCTTTTCTCTCAAACTGTCTTCGGGGCGTGCGACTCGAAATGCTGAGATCTGGGCAGAGGTCTTGATACTCGAACATCACCAGATGGCTAACATTCTGGCTCCTACAGGTCAACATTCCCAAGACCCGCAACACCTACTGCAAGGGCAAGGAGTGCCGCAAGCACACCCAGCACAAGGTCACCCAGTACAAGGCTGGCAAGGCCTCCCTGTTCGCCCAGGGTAAGCGACGATACGACCGCAAGCAGTCCGGTTATGGTGGTCAGACCAAGCCTGTCTTCCACAAGAAGGCCAAGACCACCAAGAAGGTTGTTCTGCGATTGGAGTGTGTCAAGTGCAAGACCAAGCTCCAGCTGGCGCTGAAGCGATGCAAGCACTTCGAGCTTGGGTACGTGATCTCTTGGCTCCATGAACTCTACAATATGCTGACATTGAAAACAGTGGTGACAAGAAGACGAAGGGTGCTGCTCTGGTGTTCTAAGTGCTTTGTGTTTGGGGTCTCAGGGTCACCATTTCTATGCTTACCTCGGCGGCATTTGGGCATCATGGATGGACACAGGCGAAAGGAGGTACACGCCCTCGATTTGAGGCATGTTTCATAGGGAACGAATGAAAAAAAACTCTCTGTGTTGCACCAACACGAATTTTCTGAAGCAAAGCATAATAAAGTGCGTTGATGGTGATGAACCATTTTCAAGGGTTGAGCCATTACCCCTCAACGTCAAGCGGGATAGGGCCCGTGAGTCATGGTCATGGTTGAGAAAGCTTCAAAACAGCAACGATGTATCGGTCTATAGGTATAAAGCTCTGATGCTATTCTAAAACCCTTCACCCAGCATTATAGTCTTCCCGCCTCCATACCAGAGTGTGCCATTTCGTGCATCCAGTCCTCTCTCATGACCGACTAGCCACTCGCCAGCATTATACTCGGAGTCAGGATTATCCCAGACCTCCTTCTCTAGCCATGCATTGACCTCATCAATAGCCTTAACCCAGGCTGCCCTTTTGTCTGGCGTGTCATGGTCATCGTGATTCAGATAGCGTCCAAGCGTGATGTGCGCACTGGGAACTTGATATCTTGACCCAACAACTACGCCGCTTTCCTGCACCTTGTCGTACACGTCGCGACGCAGATGGTGATATGTGTAATCGTCTCCCTGCGTGATCCCCTCTGTGACAACAGGTTCGGTGAGAGGAGGGGAGAGTGCTGCTTCACCTGACGCAGGAAGGAACGAGAGGGCAAAAGCAGACAAATCATAAGAAACCATGGGCTTGACAAGGCGAGACCTGTGATGATATGGGTAGTTCACAATGTCAGGGATAGCTGGCCTCAGAGTCGCTACAAAGGCAGCAATCTCCTGGGGTGTTTTGGAGAATGCAACCTCGAGGGTTGTCAAATGCATCCTATGTGAAGGCATAAGCCAGACACCTTTTTAACGGTCAGTATATGCCAGTTGACTATGGAGCTGAATCCCCTCACTAGGTGCGGCCTTCTTGAGTAACTCATTGACCTTGGAGGCTAAGCGGATAACGTGGTCTGGGGGTCTGGCCCAGATGACCAAACAGTTCCTATTGTCACGGAATCCCGGCTCTACAGTCGGGTCTTCAAGCCGGAGGAGTGTCTGGTCAATAACCAATTCCTTGAAGTCAGAAGACAAAAACTTCTCCGCTTGTTGGCCGTTCCTCTTTGTCCGGTGGACAGAGTACAGAGTTTGGACCTCAGCCTGACATTGTGAGCTTGGGATCAACAAGTTCGAATGATAAGTCACTCACAGGGTCGTTATTACAGGCTTTGATGAGGGCGTTGTATGGGTTCTCGCCCGGCTCAAGCTGAATTCCAGAGAGATCCTCCAGCTTGTTGCGAGCCTCCGCAGCTTCAAATCGGGCTATCATTTTGGCTCAGGATACAACACAGCTTGTCGTAACTGTGGACTGATTTGCAATGTTACCCCGAGATTCTACAGAAACGATAGAATAGATAAATGCATGACCCTAAGTGCCTACCTAGTTATAAGAACAGTTTAAAAAGTCATCGTGGTATGATAGGAATGCACGATGACTAAGCTTTTGGCAACGTGGTGTTGTCTATGGATATGAGAACTATTACTGTCATTTTCGTATTATTGCAGTCGTTATATTGGCCAACCTGAGCTTGTTCAATTCAAGATTAGCTGAAACGTTGAAGCCCAGGGGCTTCATATCATAATATGTAGTCCTCGGGTAAATGAAGCATATATTTTAAATTGCATGCCCAACTATTTCTACTCAGCCACTGTCCGGTTACGCATTGTGCGATCCTCAAATATCGCGTGTCTTGGTTTAGCTACAGTTTGGCGGTAACTCTTCCGCCTCGCGGAACGCGCACTTTAATGTCAGATTCCTTGGAGTCTTGCCCTTCGAATGTGACGATCTGACAGTCTTGAATGTCAACCCCAGAGGAGAACTGAACAACCAGAAAATCCAAAGTTGTCTCCTTCTTACCAAGAGCTACCATTGGAGCGTGCCATGTCCCAGCCGCATAAGTCACAGCCTGGCGGTCTGTTGCTACAAACGCACGCAACCCCTTCAGATCAGGGAGACCTCTACCGGGTAGACCCTCTCCACTTGGTACAGGTAGACCATCGTCTTGGGGAGATGGTGGCAGAGATGGGGCCACGATGACCAAGTAGCTTGAAGCGGTAGAGGCCAGTGGAGCAAAAGTTTGAGAAGTGAATGGGTGTCGTTCAAGAATGTTGACGGCGAACTCGCTCTGAGAAGCGTCATCGCTTGCAGGTGCCAAAGTTCTCGCTTCGCAGACGAATTGGCTCATGATCAATCGGCCATTGCTGCTAGGAGCCTGTGAGAGGAGGTCCTGAGGCTTGCTGACATCGGCATAGCGAATTGCTGTTCCTTGATTGGCAGTGGTGCCGTTGTATGGGAGAGAACCACCTTCAGATGCGTGTTTTGATGGAAGAAGGCTCGGTCGTGGGTTGGAGACAACATCTCCAAATGGCGCGAACTCCTCTTGTGTCAGGGGAGCGGTCCCGATACGGAGGCTTAGGTTTCCGACGTTGACTTTAACTGACATGGCTGCCGCTTGAGAGGCGTTATTTTGACTTGATGTTGAGAATGGGGATTTGTTTGCCGTAGTTGAGTTAATTTTCAGGCAATGATGAGTTGAAGTAGGGCATCGTGATCCGAGGTCGGCAATACATCAGTCCAACTACAGCATAACATAACGCACCCACTCCAAGTGTGACGAAAGGCATCACTCCTTTAAAAAGTAACCGCTGGGTTCCCGTAAAAAAAAAATGAAGCCTGATGCAGTATTACTGTAGGTGCTACAAATTTACGTTCAAGCTACCCTAAACCTCTAAGTATCGTGAGGATCCTGAGGATATATGACTCAAGTCCTTTTATAAAACTCATATCGAGGCACTATTCAACCACGCTCAGTGTAAGCTTGAGTCACTAATTTACTTTGATTATGTTCTTAGGCGAATACCTTGCATTCGACTAGGTTGGTAACTCCGTTGCTGTTCCATCCCACTCGACACTGCAGCCGAAAGCATGTTATTTCCCATGGTTTCAGGCCAGGCCGACATAGGTAGACAACAGGCCACAGTCTCACTCTTCATTACCAACGTTTCGATCACTCATGTTAATTCGTTGTATTGCATGAAAGCTAACATAAACGCCAAATCCAGTACCCAAACTCAAAGTATTCATCAGAACTCCCTCGGTCGCTGCTCACGTCCCAGGTTCAAATCCGCCTCGTCATCCTTGTCATTCGATTGCCACGGGGATGGTGATCGCAATGCAGGTGACATTTGACCAAGCCCGGCCTGGTTTGATGGCGGTTGGTAACCTGGCGGAGGATCGGATGGATAACCCATGTGTTGAGGAGGAGGCTCCCGCCATGGCGGTGCGCTGTATTGCTGAGGGCCTGCCAGACCAGGGCCACGAGGACCAAGACGGCGCTTGTCCATGTATCGGCGACCGTAGATCAAGATGAGGCTGCTTATGCAGATGAAGATGATGAGAAGAGCGAGGAGCATGCCGAATTTTCGGTTCAGAGCAAAGGTGAAGCCGCTGATGATGGTTAGCGATGGGCAACCGATGTGTGCATGTGGCAACTTACAGGAATGCGTTCAGAGTGCCTAGAAATAGAATGATACGGCCAACCCAAAGATGAAACTTGCCGTACTTGGTCGGGGCCTGTGTTCTCCTGTACTGAGTATGGTGCATTACTCCTAATCCAAATTGTCCAAGCAATAAGCCAGTGACGACGAATCCAATAATTTGGTGAGGATCATCGAAACTTCGAGACTATGATATTCGTAAGTGACAGGCTCAGACTTACCGGGATGGACTTACTCTTTGATAATAGAAACTGTTCGCAACACCAATACCGAAACCTGCAAAGACACCCAGAGTCGCAATGGACTGGTTCAGAGCATGCCACTTGACCCAGCCTCCAGACCTCAGCAGAACAACGCCAATTGGCATGAGGAATATGATTGATAAGACCATAAAAACTCCGTGAAGCGGTGATGCCCAGTTTGGCTTGGCCTTCGTCGCGTAGATAAGCTCGGATCCAACATCTTTTGTAGAATCGCTAAGAGATGGTAGCTCGGATTTCCCATGTGTTCGTTTGATGTCGAGTGAGAAACTGCCATATCCTGCATGATATTTCAAAGGTGCGTCCGTATCGTCACTATAGTAGTCCTCCTTTGGTCCAAAAGCGAATACGGCCTTGCTGTTGTGATCGTAAACATCGAGGTATCCCTTCTGTCCACCATGCGATGGCCAACTGCGACATCCACTCTTGCAGCGAATTGTGGCTACCATGTGATCGTCGATAATTCCTGTGGTATTAAGAATTTCGTAATCCATCTCATCCCAATAATAAGGCTCGTAATGGCCGTAGGCGAGTCGCGGGGAGAATGTAACATTGTTGGTGGTCCGGCTCTTGTATACCATGAGAAATAGGGCTCCGGGCATATCCTCGCTTCCAAGACCAACAGCGCCCCAGGATCGATTCTTCTTGACGCGCAGACTGAAGTAGACTTCGGTGTTGGTGTTCTCGCCGATGTCAATCGCAAACGCTACGTCTCCATCTGGGGAAACAAAGGTGGATTGACCGCCTTCATCTTTTTCTTTGGCAGAAGTGACTGGAAAGAGGGCTGTCGGAGAATGATTGTCAACAGCAGTAACAAAAGAGAAAAGATTTCGTCTTTCAGAAAAGAGGGCAAACTTACCTGCTGTCGCAGCTAGGGCATGCCCGAGCTTGCGAAGCAACATTGTATGGGTCTGAAGATGTGGGGGAGATATAAGATGATGGAGAAGAGAAAACAAATGAAGGCGAAGAGGGAGGAAGAAAGCCAGAGATATCAGATTAAACCACAAATTGGATGCTTAATTGAGTATTTGCTAGGGCTGGTAGGAAGATCAGGGAGACAAAGCCGGAAAAGGAGGCGCGCCACTAAGATGAGGTGCAGGTAGATTGTAGAGGGACGGCAAATGGTGGAAGCGTGATGTTTATGTCCGCTGGGTTGCCAATAGATAGATGAAGAGTGGATGTGAAATTGCATGCTCAATCAGGAAAGTTAAGATTCCATTTTGCCTACTTAGGCTGTACGAAGTAGTCTACATAGGTCTGGCCAAGACACTCATCTACTACGTGCGTCACAAGCAAAAGCCCCAGTGATTCAGATTCCGCATTCCGTCTATGAAAAGGGGCTCTTTGAGACTTTGACGAGGGCTTTGGCATGTCTTGTCTTAGTCCTGTGCAATACATTATCACGAACCGCGTAGCTTTTCCTCAGATCATGCCGGTATTAGCACGTAGGCAAGAGAAGAACCTCCAAACTCGTATTCCGGGGTATCCATTACATCTTTCTTTGTTTTTGTGGGCCAAGTAAACAAAATGAGGCATCCAGCCGTTGGCTACCTAACAACGCTATTGGTCCAATTTATGTAATAGAGTTTGTTCAGGGGATGACTGCGCTAGCCAGGTACACTACCCCTGGATCGTCCCGCTATTCACAACTAAGGTACCTATTAAGCTACCAATCAACAGCTAGTCTTTACATACCGCTTTGCACTCTAGATCAACAACATAGCAACATCATATCAAAACAACCACGATATGATGACCTCAGCCGAACGGAATCATTCTAGATATGCAAAAAGTTACATGCGTAATCTGGGAATCGAAATCTTTGGGGATCCGAAGGAACTCCTGAGATTATAGGAACAGGCAGGTGGAGGTTATCAGTAATTATCGGAGAAGTTTACCACTAAATCAATGACGATGATAGTCGAGTAGCTCGTCCTACTGTGGCTGTTGGATCGCAGTGCGTGAATGTGGGCTATATTCATCTGTAGATAGCTCGGTGGATTTACTGGAAAGTGCCTATGTGTAAACAAGTCTTGGTGTGGCCTTCGTTTTCGAGGTTTCAACCGTCCAATCCTCATAAACCATTCAGAGATATCTGGGCGTCCATTGCCTCTCCAACGTTAACCCAATCCAGCTGTGACAGTCAGTTAGATACAGCCTTTTATAGAGTTTATTCGCCACTTACAAGAACGACATTCGGTCGCCTGCCCCAGTTGTCCTCGCAAAGGCCTATCTGTTTTTGGATAGAATACTCTGAATTGCGTCTTTTTTGCATCGGCTTGATTTGGGATGACAATGCCCAGGACGTCGTAGTTCAACATATGATTCATGATCCCCATGAGTTGGGTTGGATCCCCCTTTTCCGGCCGGTCAACCTCACAGGTTGGAAACGAGGAGTTAGATTCACCGAATGGGGTCTCCCAGAAATAGTCGAACTCATCAAGTATGTAGTCGACTCTGCCCTCGTCCATGTTGTAATCTGAGGATAGTCAGTAAGCTCAAGAAGCGAATACACAGAACAAGGCATACCCATAAACACAACAAGTTGAGTTCTATCCTCAAGAAGCTTTTGCAGAGTTGGCCACTCGTCTCGGGAAAGCTTCGTCTTGGGACGAAATACAAGGTCTTTTAACCCTGCACTGCTGAAAGCTTCATCGAACTTTTCGATCGGTAGGGCGTCAATGTTCGTCAGCAATATCGTCACGACCTCATCTGGGTTTTTTCCGACCCATTCTGATATCTCTTCTAGATAGTCCTGCAATAGCCCAGCGTCCAATTCCCAGCAGTGAGTGTGGCACATCTGTATATCGCCATCCTTGTCTTGTGTCTGAGCCTGTAAGGATCGTACGCCTAAGTCGAGTTGTTCTGCGACTGAGATGTATTGGTTGTGAACTGGAAGCTTTCCAACAAAAGCGCTGTTGTGCGTCCCAATGAAAGTGATATCCGAATATTTACGCCTGCAAAGTTCATCATGACCATTGCATGCTGCTGAAGTTGCCGTAGCAAAAGCCAATATCAATGAAAGTTGCATGGCCAAAAAACAGAAAGGTAGTGTCTGGGGAGACTGCGAGTGAAAGTAGAGCCCCCAGGGAAAACTCAAGGCTACATATATGGCAATATCTTCAACTTTGAATTACCACACTCATGCTGACTGCCAGCATGTTGCTTCAAGCCTTTGCAGCCACAAATCATATCAAGGGATATTACCACAAGTTGAATAATAGATCAATAGTTCGACGGTCTTAACATCTATATTCGGCACGTTCTTTACGCATCCACTCGTTGTAAAGGCTGGTAGAATGCAACGATGAGATGGTTGGCTCAGAATCCCAGTCGCATAGCTCTCATCAGCCACATAGCGTTCATTTGGAGATCCATGCAAAGAGCAGACAATGGGGTGACGATAATATCTAACAATATGAATGGTAGGAAGTGATAATTTGATGTTTACTGGCAAGAGATGACTGCATTTAGACACTGAAACCGGGACCAACGTACAAGCCATAGGCTTTCAATTGTTTATAGCGGTTATTGTGTATGGGTGAGCATATAACACAGGCATTCAAAAGTTGTTATACTATTCCGTACTATGTCAGCGAAAGTGCTTGTATGAATAATTGAAGCTGAAGAGTCATGGGAGCAGTGACAAAGAAATGGCTTCGGCTTGTAAGACTCTAGACCCACTCTGACGCACTGGAGCTCGAAACACCAACTAACAATTGCCAGCGCGATCCTTTGCAACTTCCTTACTACGGCACAATCTGGCCACATCAAATACCAACTTACACAGGTATTCTCAACCTGGTTTATGACAAAAATATTCTTGCTCTTTAACACATTCACATATAATTCCGAAACTCACTAAACATCTACCAATGATCCGCTGCCCACCATGTCTGGCTATTTGTCTATGCTAGGTTGGGCCTTTCTCCCAAATGTATGAGATTTGTTCTAGGAACTTGCTTGACCTGCTAACCGCTTCATAGCTTGCAACAGGATGGCTCCAGTCCATTTACTATGGGTTTACCATTCGCGCCGGCGATCCCAAGCCTGCCCCTGGCTCTGCCCGCTATAACTCGCATCGACGCACCATACATATCCTCGTTGTCGCTGCCTACCTCTGCTACACAATCTTCGAAGCGGACTATGAACAGCGCCGTATATCCTCATACTATGCAGATCTTGGAGTGCCACTCGATGCTGCCGATCGCGAGATCAAGACGCGCTTCCGCCGCTTGGCTGCCATGCACCATCCAGACAAAGCAGGCAAGGACGCTGGCGATTCTGCCGCCTTCTTCATGCACCTAAAGGTTGCTAGTGATACGCTACAGGATACTGCGAAGAGATTTGCATATGAACGCTTCGGACCTGAGATTGCACGGTGGCAGAAATGCGTTACTATCAGAGATTATGTTACTCGTGGCGTCGTCTCAGGCATCCTGCCTCACTACGTTGTGGCTGCCGCATCAATTTACATTCTGGGCTTATTTGGCTATATGGAGTTTGGTAAATGCTACCGGTGGCTAGTTCTGATCGCCCTTTGCGTATTCGAGCTCCATACCGTAACACGTCCCGATTTCCCACCTTTTGTCAATGCCATCAACGCCATCCTCACACAATTTACATCTTCGCCACCATATCTACCTTTCCAGATCATCTCTCTCGCCCGGAGACTCACAATCACATTCTACATTGCTCTCAACCAGATAGGACCTCTCATTGCATTCATGATCACGGGGCCAGAAAAATCCGAGGAGGAGGACGAAAAGGCTATGAGACAAAGCCTACATCGACTTGAAATGTTGACAAAGCAACTTGACGGAGATGCTGTACGACTGTTGGATATGGAAATGGCTCCCTTTAAGGGCGACACTGATGCAACGTCCAATCTACAGGGCAAGATGAGGGAGTGGCTTGTACAGAATACTATTAGAGCAGATCCTATGGTTAGAGATGCTATGGGAACGTCACTGAGGAAGAGGAGAGTTGATGCACCGGCAGGTGCAAAAGGTAATAGATAGACAACTTTATCAATATCTATTGTACATTTTTAGTAATCACTAGTTAATCTGTGCTCTATGCAGACAACTTTATGAATAGCACGAAATACAAAGCACTGCCAAACCCCGTTATAAATGACATCAGAAATGCAAGTCATACCCAAGACCACTCTGACTCCAGGTCGTTAGTATGCGTGTGTTGTAACTAGAAAGGTTATGCGGTGCCTATTATGCTTGCGGGACCGCACTTAATTGAAAGTTGAGGGCTCAAAGTCGTGAAGCACCTCTTGTCTCGATGGGGATGAGACAAATGCCAATAAAAGCCGACAAAATAAGGACTGCAGACATGATAATAGGTGTAGTAGCACCATCGCCAGGAACGGTAGCGGCAATGATGGGTGCCATAAGGCCAGTAATGCGGTTCAGGAAGCTGGCCACGCCGGTACCAGCGCCTCGAACAGGAGCAGGGAATATCTCAGGCGTGAAGGCGTACAGAACACCGTACATGATGTTTTGGGCGAAAGCCTCAACACAAGACATTAGAAGTTGGGCAGTTGATGTAGTGCCGTAGAAGACAAAGAGGAAAAGGAACACCGCGGAGAGGAGGGTGGAACTAGCAAGCGTTCCTCGACGACCGAGGAAGGGGGACGGGTGATCAACGAGGTATGCAGCGAGAAGAGAACCAGGGACACCCATGACAGAGGCAATGGCGTAGTTGCGGTATGTGTCTGATGAGATGGTGTCTGTTTCGGACTGCATGTTATCCGATGCTTCGTTATGTGCACGAGCAAAGTATTGAGGAAGGAAGGCATTGAAAAGGGGATATCCCATGCCAATCGTAGCCCAGCAGAACCAGATCAAAGAAGTTGCCATGCCGAGGGTCTTATTCTGGAATAGAGGTCGCAGACGCTCTCCGGAGAATGACTGGAGCTTCTCGCGGAGGAAACCCATAGTCGATGGAGCAGGAATCTTCTTCTCTGCAACATGGGCGAGATCCTCGCCATCCTCACAAGCAACCAAGTCGAGAAGCTCGGAAGTAAGCCAAGTCTTGGTACCATTACGGTATGCCAGACCGTGAATGACAGCCACTGCCTCATGTTGGCGACCCTTATTGAGAAGGAACTTGGGTGACTCGAAGAGATGAAAGACGAAGAATCGGACAACAAACATGGCGAAAGTAACAATGCCGATGGTGACAATGAAGTATCGCCAACCCTGTTCAACTGGCCAGTTGCCGATAAAGTACCATGCAATTAGAGATGAGACAAGCTGTCCAAAGGGCCACCAGACGGACAGCAGAGTGAGCAAAGCACTGGAAGCATCCGGGAGAAATTCCAGAAAGAGAGCACCATCAACAGGAAGATTGCCGCCGACGCCGAAACCAAGGGCACTGAAGAAGAAGCAAACACTGCCCCAGCTTTGGGCATAAGCGGACATGATGCCAAAGACACTGGTAATAAGTAAGGTAGTGTTGAAGGCAATGCGACGACCAAGGAAATCGGACCCAATTCCCCAGAAAAAACTCCCGATCGATAGACCGACGAACAGGGCGCTGGTTGTGTATCGAACTGTCTTTTCATCGACACCGAATTCTCCTGATAGAGATGGCAGACAGAGTGACACTCCCTGCATCCAAAGGTTGTCGGCGAACCATCCACATCCACAGAGAACGAATAACTGCCAGTTATAACTGCCCATACCGATATCTCCGACTGCCTTATTCATGAGCTTTGATTTGACTGAAACCTTGTTAGCTCATAATGCAGCAGTCTTAAATGCAGCACTCACTCTCATATGTCGTCCATTGACCCCGTCGCCCTTCTCTCATTTCTTTGCGTAGACCATCTACCGTATATTCAGCAGCGTCACCTCCAAGCATGCCTTCGCGTTCTTCTTTGATCTCCAAATCATCCATCTCACCCTCCTCCCGCGTTTCCCCATGGCCGGCGCCCTTCGCTTTAGCCGCTTGGCTGTAAAGATGAGCTTCCTCCAGTGGCACCAACACGCCGATATAGTCATCCACTGACTCGACGTACCCAGAGCCGAGACGCCATGAAATGCGCATTTCAGAAGCTGGTACTTGAAAGAACAAGGTGATTATAACTTTAATAGCACAAACATCAAACAAAAATTGGATATTTTCAGATACACGTGATGCTGCCGCTCACACACGAGAGACAACTTGGATTCGAAAGATGAGATAAACCCGTGGCTTGATGGTTGATAAAAAGAGCTTGAACGGAAAAGATTATAATGGTTTGTTGTTGAGCTGCGTCACTGAGCGGAAGAACCGATCGTGGGTTCCGGTAGCTTTGTTAGGAGCAGAAAGCTGTAAAAGAAAAACCGCGCACAGAATAAATAGAACAATAAATAGAACAAAGAGTGACGAGAGTAATAGTAATGTAAGAATCAATAAAAGAAAACGAGGGATTCGATTGTACAGTCGATGAGAGGGTGAAACAAGGCACAGTCTTGGAGATGAGAGGACAAGTCAGAAGTTACGGTGGATAGAACCAGCAAATAATATGTTAGCCCGAAATAGGAGGCCGTAGGTCCAATTTTTGCTGGGTCCAGGGGCTTGGGAGGCGCCAAAGCCGGGCATTCATCAGCATCATCGCCCATCCATCTCCCGTTCTATGGGGGCTTGGCATCAGGACTTGTGTTACCGCCATGATCTTGTATATCACTCGTAATGTTCCTGATAATAAGGCATTTCCAGAAAACATGGCATTGGGTCTTTCCCAAAGATAACTAATAATGAAGTAGCAACTCAGCAAGTCTCTCTAGGTTCTTTAACTCTTGATAAGGACTGCAATGCAAGTGAATCCTCAAAGAGACCAATGCTGATAGTCTGGACACGGAGTACAGTGGCTGGCTACTAGATCACCATTGCCAGGCCGCAGCCGACATTGCCATGTTGTAAAGTTGCTGATCAACTTCATGATACTCGGTTGAAGCGCTGAGTGAGCGGGGCACAGTCATTTTCCATTCGAGTTCCAGACCTGATACTTTCTCCTAATCACAGCCGTGGAATTGTTCCAGACTCTTAACATTTAATTGGAATGAGAACTTTGATAGGCGAATGTTTGCTGCTAAACTTTGGATTGTAAGTTCTTATCGAGGCCAAGCTAGCTTGTCGGGAATAAGGCTTGCGCGTCGATCCGCCCCTTTCGAGATTTGAAACTAAGAAGAGCATGGGGTTTGTACCTCATGGTAATGTTGTGCTATGCACATAAGAATTCTCGCCTCCAGAAACCATCCGCATATTGAGCCTATTTACCAGCCGGATTCGAATCTTGAGCTACAATTCTGCCATGGACTGCGTCGAAGTTCTAAAAGCGCACAGTTCTCATTCATTAGCATCGGATGGTCTCCCGACAGTACTCCCTGCAATGGAAGGATGACAGAGATCTCCTTGACCTCAGAGTGACAAGGCCAAGGGGTGCAACTTGGGAATTGGAATACTACGTAGTAGTTGCTAAAGCTGCGCCACCCCATATGATTGCGATAGTCCAAACGGCTGAGCGATAGCCCGGTGTGACATGCATATTTCCATTTTACGAATAACATGTTCCCAGTAAGTCATTTCTTGAAGTTTTGCTTGTTCACCCCCTTCGTATAAGCTATGTTTCATATCGGCAAGACTCTTGCTGCAGATGAATCCCCCTACGAGCCCATGGCTTTACCTTAATAAAGCAGGGTCTTTGCCATCAATGTAAATCTTGGTTTAATGTATTCCAGTAAAGCTTATCTGCTGCATTACGGGTCCAAATCTTTTGCTATGCTACATATTGTAAGTTGAATTACCTTGTTTGCATGATGTTCTTCATAATAGGTCCGATATGATTACACATTAGGTCCATTCTGGATTTCGTGTCAGCGCCATTAATCTTGATCATATTACTATCACTCTCGTTACTTTGCTGAAATCTATCATTCTGACATAGAGCCAGGAGGTGATCCCATGCACAAATCACAGCTTGGGCCCCAAGCGCGTGATGGCCGTGACTCCAAAAAACTCCATGCGTGGTATACATAGTGCTAACACAAGCCGAGCTCGTGGGCGAAAAGATGTTGGAAAGAAAATTCGACAAGAAAAAGTCAGATAGCCGCTCTAGTCCTCTTCCTCGCTGGTGGTCTCAATGTTCGCCTTCGGTGACTTCTTTCGCTCTTTCTTAACCTTGGCAGCTGGAATCAGAGCAGTATCAGGCTTGTCTGCAATGTCACCCTCAACTACGAGACCCTTGGCGCGAAGAGCAGCATTGATGTGTGGAACAGCCTTAAGAAAAGCATTGTACTGCTCGATGGAAAGCGAAATACCCTATTTAACTAATCAGTGAGACGTCCAAGATGAATGAAGCCTTCGCAAATACCTTCTTGCCAGGTAAAGTCTTGCCATCCTTATCATAGTACTCTCGAATATTGACAAAGGTTTTCTTGCTGAAGTCTGACACACCAACACGGCGCTTGTTTGAGAGCTGGACACGTCCTGTTAGCGCGCGAGCCCAACGGTAGATGCCTCGAACTCGCGTACCTCCCAGTATGGATTTCCATCATCATCTTTACCATCCGACTCAACTGATGTTCCACTCTTGACTCTTTTGGAAGCAGTCTCGGGCTCACTATCAGAATCGGCAGCGCGCTTTTTGGCAGCAGATGTACGGGCCATTATGAGAATCGCAAAAGTCTTTTCAAGAGCTGGACAGAGGGCTCAGACACTCGAATACTGTTTCGTTGAAAGGTGTTTGAGATGTCTTGTCACTTTTGACTTGAAAGTTGAGCTTGAACCAGACTGGCCTCCCAGCCTGGAGGAGACGCGATTGGAAGCTACGCGCGATGTGACACCAATGCACGTGATATCTCAAAATTGGATCCGCCCAGAAAACCAGGTTACGTATCGGATCTTATCATGCCGCCGTGAACTTTCGGCTCGACTGCTAAAACTCATGGATGCCGCATTCCAGCTCGATATATACCTTGGATGTTTAGGTTCAGGATTATGCTCTCTCGTCACCTCAGATATTCACTCAAGTTTTCACCATCTTTCATCAAGTAAATTAAAGATCGACCGATCACGTCAAGGCGGCCTAGGGTACATAAACCTGGCAAGGTTAATCAAACGAAACAAGACATCACACAAGAAAGATTGGACGCTGTAACTCTACAGTGGAGATAAATCAGGGGCAGCATTAGACTTTGTTGCCGTTTTTAGTGCACGATGGCAGTTGAAGCCCACTATTTTGTGACACGGACCGCACCAGCATGAACCTGATACCTCGATTTTGGGTGATAGAAAGATTCGAACAAAGTTAGGATGAAATTAGCACGCCCTCTCACAACCTATTTTATCAAGCTTTCTCTTCAGTACTTGGTCGCAGCCCTACCCTGGGGTTTAGGGGCCATGACCCCTGAAGACTTGAAGACAAGCAATTCCAATGCTCGGCAATTTGAGGCTAAAAAAGCCCACCTGGCACCTTAGACACGCGACACCAGCTATTGTACTGTACTACCTACACTGCGCCAGCTGTAATTCGGCCACATCCATTACCCCCAGCGTTCCAGACAAATTCCAAACCTTGCACGATTCCTTTATTTCATTCCCTACTTTTATCTAGTCTACTGTTTTGCTCCTTTTGCTCTCGGTTTCACTTTTCTTCACGTTTCTCATTAAACTCTCTATTTCCACTGGCTATGCTTACGGGAGTTCGCCTCGGTTCCAGTGTCTTCGTTCGTTAGGAGCTACAACATCTGGGTTGTGTACCGAAACAATCCTAGACAGCCTTCCATTCCCCATGAGTTCAACCGCATTCCCCAACCAGAATGCGCCTCAACCAGGTGCTTCCCTTACGAACCCGCCAAAGCCGAAGGCTATAGCACTCAATGGCTCGCCGTTGCCTACACTTTCACAGACACAAGACGACGACAAGCCGCTGTTAACAGACAAGCCATCGGATGCAAATGATCTTGCTAACAAGATGACTACAACAAACGATGCAATGAACTCTGACAGCCCCATTACGAATACTACGAGAACCGAAACGACCAATACAAGAACTGCAACTGAAGATGGTACTCCAATTGCAAAAGTCATACACTTCTTTGCTACAGCGACTCCAGAGTCACTCGCCGGCGTCGCAGTTGGTTTTGCTGCTTTCACATACTTCACTATGGGACGTTTGGGTCTCGTTCTAATCGGTGCTTTGGGCGGAGTTGCCGGATTCATTTCGTGGGAAGCGCGTAACCCAGAGCTCGCTAAAGCTGTGCGAGGAGAGCGAGGGATCGACGTTATAGATCGGCTTCTAGAGGCCAAGAACAACCAGGCAGGGGAGAAGCGCGAAGACAGCAGCGATGATGAAGAGCCGGCTCTGAAGAATTTCGACGAGTTCCGGCCAGAGACCCGTGAGGCACTTGGGGGTCTTGTTGATGCTATTGTCAGGGACTATGTTAAGTGGTGGTACAGTCCGATTGTTCCGACTGACCACTCGTTTCCTTTGGCGTGTCGCAAGACGCTCACATCTTACCTTCTCTCCGTTTCTAGCCACCTGAGCCGAAAGCGACCTGCGGATGCCTTTCTCGATCTTCTTACCAACTCGTCCTCCATTATTATCGTGTTCATGTCTGAGCTCGCATCCGCTTTCTCCGAACTTCCTCCAGATAGTAGTATGACTGCTGCTGACGCCGTTTACAACTACCTGGCATCTAACCCGGACTGCCATTTGGCCAATCTCTTGAATCAACGTCAGCAAGCGTCAAAATTCAAAATGGTGGCCGAGGACCTTCTTGGTTTCCTGGACCGAAACTCGTACAACTGCGACCCTGCCCGGGTTTTCTTGCGTGAGATCCTCGCGAACTCGGTTCTTGAAAAGACACTACATACCTGCAGTCAAGCCGATTGGATTAACGGGTGGATCGTATACTTGCTAGAAGCTGGTGAACCAAACCTAAATCAGGCCATCGATGTTGGCATGCAGCGAGCCCCAGAATCGAGCGTGGCGGCAACTAACGTCTTTGCGGATTTGGATGGAAATGTCGGAAACGTTGGGATCGCCAAGCCAGGGCGAAGTTCTTTGGAGACGGAAAGGGCTCGACGCAAGGAACCCCTTGGCCACAAGAAGAAGCTGAGCAAGGCGGAGGAAGAGATGGATGAAGCCATGCAAGAGATGAAACGCATGAACGAAATGATTGCCGAAGAAGAAGCACGACGAAAACGCGCGTCGGTGGTTTCTTTTCATGATTCACCAAAGGATTCAAACAATGCTGAAAAACGGTTGTCTGGTGCGCCAGATCTTTCAGCTGCTACGAAACGTGATGTGTCTCTACCATCGGCGACATCAACGGAAGGGTTCTCATCAAAGAGTGACATTGTCCAAACTCCTGTCACACCTCGATCACCAATGGATTCCTCCAGCCCTGAGTCGTCCCCTCGTCGATCCGACGGCACTCGCTTCACTAGCTTCGATCAAATTGTACCACCAGGACAAGTAACAGACGAAGGAGAAGAGGATGCCCCTAAAAAAGCTCCTCTGACCCTTCACAATGCCACGATAACTCTCCACGATGATACCCCTGGCGAGCCGAATAGAATTCGCAGCAAACCTAACTGGGACTACTGGGTGCAGGTTGAGCCGTCAGCTACTGCGTATCCTGGATGGATGATCGTACGAAGATATGCAGATTTTGAAACCCTGCATGAAATCCTCAGACGAATTGCCAACATTTCTGGTGCAACTGCTTTCACCGAGCTTCATAAAGACTTGCCTGACTGGAAGCTTCACACTCGTGAATCTCTGCGCGGTGAACTGGAGAGGTACCTTCGAGATGCTTGTTGGTACCAGAGCTTAGCCGAAAGCGAGGGCATGAAGCGATTTCTCGAAAAGTCAAAGGGGCATACCCACAGCGAATCCAAAGCAGGCTTTGGTTGGGAAACCATGGGCAAGGGTATGTTGGACGCCCTGACATCAGGGCCCAAGGGTGCTATGGAGGGTGGCAAGAGTCTCGTGGGTGGTGTCACTGGAGTTTTTGGAAGTACATTTTCTGGTCTTAGCAGGAAATCTACCCAGTCAGTAGATCTAACGGCTAACTCTAGCCGACTTTCGATCTCGACACCTCCCAGCCAGCTAAGCGGTGTAAGATCTCCCGTCCGCTCTGCGAGAGACAGCATGGACAGCCAACGCTCGTCTATTGTATCATTGCAGCCAGGGAAAATGCCACCCATGGAGCGTCGTCCTAGTTATCAGTCACAAAGTGAGTCGGATGCGGACATTCGCACCAGCCGTTCGGAATGTAAAGAGTCTGCTTCAGCGTCGGCGAGTGCTCTTCCTAGTCGGGAGCATAGCCGTGCACCTAGCCTTGCTCAGCTGCGATCCCCATCAGCTGTTAGCCTCGACTTCACAAAACTTCCGCCTCCCCCCGATCAGATCGCGGACGACTATGGTTTGCCTGAAGGCAATATTGATATGCAGAGTGGAAAGGGACAGCAGGACCGCAAAGGCTCCCAGCAAATCCCAACACCTCCCCCTTCGGTGACTGACGGCAAGAGGGCGTCTTTGAAGCCTGGTAAACAGTATACCCCTCTGTCAGAGCCCGAGACTCGTGTTGCGGTTGAGCTCCTGTTCGCTGTCATCAACGAGATGTACACTCTGTCATCGGCGTGGAATATTCGACGTACTCTTCTAACGGCTGCAAAATCCTTCCTCCTGCGTCCTGGCAACCCGTCTCTCTTGACTGTGCAGTCACTGATTCAGAAATCCGTCATTGACGCCAATACATCGGATTCAGGCATCGCGGAACAGCTTCGCAAGATACGAGAAAACATGATGCCAACAGAGCAGGAGCTCGCGGGCTGGCCAGCTGAGCTTACAGCCGATGAGAAAGAGAAGCTCCGCGTCAAAGCCCGCCGACTGCTAATTCAGAGTGGCCTTCCAGCTGCTCTGATGGGTGTCATGGGCCAGGCGGCGACAGGCGAAGCACTCGGCCGAGTCTTTGACTGTCTGCAGATTGAGGAGGTGGCAAGAGGGCTCCTCTTTGGCCTGATCTTACAGGTTGTTCGAATTGTGACGCACTAGAGAGTTGGTACGAGTAATATTTAATGTGATGGGACAACATGAATGGTGTTTGGTGCATTCGGGGGCTGGCTCATCTCACGAAGTGCATGGTGGAATGTACGAATTTTGAAGGGACAACAACTGGCAACGGAATGGAGCAAAGGAATCGATGGTACTCTTCGTTATTGCACAAGGGGCGAGCATCTTGTAATGATAGATACGCAGACGAGAAGACCTAGATGGTCTCCGTCGTTATTAATATGGAATACCTACAAGCAAGTTCAACTGACTCGAGCCGAGCGTCATTGCATCCGAACGCCAAGAGACTGCAACATGCGTTCCGGCCAAGTCCCCATTCCACCGTCGTTGAAGCATCCGCGAAGAAAACTCAAAAAGGATCACTCCACGGATAATTCGACCTCCGTATAATCACAACATCCAGAGTATCCACATTATGAGCTTTACAAAGAATAGCCCTTGTTTCCGAACGGTGCAGATCGTTTTCCGATGATGGTCCTTCACTAATTTCCGACTGGTCCTCTCCACTGCGTGCTTAAAGGGGGGCGTTGTTCGGCATATCGCAGATGAACTAGAGGCGTTTTAAACCATATCGTACGATAATTGTCGATGATTGACCGCTCACTTGGTTTGCACGTGGAGAGGAAAAAGAAGACCTGCAGGGAAGTAGGGGTTTGGGATGAACGGTATACAGGGGAGTGTGGATGACAACAACAGGAATGGAGGCATAAACGATATGTTTGGCGGTAGCCGCGGGCTGGATCACAGAAGCACCCAAAGTACCACATCTACTTATTTGGCCTTGAGCATCAGTTCCTTAGGTCATTATACGTCTTCGTAATTAATATCTCGGTCAGCTTCTAACATGAGTTAGATTCGAGGAAACTGGTTGCGTTTGCAGGATGCATGGTTTGTTTGGCCTTCAGTCTGTCACATCTGGCCTTCAACACTATCACATATCATCTTGTTATAGCCGACGATCCTGCAGGCTCAATTTCTAAAACCTAAAGTTGCTTGGCAATTAAAGGCGTATGCATAGTACGTACCATGCATGTCTCCTTGCCATCTTGGTACGGACAACCCCCATAGGTTGCATAATACCCTTGTCTATGCCCACATCTCCCCATTGTATCGCAAGCCCACAAAGAATCGCTTCGATACTACATGCCTCTTTGATCACATCACGGGTTTCTTCCGTCCTTACTTTAAAGAGGAGAAGATAGGGAGTTACGTTGAAAGCGCCTTGGCAGAAAACATGCCAAGATAATATCATTATGAGGGCACTAAGCTTAGTACTATGGTAGGGTGGTATATGCAACAAACTAACAGTGCATTGACACAATAAAACGAAGTGAACGCAGTTCAAGGAAGGGAATACAGTGAAAAATGACAGAAGCCTCCAGCTTGCGCCCTATGATGATACATAATAAAACAATGAATGCATAATATGCTGTTGCAGCCGTAAAATGTCATGAGTAGACGTAGCGCAAATATGCAAAAAGATGTAGAAAATGCCGTAGGGGTATCAAAGGATTGTAAATGGTTTGGCCGTGAATCGTTGAAATGTGATACAGTTTTGGCAGGACTATGGTGGTAAATATCAGAGATATGTTGAAACTCATCAAGGTCGATAGACAACATTCGTCAGTAGAGGCAGGTCATCTTCCGTCTGTTCGTTTTGTTTGGTGGCAGATGAGGTTGGTGGAGATGCAAGAGGAGAAATGGCTCGGCATTCAGAGAAGTCCCGTTTCTTCATTGCGTGGGCTTCCCCGGAAAGTCCGTTGAGTAGCTCGTGGCTTCTCTGGCGGTGAAGTTCAATGCGTTTTGTTTCGATCAGGTTGTTTGGGGGGATAGGCTCGTACACCGGCTGCTTGCCCATCTTGGTAATTTCATCCTCAACATCGGCTAACAGAGCGTAAACGTCGTCACCGGCATAGATGCGAATGCTCTCCACATCAGAGCGATTCAGAGATCCGGTGCTGGTCACGCGATCAGCGCTTTCTTTCGTAGCCTCTTCCTCGATCACAGGCTGTTCCAGGATGGTGCTGGGAACTTGAGCCACAACACGTTGAGGAGAAGGTGAACTGGCAGTACGAGGTGAGATAGCGGTCTCTTTCGAAGGGCTCCGAGGTGGGGTTGAGATATTGCCAATGCCAGATGAGGATGGGCCACTCACTACAGGCTCACGTGTCATGCTTGGTCCGCCAAGAGGGAGACAAGCAGCTGCAGCAACGTGTTCGAGCAACTTCTGGCGAACACGAGTACGTCTGTTCTCAGCCTGCTCCAGCTTGTTCACCCAGTCGTCAATGGAGGCATCCAGCTCGGTAAGTGCCTCTTCCTGCTTCAGCATAGACTCGTTGCTGAACTTGGCCACGCGAGGCGAACGCAGGTACTGGCAAATGCGAGAGTGGAGATTTTTGCGACCCGAGCGAAGTGCAGTGTAAGTGCGGCGAAGGTACTCGGTCTTCTCGTCCAAATGGCGGAGTTCCTTTGAGAGCGCCTCAACGTCTTCGGCCCTCAGAACCTCGAAGCGCCCGACCTGTTCATAAGCTTGCTTCTGAAGCAACGCAAGTTCTGGCATTTCAATTTTCTCTAACGCCTCCGTATGCTTCACACCAACTGGCAGTTTCTCAAAGGCCTTTTGTTCTGAAGTAATCCTACTCTTCGATTCTGTCCTCTGGATGATCGGTCCGTTATTGGTGCGCTGATCACGCCTCTTCCTAGGACGACCTCTGTCCATCACTGAAGATTCTGAGCCACCTCTTCGGTGTCCTGCCCGAATTGAATCAACAGGAGGGGTATAACGTCCATCAGAAAGCTGAGGGGATTCAGCTTGAAGCTCCATGAGTGGTGCAGACACTGGGACGGGAGTTGTTGAGCCTGTTGATGCGGACTTTGGTGTTGTAAGATCGGGCATGGAAGAGTTCGGTGTGAAAGAGGTGCAACTTTGGGGAGATGACTCGCTGGTGCGACCCCGTCGAAGAGGCTCGTTCTTTACAGGGAAGCAGTTCAACGACTGTTGGCGACGGAGTAAAGGCGACTGTCCTCCTCGTCTAGGGATGACCAAAGGGGCCAGGTGTCTTGGTGAAGTTGGAGTTGCACCTCTAGAATCCGCCTCGGTCTCACCCTTCATCGAAGCCTGAGGATCGGGGCCCTCGTCATCGCTCGATGCAAAAAGAAAAGTATCGGTAAGATGGTAGTTTCTGGACGAATTGCCAGGTGCGCTAATGGAGCGCTCGTGGAAAGGTGGGCGACCAGGAATTGTTGCTATAAGGATATTAGTCTAGAATCCGACAACCTTTGCCAAGCATGTGACTTACGAGAGTCCATTGAAAGCTCCTGAACGGTTGTCATAGGTCCAACTTCAGGCACACTGATTTTGCGTCGTCGAGCCAGGCTGTGTTGATTCAACCGCTTCTTCAAGCCATTGAGTGTTGTCTGCTGGTTGTCTGTCTTATCACTTGCTGTAATTGAAGGTCCCATGGTTGCCTTATCCGGGTCTACCGCTTTGCTGCTGTTGAGGACGGGCAATTTCCTCTCCTTTGGAAAAAGTTGATACTTCTTCGACGGATCAGGTTGTTGCATTCTCCAAGTAAATGGTTTCTCCTGTGGAGGTAATGGTGACAATTTCTGGAAAGAAAGCATAGGTAAGCTCGGGTTAAATAAGAGGATAGTGAAACACAGGGAGGACGTTCATACCGAGTCGTTGGGTGACTGCGAAGCCTGCTTGGTTATATAGGTGGTGTCGATATCGACGAGGCACTTGGCAATATGAGCCATTGCGTCGAAACAATGCTACCAGATCGGGCTGCCACAATGGGAAGTAGTAGGGTGTCAGAGATTAATTGCCACGGCGAGATGACACTACCGTGGAGATGAGAGCAATAAGCTATAGCATGAAGCACAACAAATACTGGTCCGGTTTAAGTGTTTCGGATTCCTGGGACAGATGGTATATAACAGTTCTAGCTGTGGAAGGGATCCCAGACATTGCTTCTGCGCCAAGCTGTGAGCTCTCCGGTTAGCTTTCTCCATTTGTGGTTGGACATGCACTTACCGGAGAGCAGCCTCGATCAACCCCTTGTTCTGGACAATCCATGATGGGATATCAGGCCCTGGGCCTGAATCCTGGTCAGAACTCATGGCCCCGCCTGAAGGATATGGTGTCACGCCCCCAGAGACTAGAGACATCCAAAATAGTTGATATCAGCATGGGATAGGAGCACAAAGAGGTCTGGGGCGCGCGGGACCAGGAGCTAAGGTGAAGTTGACGAGCAGACGAAGGTCATGGTTCATGACGGATGGTCCATGCTCCCCGCAAGACACAGGACGGCCTAAACTTTGTCAACCAGGCTCGGGGTGGGTTCGCAAAAAGGAATAGATCAACAGGGCCTGTCAGAAATTTGATGTTGTTTTTGTGGCTGCCAACGGTTTTTACTCGACGCCTCGTTCGGCGGTTTTGCTCTTTGGTTGCCCTCCATCACTTCCCGGACTCCCTAGAACTCCTTAGTCAACCCATGTCTCATACTGCCCCTGGACCCAACCTCGGCTGCTACGTTAGCGGAACCGGGACAAGGGTGTCTTCTCCACCATGACGGACAGAGATCAGACCCTAGACGTATTGTGACCAGTTGAGCCGGAGAGTCTTGGCAGCGCAGCTCCCAAAGCAAAGGCGGAAACTTCCCATCAATCATCGTTCACGAAGAAATGAATAACTGTGGCTCGTGCGATTGTCTATCATGGTGATGTGGTTAAGACTAACAAGTTCAACAAGCGAGAGGAAAGGAAAAGGAGGGAGAAATTTTTGATGAATTTATCTTGTCACAAGGAAAAGGCGAAAGCCCAATGCATCAGTCCTTCCAAGTTGGGTAGTGGCTTTTTACAAACAGAGACATTCCCCGTGGAAGGCGTGTTTCAGTTTCCATCACGTATCAAATCTGGAAGGAGAGGCCAAAACGGACGGGAGGCACGCCCCACGGGCTAACGGTGCCATTTGGTTGCTTCGCTCGACATGTTCTATGGTTACAGCAGATGTCTCCAAGGAGGATAGAGTTTCGAAAACCAATCTGGCATGAGCCAATTGCAGCTATTGCACGAGTAAGCTCAACCTGCACTGCAACTATATCATCATGTTGCTTATCACAGTTGAAGGCTTCATTATTCATGTTCCCTCACGTGCGGTGCGGATAGTCGACTATCCGATGTATATCATTAACGCGTCTCTGTATGATAGGATCCGAATACTACTCTTAGAGTTTTCCAGTTGTCTCGTGTCACATATTGCAAAGATGCCGCTACATGCCGTCTTGTTTTCCTAGCTATCATTTTAATAGTACCCATTGCAGAACATGTTGCCCCCACCGTATTAAGATTTTGATAGTCAAGGCTCCTTTGTCCGTCATATAATTGTAGTATGCATAATAGGGATATCACATGAATATGACGACTTGACGAAATGATAGATTTTTTTTTTCAGTTTTTCTTTTTCTTTTGGCCAGAGCACGACTTTCTTTGCTTTTGTTCTCCCTCCAGCGGCTGCAAGGATACCAATGGTGGCCTTATCCCCGACAAAAGGCAACGTTGATCACTTAGACGCAAAACCCGGATGCAACGTCCACTAGAACTAGGGCGAGCAGAAAATTCCCGCTTGATCTACAGAGAGTCGATCGACAATGGCCGTAGTATTTGAGAATAGAGACAATACTACAGTGACCTCCGGCCAAGATGAAGACCCTTCGTCCCATCCCCCGGCACTACTTACAAAGGTTTTTTTTTTGGCAACGTCTCGAAACATGCTGACAAGTGTGGACTGCTGCATATTGCATATTGCATATGGTATGTTTCCGGTGTTTCCTAAAGTTTCTCAACTGCATTGTACGTCATTCAGTCTTACATAGCTGCCTTACCCTTTTTTGTTCTTTGCTTTTCCCGCTTCGTTTCCTCTTTCCACTGTCCGCCGAAATTCTACATGCAACCCTGGCCGGAATATTTAAATAACCTTACCTATAGTATATTGTGAACTCGTGTTGCCTCTTGAAACATAACCGCTTCTGGAGCTAGTCATTCATTTCGTATCCGGAGCGGGTTGTTTTGGTCATCGGTATGTTATAACCATACATGACGAATCTCCTACTCTCTTGGTTCACTGCTATTGATCAAGTGACTAGACATTGATCATTTCCGATATGCATATCCTTTACTACTGTATTATCCGGACGACGCTATAAAGGGCAATATTATCGTCCATATAGCTATAATGACTTGATATGCCATCTCGAGGGACTGGTCCACTGCACTGTAACATCTTGAAGCCGTTGCACCATCCCCTCACCATGGACCATCTTTGATCTACGGCGCTGTGCCTTTTTCAATTCTCATAGCTGAGCTCGCTTATGTTGAGCTGCCAGAAAGCATGGGCCCCTTGTTCTGTCCCGTGCTTGCGGTCGGTCCGGGTTATCCACCCGGTCAAGGGTCAACTAGAACATATCACCCTTGCCGATGGTTTTAGAAGGTCTCAGATCCAGGCACACATCCTCAACGCCGGTGTTTCCAATTGAACCACCCATGTTCGTACAGGTGAATTTTTTCATCAAGGTGAGCGATCGTAAAGCAAAAATGATAGGTGTCTTGAGTCAACAACGGCCAGTATTGGTCTGTGTTCAGACCTCCAGTGTCAGTTTCAGCTGTCACTGGGTGAAGATCATTTGCCTTACTCATTGATCATAACAAAAGCCCGTGTCATGATTATACTCACTGTGAGGTCGTATTCGAAAGGCAAGTGCGGGACGTGAACGAGACAAATTGACATTGGTCCTTGTTGAAAAAAGTATCAGCCAACCGACAGTGTTCTTGTTCACCCGTCTGGGCGGCACGGTTATTATCTGAAGCAACAATATCGGTTTCGAGGCATTGGGTATTCCCGTCACATCTGCCCTTCAGCTATCCCTGCGCAATAGCACAAGATCCTGCATGTCTGATATGGTTCGTCAGTGATTCAAGCCAAGCCATGAGGCAAACCAGACTCGCCCAGCCCCTCGACATGAAACAAGCTTCAACATGGCATCCTATTCAGGAACACATATCTGAAGAATCGGGTAAGGACAGCGTCAAACGACAGGGGAGATGGCGTCCATAGACCTTCAGTAGTTGGTCCGGATCTTTTCCTGCCCAAGTGATCCCTTTGCCCAACCCATTAAAGCTGAATAATTAAGACATCCAGCCGTCTGGGTGACTTTGTGGCGCTTCACATATGTGCCCAGGGTAGAACACGTGGAAGTGAAAGTTAGGTGCAGCCCTACATGCCAACTTAGATATCTCGGATCATTGACCACATTGTAGTTAGATATCATCTCGCACACGACTAGTCGGTTTCATTCTCCTGTCTAAGGCCTCGGTTACAGATAATTACAATGGGCATTGACTTCGTAGGTAACATCAAGGCATTTGCCTATAGATAACATATGCACCAACTCAGTGATGGGACATTAGATCTACTCTATGTTATGATCTTTTGGGTATATCAGAGTATTGATACTGCACCTGCAGGCAAACAAACATAGTAGATAGATAGCCACAATGGACCTATCGGAATCATTCAGCTCGGTCAATGAAGAGCATGTTTCAAACAAGAATGAGGCCTCGTCGTTGGATGATGTTGCGAAGATCTTCGCTGATCAATCAATCACTTGCACGTCTTCAACACATACGGAGGCTTGGCAGCGTGGCAACCCTACCTCTTACTCTTTCTAAGACCGCTTCATGTAAAAGCCGGTTTCGTCAAGCTCAAGACGTTGAGTAGCAATGCCCATGTTTACTCAACTCGATAGCACCCGCATGTTAAGACCAGGGTAGAAGCTACTAAACAGGGGTACCTAGGATAGCTTGCAAGAATCTAAGCCTCCACTGCTTCTGCACGTCCCCTGCATTAAATCAACAGCTGGGATCCCCCACCCGTCAACTCGCACCGTTGCCACCGCAGACCCGGCCCAGGCTCGCTTGCGGTTTGGTGGTTTCGTGGGGTGATATTTGCTCCCTCACCATGACGCCTCCTGCAGCAGCGCCAAGTAGTCTGCCAGGGAGTTTCGACTCCAAAGACTTCTTCAGTGCCGTCATGGCGTCCTATACGGAGTGTCCCCAGCCTAGCCCATTGACCTGGGAAAGACTCCGCTATCGCGAAGTGGCAACCTTGATCAAGTGAGCAGAGTTGAAGTCATAGCCTTGTTTGGGGCAAAGGTTGGAGCCTGCTTCTCTCTCTAGAGACAAGAGACTTCCAAGTATTGTATGGTGAGGGCCTCAGTACCCTTAATGATCCCTTGTCCAAGGTTGGCCAAGGATTATGAAGGACCCTCAATTTTGCTCCTTCTAAGATACCGGTACATCGGAGAACCTGTCATGGCTCGGAGATGACAATATCTGCCCAAATATTACCTTCGATATCGTGGCAATTTAACCGTTAGGACAGAAATATTCTCGAAAACCTAGCTCCCATCAACGGCTGGTCTAGCCCGATTGGACCCTAAAGTCGAATTCGTTTTCCAGGCCAGGGGATACGAATTGAAAACCGTATCAATAGCTCCCACTCATGCAAAACACTAGTCTTAGCCTTGCAGTCACAGCAGTTGCTCGTTTTATGTGTCTCTTCTCTAAAACACTATGTATTCCACAATAAGGGTGTATAATGGTGAGAGCTTCGGACCTATCGTCTTCTACACAAGCTTTGGCTGCTGCTGTGTTTGCTTTGAGATATAATTAGAACGGATATCAGAGTTTCTCTCTTCCGGACGTTTTCTCTCGCCTCTGACTTCCATGATAGCCCTGTTCAGGTGTGCCAAGCCTGTTACCGAGCCTAAGCTTCCTAGTCCCATAGCCCGTTACTGGGGATAAACAGCGCTGGCTATAGTTGGTTATAGATATCTGTCGGCATCTTGGGCCACGAATGATAATGGTAAGAATGTCTTTGTGAAGACAGCCAGGCTTCTCTAATTACAATGGGAATCTGGACTCAATAATCAGTCGTGAGAGACATTTCTGGCGGGAAAATCGTGATTTCTACCCCGTATTCAGCCTGACATCCCGTGTTACAGGCAATTGAATGTCATGCCAATTCCCGATGGAGACCATTTTCGATTATGGATTTCATTTACCTGAGGTCTGTTGCACGTGACCGCACCTGAAGATAAAGTTACCTAACTCATAAACACGGCCGGCATCACTTGACTGAACTGCTGGATCGATTTGTTTCAATGCGGTGTCGTAAATGGACCTAAGGCAGTTCGCATACAAAAGTCCCTTTGAGAGAAAGCCACTATCTTTCATGTTTGATACGCCTTTTGGAAGGTGGCTGGTCTACTGCGCGGGTCATCTCACGTGATGTTCTAGAAGAGGAATCTGAATGGAAACGCCTTGTTGTCATACCTCACTGTGCCCACTGGAATAAAGCTGTGTCATTGGCGATTCGACAGACCCTCATGTCGTGGTTCTCGTCACTCAAGAAACCTGCCATTCTGCGAACTTGTCAAGTCAAAATCACCCACAATCGCAATCTAAGACGAACATTCGCAACAGTCAATATGGCGGCCAATCGTGATCCCAGCACTCTCTCCAACTATAGCGCTTGGCGAACTCGCCATACGACTGCTAGCTTCAAGATCGACTTTGAGGAGAAGGCGCTCAAAGGTTCGGTTATTCTTCAGCTTGAGTCACAGACCGATAAAGAGAGCAACGAGATCATTCTTGACTCTCGATATGTGGATATTTCTACCATCCGTATCAACTCAACAGAGCCCAAGTGGGAACTGAAAGAGTATAATGCACCCCTCGGCGCCCCTCTTCACATCTATGTGCCAGGCGGAGTTGCAAAGGGTGAACTGATTGATGTCGCAATTGACCTCGAGACAACGAGCAAATGCACTGCTCTGCAGTGGCTTACTCCTGCCCAGACCTCGAACAAGAAGCACCCGTATATGTTCTCTCAATGTCAGGCTATCAATGCCCGATCTATTTTCCCGTGTCAGGACACCCCTGATGTGAAATCCACTTTCACCTTCAAGCTCACTTCTTCTCTGCCAGTTGTTGCGAGTGGTGTTCCTGTGGGAGACCATAGTGCCACACCTGGCGAAGAGAAACTCTATGAGTTTGAGCAAAAGGTCCCCATCCCTTCTTATCTCTTCGCCGTAGCTTCTGGCGATATTGCGACTGCGCCTATTGGCCCTCGAAGTATTGTCGCCACAGGTCCCAATGAGCTGGAAGAATGCAAATGGGAGCTGGAGCGTGATATGGAGAAGTTCATGGAAGTGGCAGAGAAACTCGTTTTCCCCTACAAGTGGGGAGCTTATAACGTGCTGGTCTTACCCCCAAGCTTCCCATATGGAGGTAAGTTTTGCTATGAGTCAAAAAGCAACAAAACAATTGACGCATATGGCTCTAGGTATGGAGAATCCCATCTACACGTTTGCTACGCCTACTATCATCAGTGGTGATCGTCAAAATGTGGACGTCATTGCCCACGAATTGAGCCATAGCTGGAGTGGTAACCTGGTTTCCAATGCCAGCTGGGAACATTTGTAAGTTCAAGATGACCAATCGCCTGAAGTGACGATGCTAATGAGGTTCAGCTGGCTAAATGAGGGTTGGACGATGTACCTTGAGCGTCGTATTCAAGCAGCCATCCACGGTGATGCCGAGTTTGATTTCTCTTCCATTATCGGATGGAAAGCTCTTGGTGCGTAGCACCATATTGTCATTGAGACTTCGGCTGACCATATCACAGAGGATGCTGTGGAACTCTTCGGCGAGGACCATGAATACACCAAACTTATCATAAAGCACGAGGGTGTTGACCCTGAGGATGTCTATAGTACCGTCGCGTACGAAAAGGGCTTCCACTTCCTCTACTACCTAGAGGGCGTTGTTGGTCGAGAGAACTTTGACAAGTTCATTCCTTTCTACTTCACCAAGTGGTCTGGCAAGTCTCTCGACTCCTTCGAGTTCAAACAAACCTTCCTCGACTTCTTTAACAACCTCGGAGATGAGAAGATCTCCAAGAATGTCGCCGAGATCAACTGGGAGGAGAAATTCTACACGCCCGGTCTACCCCCTAAGCCTGAGTTCGACACTACATTGGCGAGCCAGTGCTACGACCTCGCAACTAAGTGGAAAGACGCTGTAAGTTCCGCCGTCTATGGTGTGGTATTTCTACGCTAACGTCTTATCAGAACTTTACACCAAGCGCCAAGGATCTTGAGAACTTCACTGCCAACCAAAAACTTGTCTTCTTGGCTGAGGTGCAGCAGTCCGGTGAGCTGAGCGCAGACCGAGCGCAGCTCATGGGCAAAACTTACGATTTCTTGTCGTCTAAGAATGTCGAGATTTTGTCAGCATACTATCTAATTGCTCTCAAAGCTCATGATTCTGCCATCTACCAAGACACCGCCAGTCTGCTTGGACGAGTTGGTCGAATGAAGTTTGTGCGCCCTTTGTTCCGCGCCCTCAACAAGGTGGATAGACAGCTGGCATTGCAAACATTCGAAAAGAACAAGGACTTTTACCACCCCATTTGTAAGGGTATGGTGGAGAAGGATCTCGGCCTTTAGATATGTGATTATCAGCAGACAGACGGAAGGGCAGTCCCTAGAAGCCCACTCCTCACAAAATAAAAGAACAGATTCAATCCAGCCATTCTGATTTTGCCATCACTTCACCCCATGTTTGACTCTCTTCACGAACAAATTTCATAGTTGAGTCGACATTTTCAGCCCCGAAATTACCATACAGATGGGGGAAACCGCCCTCCCATCTGATGGAATCAGCAAACTGCTTGAATTCAAGTTTGATGACCCAAAGTAAGGATGATCTACTAAAGAACAAGTCTGCGGTCTTGGGTACCTGTAACCTGTATCAGTGAACAGTAGCACCGTCTACGAAAAGCGCTCACTTGAGTGGACGTGCTCAGATGAACAAAGCCATCATTCTGGTCAAGTTCAGATAAGGGGTGTTCCTTAGGAAAAGGGTCACCAGGCGGCGATGGGACAATTTTGTAAATGAACCTTGGAGGTGATTCGACAGACATTCTGGTAGAATCGACCGATACGTGACTGGATGAAGAAAAGAGATGTGGTTGAACCCCCACCAGAAAAACCTAAGCGCTGGTGATATAGGGTACATGAGGTTAGTGCGAATTCATACTGTATTGCCCGTATCATGTAGAACAATAACCAAGGCTTAGAAGATTTGCACTGTACACATAGCTTTCCATGTCCCATTTCACGTGAAGTCAACATCAAACGTAAACTGCATCTTCAACCTCCATTAAACCTCTTCACTACCCCATATCCTTTACGTCACCAGTAGATTTGATTTTGAGGGATTTCTTCTGGAGCTGCAGCATAATCACATCTTTCGGGCCTCAAAATCCCCTGGCAAGGCACCCAGTAGCCACGCGCAACGGGCATGTCGCGGGGCCCAGTTTCTTCTCAGCTTCACTTGCTGTCAAATCTCCCTGCTGTACCTATCGGTGACAAAGTCAGATTCCTCGGATGGTATGACCGGTGAACGTTGTTTTCACTCTTTGTGTGCTTGCTCACACATTCATTTACGGCAAGTACTGTTGGCTAACACAAGATAGCGTCACTTCTTACTCAACCTCTTCGGCCTGTCTCTTCCTCAGTCATCTTTATCCAAGAGATAGCAATGCCACTGCTGTGGTGGATGTCAGCCTGCTTCTAGAATCCCTCACAGCTGAGCAAACACGTGTCGGCGAGTTTGTCAACGTGATAGGGTATATCACAGAGCAAAAGATGACTCGTGATAAGAAACAACCATACCAAGAGTCGAAACAGGTGTGTGTGCAAGCCATAGTCCTCTGGTCAACTGGTCCCATGGACCTTCAGAAGTACGAAAAGCTTCTCGATTCCAAATGAGTTAGCATGAGGCATGTAGCGCATGCAACCAACAAACTGTGGGATTATCAGATCCAACTTTGATTCATCGCTATTTACCTAAACTTGCGCACGATCACACAAGCATGGCAGCATATAACTTAAAATCCGATTGGAACACGAGCCGGGTCCCGAATTTGACAACTCCACTCCTGTACTTTTGTGCAGCTCCAGCTCGACCTGCTACATGCCCAAAACAAATGTAATTTGGGCAGTATTTGCACTCAAATGGTTTCTGTTGGGTTGGAATCATGCCAGATGGCACCGCATCTGTGGACAGACATGGCAACCACCATGACACTTGCTTAATTTGACTCAATTGGGTATCTCATCCTCCACATATCTATATTGGGCACCGGACAGCTTCTGCTTCATGGCTATTTGCAGTCAGCAACCCTTTGCTTCACCGCACTCTAGCATTCCAACACAAATTGTTTCACGGGCCTCAAAGTCTGGGGTGATGGCTGCAGCTGCCAGCCCTCGATGTGCAGAAAACTCCCCCACAGGTATCTGTCAGGCTTCCCTCGGGGTACTGGAGAGGTAACACGGTTTTAACTGCTGAGTCATGCTGGGGCTCAATCATCATCCTGCCGGCGTCGGTCGTGGTAACGTCGATGAGAGTCTCTGGAAGACCCTCTCGAAACAATGACAGGCTGGTGTAACGGTCGTTTCAGCAACTTCTCGGGATTCTGTTGGACCTTGGCTGCGGCCTGTCGATCCCACAGATCTTTCGACTTTCGGCAAATATCATCGATTTGTTCCTATCAAGTGTCAACCAACTGAGGACGTTTTTACAAACCAGCAGCGACCAACATCTGTCAAGCAGGATCCGGGAGTGGTGATGAGGAAACCATCCTCTCCCTACGTTCGAATTCATGAGCAAAGGATAGCCGTTGGGCTAGCTTGACAAAGAGATACCTCCAACGTGTATGGGCGAACTGTAGCCTGGGGTCCTAGATAATACTGGAGTTCTTGAGTGATGACTTTTCTGTGAATGTCTTGATGCGGGATCCAGTATTTGTTCATTGAAGAGGACATGGTCGCACAATCGATTCTACTGAGGAACCTACGAATATCGAGACAGGCTGGGAAGGATAAAGTGGTATGAACTGGGTCAAGGGAGGGTATTTATCCAAATTTGGCACAGCCTGCTAAGTTACAAGATATGGTTACGATGTGCCTGACGGTTAGAGGGTACCTTTCATGCTAATGTATGCGAACCCAAGGTATGTTAATCTTTTGCGTGTGACTATGCTCACCGCTCCACAGGATGATATCCCCAACACGAATTTGAAGGTCTTCAAGGGGTACCCAGATTTGATTTGCTGCATGTGTTTTTTGTCGCTCCTTGTAACCGGAACCAATATGGCAGGAAACCCCTGCCATACGCCGTGAGCCTTTGAAAGTGAGGCGAATCAGGTGTGGTTGGTCATTGGTGAGCGGCGTCCAGCGTCCGCCCTGCCAGCGTGGCAAATATCGAATGGGTGCATCTGGTGCCAATAACGCCGTGTGGAGGGAATTCAAAGGACGCTTGTTGAATCCAGACTTTATTACTCCTTAAATACGTGTGTGAACAAGTAAATATGGGGGTTGTGGTGGATGTCTGTAAGGCTGATCACGTCGACAAAAGTCATGCTCTATTCAGGCGAACCCAGATCTGCGCTTACCACAACTCAAGCTTTAAACGATCGTGAGACTCATTGGGTGAAGTAAGCGCCATGTGCATCTCTTGATCTCGGGGCAACGGCACGCAAAGCCACTTGACCAATAAGTCTGCGGGTTGCCGATCTTGTAAGCGACACAGAACCCCATTCTCTTTCTCGAAACTGTCAAAAGCCAAGTAATTTTGTTCTTTTTCAAAGCGTGCTAGTACGACCATGTCGTTGGATCCAGATGATCTGCTCTAAGGCGAACTGCTTCGCTGCAAATGTCAATTGGAGATCCTCAAACCCTTGTCCTAGTCGCAATGTTGCGATTTGCACTCGAAAACCTTAATGATACAAGTTCACTCTTCATTCGTTGGATCTACTACTGACGCCACGGCCTTTTGGAGCTTCAGTTAATCATCATTCCTGAATGATGTTGCAGGCGAGCGAGCATCAGATACCAATCGCTATCGTCAGTCCCTCGGCCTTAATTTGAAAAGAATTATCAGGAGAAATAACATGGCTGATCCTGGATTCTGTTAAGCGTCGCGGCGTCCTGGATATGTCTCGAGTTTCCCTCATTGAATCTGTGGTTACAAGCCGTATGAGGGATTCTTAGTCAGGTAAACGCAATAGAGAGACCTATGTAAGGGACTCCGTACTCGTACATGAGTTCGAAGGTGTTTCAAGGATTGCGTTTGCAAGCGAGATGTCCCTGTGAGTCATTTTCATTTCGGTTCATATGCCCCAACTTCCGGAGTAGCGAGACGAAGAGGTCTTAGCTGCTGGCAATAATGAGGGCAGTGTTCGCCAAGCAAGACACTCAATCTCACGATGAAGAACGGGTTCATCGGCTTTGGAATTATTGATGAAGGGCGCCACAGGGTTCTTAAATGTTCCATGTTTCTCTTTATAGGCACGCAAGTCCGTTTTCGCCTGTATCGCTGAATTAAACCGTCAGAGAATCACAACTAACGTGGAGTTGAACAAAAAGTTGACAATTTCAAGGTCTGCATAGTTTGAGACGTCGAATTTGTCAATGAATGCCATGGCTGGTGCATGGACGTGATCCACAAATGAAGCGCGGGGAACAGGAGCAGAAGCGAAAGTAGAGGCGGAAGTCAACATCAAAGGCTGAACCGAAAAGCGAAACGAATTGGGGAAAACATGAAGACTACGAGTTTCATGAAATTAACACCGTCAAACCCATTGGCATTGTGTACAGACGCAGCTGTTTCAACAGCTGACGAAGGACGGGATGATCGCTGGCTTGCGGTTAATGCTCGGCAGTTAGCTGCCTTCAACAAGATTGGAGTCGCTTCCACGTGAAAGCTTCTACTAACAACCCCAGATCCCCTGCCAATGCATCAGCTGCCAATCAAAGCACGGGACTTGGACCAAGCAGCTTGCTGCGCGACCTCCGACCGCGCCCACCAAATTTGTTGACAAGCAACCATCGCAAGGTATTCACTCGTCCTCGACAACGAACAGGCAAGCATTCTTGCAGCTCAGCTCCCAGGAAGGTAGCTCCAGCGAGACGAGCTTTATCCACAGCGAGCCCCTGTCGAAACCTTGAATAGCGATACCAAATCCGACACTGTCGTCATTTCTGGATACGTACCTCTTAGCCCGTGCCTCAAGGGACGGTCAACCCCCTTACGTAGCGATACCTACCGACGAGACAATGCGCTGAAGTTTCGGACGGCGACTACACCGTGGAGCCACATGCCGTTACAATAAACTATAAGCTACCGGTATATATCGTGTTGGGGACAGCCCTGATCCCCTTCCAAATCCCGCGCATTCTCAACAACCAAGCTTTTGTCCAGAGGGGACCGACTTGGGTCCCCTAGACAAATCGCCAGCCATGCCGCCCGCAGGCGGAGGAAATATCAAGGTGGTGGTGAGATGTCGACCTTTCAATAGCAGAGGTAAGTAGGCGCTCACCGGTTTGGGCTTGAATAGGTAAAGAGCGGTGCTGAAATGGGGTGCAGAAATCGAAAGAGGTGCAAAATGTATTGTTGAGATGAAAGGGAACCAGACGGTGATTACCGCACCTGAAGGGAAAGGCGTGAAAGATGGAGGACCAAAAGCCTTTGCATTCGATCGTTCGTACTGGTCATTCAACAAAGACGACCCCAATTACGCTGGCCAATCGAACCTCTTCGACGATCTGGGACAGCCCCTTCTCGACAATGCATTCCAAGGTTACAACAACTGTATCTTCGCTTATGGCCAAACCGGTTCAGGAAAATCATATTCTATGATGGGCTATGGGAAGGAAATAGGGATCGTTCCCTTGATTTGCCAGGATATGTTCAAAAGGATCGATGAGCTAAAGAAGGATAAAACAACGAAATGCACAGTCGAAGTCTCTTATCTCGAGATCTACAACGAACGTGTCCGAGATCTACTCAACCCATCGACCAAGGGCAACCTCAAAGTCCGAGAACATCCCTCCACAGGTCCCTATGTTGAAGATCTTGCCAAGCTTGCAGTCAACGAATTCCAGGAAATTGAACATCTCATGGATGAAGGAAATAAGGCCCGAACGGTCGCCGCAACCAATATGAACCAAACATCAAGTCGAAGTCACGCCGTCTTCACCCTGATGTTGACACAGAAGAAATACGATACCGACACAAAGATGGAGATGGAAAAGGTTGCTAAGATCAGTCTGGTAGATTTGGCAGGTTCTGAACGAGCGACATCAACTGGTGCCACTGGTGCGAGGCTGAAAGAGGGTGCTGAGATCAACCGATCGTTGTCAACATTGGGTCGTGTCATTGCCGCTTTGGCTGACCTGTCAACGGGTGGCAAGAAGAAAAAAGGCACTGGTCAAGTTCCCTACCGAGACAGTGTCCTGACGTGGTTGTTGAAAGATTCACTAGGTGGTAACAGTATGACGGCAATGATTGCAGCCGTCAGTCCCGCTGATATCAATTTTGATGAAACGCTCAGCACTCTCCGATATGCCGACTCCGCTAAGCGAATCAAGAACCATGCTGTTGTCAACGAGGATGCTAATGCCCGTATGATCAGAGAGTTAAAGGAGGAGTTATCGCTATTAAGAAGCAAACTTGGGAATGGTCCTGTTCCTGGCGGAGCTGCTGGAGGCGGACTTGTTAGCGGAGAGACTTATCCTGAAGGCACACCTCTAGATCAGCAGATGGTCAGCATCACTGGCTCGGACGGGGTTCTGAAGAAGGTCTCAAAGGCAGAGATCGCGGAGCAGTTGAGCCAGAGTGAGAAGCTGCTTACGGATCTAAATCAGACATGGGAGGAGAAACTGTTAAAAACTGAGGAAATTCACAAAGAACGTGAAGCAGCTCTCGAAGAACTTGGTGTCAGTATTGAGAAAGGTTTCGTTGGCCTGCATACGCCGAAGAAGATGCCGCATTTGGTCAACTTGTCCGACGATCCGCTTCTGGCTGAGTGCCTGGTCTACAACCTCAAGCCTGGTACCACAACAGTCGGCAATGTCGATACCAACGCCGATCATCAAGCGAACATCCGACTTAACGGATCCAGGATATTGCACGATCATTGCACTTTTGAAAATGCTCCCGATGGGACTGTAACTCTCACTCCCAGTGAGGGTGCTTCGGTCATGATCAACGGAAAGCGTATCACCGAGCCGTCACAACTTCATTCTGGCTACCGTGTCATTCTGGGCGATTTCCATATTTTCCGTTTTAATCACCCTATGGAGGCGAGAGCAGAGCGGGCTGAGGTGCCAGAGAGACCACAGAGCTTGCTCCGACACTCCATCACAGCTAGCCAGCTCCAGGCACTGGATCGAGGCTCGCCCTCGCCAAGTCCCCGACCCGGCCACGAAAGATCATTTAGTAGGGTCTCCGAATTTGGCGACATCTCTAGACCGGAATCTCCATCAATATTCCAGAGAAGTGGCAGGGAATCGGATTGGTCGCTCGCAAGACGAGAAGCCGCTGGTGCAATTCTTGGATCTGATCAAAACCTCACCAGTCTTACTGACGAAGAGCTCAATGCTTTATTCGAGGATGTGCAGAGGGCAAGGGCGGAACGAGTGACTGGTCGCGAGGATGGGGACGATTCGGAGTCTTCTTACCCGATCAGGGATAAGTACCTGTCGAACGGCACGATGGATAACTTCTCGTTGGATACCGCTTTGACAATGCCCTCAACCCCAAAACAAGGAGAGCCCGACGATAGATTGAAAGAGGTCCGAGAAGAGTTGCAAAGCAAATTGGAGAAACAGAAAGAAGAGTACCAGGACCAACTAAAGAGCGCCGAGGCTGCTAACGTCGAGATTGAAGAAATCAAACAGGAGAAGGTCAAGATGGAGGCAGCGTTGAAGGAGTTGAAGGAAGACATGCAGAAACAGCTAAACCAACAGCGGAAGCAATTCGAAGAGAAGATCGAAAAGATGGATCCCCTTAAGATGCCAAAGAAGAGCCCGACCCTCTCAGAAGAAGAGATTGAGATGGCAAAGAAGACTGTTAAGACTTGGCGAGGCCGACATTTCGTGAAGATGGCTGAGGCGGTGTTGCAAAACGCATCCATTCTCAAAGAAGCCCAGGTCATGAGTCACGAACTTGATGAGCACGTCGTTTTCCAATTTGCGGCGGTTGATGTCGGCCATGTTTTGTGTTCGTCCTATGATATGGTGCTCAATGGCCTTACTGGTGAGGGCGATGATGTGGCGCTGGAGGAAGCTCACAAGCCGTGCATTGGCATTCGTGTGGTTGATTATAAGCACAGCGTGGTCCATTTATGGAGTTTGGAGAAACTACATGACCGCGTAAGGCAGATGCGGCAGATGCACCAGTATCTTGACCAACCGGAATATGCACAGCACCTCAGTCTCGATAACCCGTTTGTTGAGACATGTATGCCGTCATATACGCTTGTGGGCGAGGTTGATGTGCCACTGAAGGCAGTTTTCGAGTGCCGGG